TGTAAAGCTTATAAATCAGCAGTGCACTAATACTTATTGTTGGAATCATGTGATAATATAGATGATTTCTAATCACTTACAAATTATAATGAGTCCTAACGTTATTTTTTATATACTGTAATGTCATATTTTTATATTAAGGCGTACTCAAGAATCCATAAATAGGGTGTCTATTGCAATAAATAAATCAATTAATCAATCTGAACGTCACTAATAAAGTTGCAATCTCAAACGGTTTCCGTTCAACAATTGGCAGAAATATCTATTTTCCCGGACTACTAGCTACCACGCAGGCAATATCTAGTATTTAATATATGTAGGTGTTAAATAACTCAAAAATCTACTGAAACCTGAATACATAATCCAATGAAAATGCGATAAAATTTGTTTAGACGCTATGCTTTAATTCGTCAAAATGTGACATCTGAGATTGCCAACTGGCATTTTTATTTGACACCTCAAGAGAGACGCTACATACATTTGTGTGTTCCAAAATTTATAATGTTCTAAAAATCAATCGACAAAAGTAACGTTATCGTATGATCCATTATAATAAATGGTACCATGGACTTGGTCCCTTTACTGACATCGTACAGCTTGAAATTTCCGAGCCCTACTTCGACCCATTTTACCTGCAGAGATTTCGCGACTCTAACCCCCCACGCCTTCTCCCCTCCTGACCAGCTCCCCACCACGAATTTCACCCTGCTCAACCACTCCTCCGGAAGGGTTGCAGATTCCACAAAAATCGGAATTGCCACATCCCCAATGGCAAACGTCATCCAGGAGAAGATCGGGAATGCAAGGTAAATTTGCCACGGAATCTTGTCACGCAGTTTAACCGTGCAAAATGATAAAATAATCCCTAACAGGACTAAAGCCTGGAAAAAAAGACCAAAAAAATTCATTCTCATTACTCGATCATGTTTCAAATTGATTCTCAGTCTGTCATAAAACTTGAAGCAAATTCGTAGTTGGTGAAAACTTGTCGAGTTTCTGATAATTCCCCAGAGCTCGGTATAATACGAGGAAACCATGGTGAGCTTCAAGAATCCGGAAATGATCAAAACCGCGAGTAGTCTGGGGCTTTCCAAGGCAATTGGTACCGTGAGGAGAAGTCTAATCGTAAAAATTAAACACTTTATCGGACCAGAGACAATTTTAATTTTCAAGAATAAGGTCATGATAAGGCTCAGGCCGTCGATATTGAGGTAGAGAATGAGCGGGGTCATCACAAGGGGACTGCACGCATAGAGAATCATTATACTTTGCAGTACTCGTGTTACTATCAACTTTGAGCGTTTAGGAGTGGTCAGATCAAATTCTAAAGAAAAATTGTATAATTTAGATATGAAAATCTTATGGTCGCCAAAGTATGGCCGGTGTTTGTGCAATGGTAAAAAACATTGCAAAACCTAAGGAGTTGTCCGATAAAGAACGCGGCAAAAACTTCTTGATGGTGATCTACATAATGATCACGTCAGCAATATGGATTCAAATAGACATGGATAAGTAGGTGAACATGTTAACAAGGAAAGAGTTGGTGTTCGTAAAAGAAAAACTGGCAGAAATTTGTAGGAATCTTTGGATGAAGTTATTCTTATCCTAAGACGATCTTATTGCACGAAATGTGAAAATATCTTGCACAAAAATAACGATTTTTACACAATCTCCCCCCAAGATAACTCCCCCCACTTACGTTGCACGAGGTCATTGTAGTCGTCCGTCAGCTCATTGGTCATCTTTACATACACTTTTCGCCACAAGGCAACCCCAATAAAACCCGATCCAAGCGTTATCAAGCAAACGACACCACAACAAATGACGACGATCTGGTGGATCCTCAGCGAATGAGCCGAATTAGTCTGATTTATCCAAATTAGGGTTGATACCCATGTGAGTAGATAGAAGGGGATGACACACCCATAAATTTTCCATGCACTGTACGAATAACTGCGAATTGGTAGTAATTCAACTCGCTTCTTTTTGCTTCTTACACGATACGTGATAGGAAATTGCCATAAGTAGGAGAAGACCTTCGTGTAGGTTTCAATTACTTGCCAAATGCTTTCCACGTCCATTCTTAAGGGGCTGACGGAGGCGAATGTCATCTTGTTTGGAACAATTTTTTTTACATAAGCAAGATTAATGTAAAAACTTAATTTCCGCTCAGGGATGGCAAGAGGGATACCAAGAAGCTTAATTGTACTATTGCCCAGAGGATGATACAGAATGGCATTCAATTTCGGCATATTTCATAAACTACTCTCCTCATTTAAATTCCAATTCCAGACAGCATAAAATGATTAAACGTTCGGTATAACGTTATATTTGTATAATAATCAATCAATAAATCATTCAATAAATCAATTTGAATTGAATCCTTTAACGATCAGCCCACATCGGCTACTCATGCATACTCATACAAATAACGAGAGTACGACAGGAGAACCCTAAATATCATGAATATGTACATACATACATACATACTTTAACCAAACCTAGGAAAGAAAAGCTTAGATAAGACAAAAACTGTGAAGAAAAGTATTTAACAAGCCAAGTGAACAGTGCGAAGTAAGTCACTATTCGAATCGAATATTTGCAGAATTTGACTCGGTGAATTTCGATTTGTAATTTTCAAATTAAGAATCGAATTAGCTCCAAATTGCTGTCAATAAATATGCTGGAATCCTTTTCTCAAAGGATCTTTAAGTATGGTTTGATCCTCGTCGTTCCTCCCTCGACCGAATACGGCGACGAATCGATTACAAATTTAATTAGTATGAAATTTGAAAATGGAACTATCTGCCAATGCGCAGGTTTGGCGGAGATATTTGCATCCAAAGCGGGAAAAATGCGCAGCAAATTTGGAAAATGAAAAATTTGCCAGCCTTTGGGGTGCATTTTCTCCTCTTTTTATGCAAATATATCCGCTGAAATTGAGCATTGGCAAATAGTTCCAGTTGCAAATTTCATACTAATTAAATTTGTGATCGATTGACGCTAGTGTGGTCCAAATCTGTGAGCATACGTTGGGAGACCTCCATTGTAAGTCATAACTATGTCACCCGTGGTTATATCTAAGTGTTGCAATTTCTACATACTGTTATGCACTTTTCGTGCCAAGGTCTTTCTGAAGCTTGGTTTTACATCGAAATATTTATAAGAAACTTTCATTAGTGGTCTTATCTAAGAAAAATAATGAGAAAAAAGTTTGTAGTTTACCGTCCTGACAGGGTTAAATTAAATTGTGAATGCTTAATCTTTCGAAAGAAAGCCGCGGAATATTATCTTCAAAATTAAATTACTAAATCGCAAAAAAACATAGGTTTTAGGCAAATATCGGGTTGGTTGGTAATATGTACATACATACATAATATGTTACGAACATTTCTGTATTTAAGCTGGTGGTGAGTTTGTCCTCATACAAATAACAAATAAGTCCATTTATTTGCATATAAATACATAAATAGTCATTTCTTCATATTCTTCATTATTCTTGATAGTAAATATTAGATACTTCCATAATAATTCGTATAATGGATAATTTGATTATTTAATTTGAATCTTATAGCGAAGTGTACATATACTAAATAGACATAGCTAAAAATTAACTTACGTGGACACAAACATAATTTAATGACTGAAGGGCAACGGTATATGTAACCTTGGAGGAGTTGAAGGAATATGTAGGTGTTTTATTATTAATTTTCAAAAGGTATGTTCCGCACTGTTTCTCACCAAAATTTTGATGAAAGAACAAACTTCAAATACATTTAGGAGGCTGTGATTTTTTTCAGCTCTGTGGGTTAGCATAAACACTAGCAATAAATCGGCAAACTTTACCTCGACGGAAAAAATGCTAGATTTGCAAATTAAATATCGTAGTGTGATTTAATTTTTAATGCTGGATGGGCAATACGTGTCGCAGATTTATGATTGAATGCTTAAAATTTACGATGAAAACTGCCCAACACAAAACACAAATTCAATTGATTTAATAATTTTAAATGATGGCGAAACGAGGTCTCGGGCAAAAAGTCGCCAGGACGCTCAAAATCCGTTTCTTCCACAGAAAGGCTCTGGAAACTAGAAGAACCAATAATGAGAGATCCGCGATTGAAACTGTCCTATTTAGCAGATGAGATGGGTGTTCCAAAACCAGCAATTTGTTCCATGTTAACTGAAGACTTAGGTATGAAAATGGATTCCGTCCGTTGGGTACGAAAATTGCTTTCGGCATCTCAAAAACATGATCGAGTCGACTTTTGCAATGCCAATTTTAACCTATTAAATGAAGACTTGAACCTGCTCAATATTTTATTAGCTAAATATGGTACCTGAGTTTACTATTATGACCCGGTGACCAAATAATAATTCCCTCAATGGAAGCAGGAGGGGTTGCCACCGCCCGAGAATTGAAAAGTGCAAAAATCTGACAAAAAATTGATGATGACCATTTTCAAGGATATCAAAGGTCCCCTCCTTATAAAATTTATTGCTGGAAATACTACAATAAATGGGGCCGCGTATGCAGGTACCCAGAAGGAGCTGCGTCCTCCGGTTGAAAAGAAACGTGGGGTCAAAATATAGAGTTGGCCTTTTTTTAGACGACAACGCTCCTCCTCATACCTGGCTTTTTGCGAGGGATAGTGCAGACGAAAATCGCTTTGCCTGCACAAACCACACCCCGTGCAGTTCAGACTTGACCCTTAGTGATTATTATTCGTTTCGAAACTTAAAGAAAGACATCAGGGGAAAACGGTTTTCGGATGATAGTGATATGAAGTCGTAAATTTTGGCATATTTTCGAGGTAAATTTTAATGGGTTATTGCTAGTGTTAATGTTAACCTACAGAACTGAAAAAAATCACAGCCTCCTAAATGTATTCGAAGTTTGTTCTTTCATCAAAATTTTGGCGAGAAACAGTGCGGAACATACCTTTTGAAAATTAATAATAAAACACCCACGTATAAGTCTCATATCATATTATCTCATATATAAGTCTCATTTCATATATTTTCTTGTTTACGTAAATATGTATATAGAATGGAGTAACAAGAAACTGATTCGACAGATACATCCGTTATTTATGAATTTTATAATTTCAAATTAGTAATTTTAACCTGATAAATATACTATACTTCTCTGATCAACCTCTGGTATATTGCAATCTAAATATGAAAATGAATAAGGTTATCGACAACACTAATAATTAATGTGTATGAATGAATCCAGATAAATATTGGATAATTTCGCTTTCCTTAGTTTTTAAAGAACATTCCTATCTCGTAGAAATTGGGTCTTTTTGTCGGATCCATTTCCCAGCATTGTTTCATCAGAGCATAACTAGAATTGAACTTGTAGTTAGCAAAATATATATTCTATGATAATTGCAGGGAAATGCGAAAATATTGTTTATACGTTTCATCGTCGCAAGATGACGGACATGGGAGTCTTTGTCCGCTATTAAGGAATCTGATAAGGTCCACCATTTCGCCCATATCCGGATACGGCTCTTCACCAAAGCTAAATATTTCCCAAATGGTCACCCCGTAAGACCAGATATCAGATTCTTTGGAGAATTTCAGCCCCATCAGGGACTCGAAGCTACTCCACTTCATGGGAATCCAAATCTGGGAATTTTAAGCAATTTTAGAACCCGTCAAATTTGTGTTAAATTATTCTTCTAAGACAACTCACATGACCTCCATGAACTTTTTTGTAATACAAGGCGTCATATAGCTTCTTGGACAATCCAAAATCACTGATTTTAGCCGTTAGATTCGTCGAAAGCAGTACATTGCGAGTTGCAAGGTCAACATGTAGCAACTAAATAATTAAAACAAAAATAAATCTCTTCGTTTGGCAGAAAATATTTACATATAGTACATGAAAATCATTGTTATGATACATTTTTCATCGTCAAATAATCCATCCCATTTGCAATTTCGGCTGACCATTTTCGAATCTCTTTCTCCGTAATTGTGACGGGCGGTACGTCCAGCTGAGGAAGAGAGTGTGGATCTGAACTTCTAAGTAAATCGAAAATACTTACATATGTGATTTAATGTTATAATTGCATTAAGTTATTTCATAAATCTTCAGAATCAAGGATTTTAAGCATGTATAGATCTCTAAGGAAACCCCAGAAAACCATTTACATTCTGAATTATTCGGATTCATGACATGGCCACTAATATGTATCTAAGTTTTTACTAACAGTGCTTCAATTGATGAGGTGTCTTCGTAAAAAACATATCCCTCTTTTTTCAATTGAGTATTAATTGAGTAATTCGAAGTCTTTTGGTAATTCCGAGCCTGAAGAAGATAGCTGTGCAAATTTCCCTCGCAAAGCTCCATCAGGCAGAGAAATTCCCCTGCATCACAATTTTCCAAATACGATAAGTAAATTTGAATAAAGATAGGGCGATTTATAAATAAATTTTACATACATTTTTTGGGATGGAAATTACAATAAAATCCCAAAAACTCGACCACATTTTCGTGTCGACCGACACACGACATTATTCTAATTTCGTTCATGAGTAATTTTAAATCATCAATTCTGGCAGTTAATTCATCCACAGTTTTTATGGCGCAGTGCACCTTCTGCTGATCTGATTCCGAAGTAATGATGCCTTTGTAGATGACGCCATAGTTTCCGCGTCCAAGTAAAATATCTTTGAAAACTGAAATCATTTGAATATTATTAATTTAGGGTCAATTTGGTCAATTTAGGGTCAATTTGACAAACTTATCTAATTAACTTTTTCGCGTAATAATATCGTGTTGACGATACATAACAAAATAACTGTAAATACGCCGAAATGAATAACCATCAGAGAATAGGCAATTTATAACCTTCAATGTTCTGCTTCTTAACAGAATATTCCTCATTTAGTCCATTGTTGTTAGTACTGATGGTGATTGAGTTTACTAAATCCACTTCCGGTCCTGCTTGTGCACAAGTCGTTACCTCCCCTCCTCCATTAAATAGTTCATTCCTAAGTTGCTCAGTCTCTTCCACCGTGAAGCTGACCTTGTATTTCCTTCCCTTCACGAAATAAGTCAATCCTACCGCTGCAGCGACCAGTGCAATTAAGCCGACCACAATTCCAGTGATAGTCCCCCCTTAAAAGTCACAATTTGCATATTCATGTATGAAGGAAGATGGTGCACATATTTGCATATTTACTTGCGTACCAGAAAACGAAACCCCGCCATCAATAGTCTTGGGTCCGCAGATGCAGTCGAAAGTGTTAAATTGCAAGTACACCTCGTCATTCGTTATGTTTCGGACAAAAAACTAATCACAATTTGGTACAATAATTAAGTATAACTAGTACGTAAATATTCGGCGATTTATACTGGCAAATGCTTACTTCTGACACGATTGACGTCGTCTCAGTAAACTCGATAAAATCTTGGGCAGCCGATGCACGCACGCTGCAACCAGAATTGACACGAAGAGATCGAATTACGGCGAAATTACTCGGCTTAAAGGACGGACGTTTATCGGTAAGACGAATGGCGTCAAAATGACAGGATTGGCAACCGTTTTCCTGATAAAGTACGGCACACGTGTCAGTATCCAAATTTTGCGGTTGACACGACACATCATTTTGTAGGATATCTCCCGGTTTTGTGCAGCCATTATTATTAAGTGGTCCATTCTGTGACAAATCACACTATTAACGTTGATCATTAATAGTAACAATTTTTTTACTTGATTGCCACTCATTACCATGCAGCCGCAACTTATCGAAACTGTGGAGAAATTTCTATCCTAAAAATGTTCGGAAAAACGTAATGTTAGTTTTATTTAATTAGCAAATAAGTTAATTGTCACCGTCGTGTAATTATTTCGTCCATCTTGGGTAAAGTGGAGACACTCCCCGGAAAATGCGCTTTCCCCGATGTGACAAATGGTCACGAGACAGTTGGGATTCATCACGTTAATGAACTTTGTGCCTTCTTTCATGGCGTAAGACAGTGACTCAAATAGGGGAATTTCCCAAATCGTTTGTTCCATGATGTGTGCCAAGGTGTAATTCCCGCCGAAAAAGTGGTTTGTCGTGATGTTTCCGCAAAATGATGGATCTATACTTTATATAAAATTGTCATGCTGTCAAAAGCACCGCAGTACAGATACTCATATGTACTTGAAAGTCGTGATAAGTGAAGATTGTGAAACTAGATATGTATTGCGAATTTGAGCGAAATGCAAAGCTATGTACCTATGTAGAGTATGTACTTATGTTCAATAGAACCTTTTTGCCACACCGGGATCTTCTAGCGAGTTATATAAAAAATCAAGCCAAAAAGGAGGAATCAGAAAGCTTTCGTTGAATGGCAGCTTCGAAGAAAAATATTGGGGGCGAAGTTCACACGTACGGCTTGACTATCGCCCCCTGGAAAAAAATGGAAAGTTACTCAAAAATTGAACCTTGCAGCTGCAGCCAGTATTTTCTTCAAAAGGGCCATTTTGCGGAAAGATCGCTGCCACGTGATTCCTAATTTTTGGGTTTATTTTTTTCAGAGCTGGGTGATTATTGGTTTTTGAGGGGTGATTAAGGATTATGGATTAACCACAAAATAATGTTGATTGTGATTAAATTATTTTCGTGAAATTAATGCATGTCCGGATTAATCTGGATTAATCCATAAATTCTGGAATTTTCCGGATTATGGATTAATAATCCGGATTAATTTTGTAATTAATGATTTTGTAAACTATACATATCTAGTGTGACAAACTGCAAATATGTATTTGCACATAAAAATATTTATTTAAAACACCAGTTTCAACTGATAAAGCACGAGCCAGCGAGTACTTGTTGACTCCTCAAATAGTAGCTGGCAAGACACAATTGTGAGAACTTGAGACCTCAAGTTACACCGTTGACCGTGTGATGAAATAGAACTACAGGAATTAAACCGAGTAATCCAGACTGAGGATTAATCATGAATAAGTAATCATGATTGGGATTAATCTGGATTAGTAATCCGTAATCACGACTATGGATTAATAACATCTAATGGGATTATTCCCGGATTAATTCTAATTCCAGAAAAATCGGGATTATGGATTAGGAAACTCTGATTGCTGGATTAGGGATTAATAAGGATTATCCCAGCTCTGATTTTTTTAACTCACTGGACATCCTCAGTGCAGCTTATTGTTAGTAGGAGTTCCAGAAGTGCTAAATTTTATATTACGCATTTTACATAAGCATTTCGGACCTGTCAGATTAGCCGATTGTGGTGGACGAGTAGGTCTGTTTCCTGGCACAGTGGGGGCATCACTGTAAAACGAATTTAGGTAACTATATTGCATATAAATATTCAGTAGAATTTTTAAACATTTAACTCACCGTGAGCAACAGTAGCATTGCCCCTTCGGTATCGTGCAGTTAAAATCCGATAGAGATTTTATACACGTGTAACTAAATCGATTGGCATGCAAATTTTGTGTCTCGCAAAATGCATCTCGACTGTCATAATCGTTCAGGAAACAATGCGATTTGGGGTGCTCTTCCGAACAGCAGCCATAGTAAACGTAACCTGGTGGGAAATTCTTGTTGCAATACGTATTCACATATGGCTGAAGAAGGGAACGCGATGATGTGGGGGATATTTTTGGCACAAGGGATAAGGTATCGACTCCATTGTCGTCTGCATGGCAGATTAAGAAGTAACAGCTTAGCTGGGCAATTAAAAATATAAATCGCAACATTTCACCACAATTGAGTAGTAGACCAAAACTAAATGTCATTTTGTGGAAATGTTATGAAATATACGGATAAAACCTGACCTACTTGGAGAATTACATGATTGTCTGCTTTGATTGTGAGTTCCTTCTTTTGTCATTTGTTTGCGATATGGGTTGAGTGATGAAAGGATTTTTAGCTGATAAGGACGCACTGTGACTTTACTGAACACAGTGAGTATAAATAGATATGTAGATACATGCGTTAAATGCATAATTATATAAATAGATTACGTATGTACGTCAGTTTAATTTTTTTCATAATCGCATGCGAGTGCATTGAGGTGTCTGCAATAGGTCCAAATGGTGACCTGCGCGGCCGGACTCCTGCCCCTATGGGCACGAATCCTCCCCATATAATACATACATGTACGTCGGTTTAAATTCGTTGGAATTAATTGATTTTTTTTACTGAAGACGAATCGGCCTTACGTAGGTAACAGGTGGCCCACTGAAACTGTACGCTAAATAAGACGCTATAGCTTTAACAGTTTTTGCGTTACAGAATTCTAGTAAATTTTAGTCGAAGGCCAGTTAATTTCTGATTAGAAAACAATTTTTAGTTTCGAAATTTCCTCCCCCCGCAATAATGCAGCTCTCAAGACGCCGCCTGCAGTCCTTTTCCGAAGCACGCACTGAATTCGTGGACATAGTGTTCCATTTCGTGATCAAAAAATTTTTTCAGACCTCTAAACTTCTACGAGACTTAGAACACACCTTTGCCCCTAACTTTGACCATTTTTCATATTCCGGTGATTCAAATCCAGCAAACATGATGACCATTTCTAATTGGAGATAAAGACCGGAATTTGGTTTTTTAGCTACGCTTGGGTCATTTTTTGCACTATAAGTTCGTGCTGAGTCCTGCTGAGAGGTCCCATCGATTCCATTGAATTGGATCTCACTTAGGGGATGTACCACGGACTCAAAAACATATTTTAAGAAATTTAATTCCCCCATCTCCCCCCAATTTTCAGCAAAATGTAGAGAAATTACCCCAATTAGCTCCCACCCGCCAAAATCATCAAAAAACCTGGATAATGTGACTTTCTGACCTTTTGTCTATATTGGGGGATGTCTCTGACCGATTTTGCGTAGATTAGGCCAACTCGCTTGTTAAAAGATTTTTCCGATGTGAAAATCTCCTCATTTGTAAAAATAATCCTGCTCACTTTTTTGGAGCGTACCGTTTGAGGTGACTGCTGCATTTCTTTAATCTAGCTTTCCTTTGGGGTTCGATCAGGCTGTGGCAAGTACCACATTTAAAAGTCCTAAGTCTATGGTTCAATTTGAGCACTCATTGGATAATTTACATCGACACTGTCAGCAGTGAGCCCGGTTTCCGTTGGAATTTCGTGAATTTCTTCGGATTCCAGGCTTGAGAGGCTTCCCGATGGGTGTGGTCCTTGGAGGTTTTCAAAAACGTTTTTATAGTCCGTTGGACTAAATTAAAGTTCACGTTAGATTCCTGTCACACTTTTCAAATTCTCTATTTCTCGTCCCATTTTTTTGGTGAAAAATTATCGCCGCCCGCGTCTCTTCAATATTTTCCCTGCTGGTATACTTTGCAAGATTTTACAAATTGATCAATGTTATTTATGCAAAATCGGATGAGGAATCTAATGCAAATATCAGATTTTCATTATTTCCAGCGGTTTTAATGATAAGCGCTAGGTACAGCTACAGTGGGCCCAGTAAGTATGTATCTTAATAGCAATACAAAAATTTAATATTACTGGAGCCAAATTAAAATGTTTTCAGTTTCTGGTAAATGCATGTACATAATTATAATTAAAAATTCGAGTATTCTACTTACAATGCGATGACGCCAGCGGTCTCGCTCCGATTTTGACGAAACGACGATAATTATGTACCCTTAGATCAATAATTAGACACGTGTTTCAAGATTTTTCATAATGCTCAGTTTAAACGAAATTATGACGAAATCCGTGAACAAGAATTCCCATTTTCACCGTGACATTTTTCTGGCAAGGGAGAAAAATACAGATTCTCCATTACGGAGTCCATCATAATTTCGTCTAAGCTTAAAATGTGTGAGCATGAAGTGTTTTTTCCGATTTTATGTTGATTGTACAAATTTTGAAATTTTGAAAATTTCCAAAAATTTCCAAAAATTTTTGAAAATTTCTGCAATTTTTGAAAATTTTTTCAAAAAGGCAACAAACCAAAATCGTAGAAAATCACTTCGTGTCCACCAATTTTAAGTTTAAACAAAATTATGATGGACTCCGTACTGGAGAATCTGTATTTTTCTCCCTTGAGAGAAAAATGTCACGATGAAAATGGGAATTTTCGCTCACGGATTTCATCATAATTTTGTTTAAACCGAGCATTATGAAAAATCCTGAAACACGTATCTAATTATTTATCTAAGGCTACATAATTATCATCGTTTCGTCAAAATCGGAGCGAGACCGCTGGCGTCATCGCATTGTTAGAAATGTACTTGTTGTAGGTAAGTATTAACCACTTCGCCCCTATAACGACTATGTGGCGTATTTGACCTTTACGCCGAATACGACTATGTGGCGTAAGTTCCCTTGGCTCCGAAATACGACGATGTGTCGTATTGACCCTTGACAACGGAAACGACTATGTGGCGTATTTTCCGTTCCCACCGGCATACGACTATGTGTCGTATCCAGAAAAAAAATTAGGTCATTGCTCTTCCAAGTATAGTTTTGAGTCAACAATCCGCCATTTGGGCGGGAAAATGAATTGCCTCTTCGGAACCAATGTTATACAGGGAGGTAAAAACAATTTATAGCCAACTGGCTATTTCTAGCTAACACGCCCAGTTTTGAAAACTGCTGTGAAATTGTTTTTCTCGGATTTAGAACGCCCCAACGACATTTTTGGCGGGAAAACTAACCACTGGAGCCGATGAAATCTTGTTGGGCGGGAAAATTAAGAGATTGTCTGGAAAGTAGCATATAATTTTCCCGTTAAAATTGAGTTATATTCAAAATGCGCTAAAGTATGGTTTCGAACAGTTGATGCTATAATTATTCATTACCACTGCTATCAATTTAAAGTCACTGTAAGAAAACGTTTGTTTTCCTGCCCTAAGTATGCGTAAATTCTATGCATGTTAACTGTACAAGGAGCAATTTTTACACATTTTAGTCTAATTACAAAATTATTTATAGCCAATGTCATGAATTGAAAGCCATATAATTTTCCCGCCCAAATCCGCTTCTGGGGCCCTTGAGGGGTGATAATCGATTTTTGCGAATATATGTACTATTATGCACGTATTAATCAGTGTTTGTGCAACTTTGCATGCAATTACAATCATTTTTAAATTCGGCGTGTTGGCTATTTTCGGCTATAAAAATTAGTGGTTCGCAACAATGCACAAAGGCAAATTACAACTCAAAATCCGTTCCCAAATGGTTATTCGCATCAACTTTCATAAAAAAGTGTCCAGAATAATTCCGGTGGGAACACCATTTTTCAATTCATCTCCCAGTAATTAACGTCATGCAGTAGGTGAAAATTTCGGGGTCAAGGGAAGAAAAAATTCGCCGTTACTAGGGGTGAAAGGTATGAAAATATTCGCCTCTCAGGGGTGAAGTGGTTAAGCTTACATGAAGGGAAAGCGTATGTAATACCTATATTATTATGTAACTAGTGTAGAAGCCCGTCAATCGACGTGCAAAATAGGCCCGTCGATAAGCCCGTTTACCCCAACATTAGTGAAGTTAGCCTCTCCTGTACTCTCTGCAGAGTGGAGAGCGAAAAGGAGAAGCTAATTTCTCAACTAAGCCACCGACCCAGCCAGCAGCGATACACTCGCCTGCTTTATATAGTTTAGATAAATTGCTGTATGTATGTAGCTGTATATGAAAAAGCAACGTAAAATTCCATTCCAAATCCGTTCATTTATTCACATTATAAGTAATTTAACGTAGATATTTACATATGAATGAATCAAGACAAACAGATTGCACTTATTCTTCACTAAAATGAACTAATATTCCCCAGTAAACCGGAACATAATTGTTGACATTACTACAGTACTAATTGAAGTTGCGAGCCTAGTTAAGGTCAACATGGGTTGGTTATGCTGAACTACTACATATAAATACACGTTATTGATTAATACCAAGAATGTATTGCATAACATTGCTCACATATGTAAATAAATAGTTGACAATAAATAGATACAAACAAAGAAGAAATAAAATTCGGACATATCTAATATATTTGTAGGAGTATTTAGGTTGTATGTTGCATTTAAATGTTTTACCCTGGTAACGATCTCTTAATAAATATTCTGAAATATTTTTTTTCCTCTGGACCAAGCAAACGCCAACCTATCTTATCTTGCCCCCTTTGGTCTGGTTAAAGTATGGCCCTCAACTAAGCACTTAAGACTGGACCAACTCTCGGTTATGCTTATCGGAAATTTTAGAAGTGTACGTTTGGTGGATTTTGACTGAATTTCTAAGCTAGATTTTCATCCATTTTCATGTTTTTGTTTGCCCCTTGTTACATACAATGTATTTATATTTATACATATTTTATCTTTAATATCTAGGCTATTCGCGAATTGTGTCTCCAGATTAGGTATTGATGATTATTAATCCGGATTAGAATTAACTAATTCACAATTCAATCCTTGTCCAACTAATCTTAATCCCGAAAAAAAGTAATCCAAAACTAATCACGATTGTGAATTATTATTTTTTCACAAAATACATATTGCCCGCTCTCCGTCTCTCGTTCGATTTTCATAAGCATTCCAATTTCTCCTGCTGTAACTTTTCTATTTTTGTTCTAACCGAAACAAAAAACGAAGTGTTTTCCCCATGTTTGTTATATTACGTTTCCAAGGTCGAATAAGTTAAAACTAATCCTTAATCCGGATTATTTAATCTTAATTCTTAATCCAAATGGTTCTCGAAAAATAACTAATCCCTGAAAAAGTGATTAACGCAGGAACTAATAACTAATCCAACTCCAACAATGGATCCTACTCGGAGCAGAAAACAATTTAGTCACCGAACTCTGATACCAGAGCCCAATTTAGGATGGGCAAAATTAAAATATCCATAAGGATAGGTGTGACATCTAATATTGTTGATTCATAATTATCGTATACAAAAATATAAACCTTTATTGAAAACGGTACGCAATTAAACTATAACTTGCGAAAGGTGTTAGATAAATTTTTAGAACTTTTTAATGCTGGCAGCAGTTTTTATGTTACTTAGAATTTTTTTTCGGTGCAAAACTTTTTTAATACTAACTTTATTACAGGTTAAGTTAGGACTCTAGAATTGTGAATAAATTTCTTCTCGGTAAGAAATTCAGGATTTTGTGAGAAATTGTAATTTTCGAGCCCACAAAAAAATTATGTATAGGTGCCTGGTGGCAGACTAAATGATTGAATTGCAATATCAAGTTCAACTGAGCAAAATCATCCGCCGAAAGGGGTATATCTAGTCTCATTGGATGGATCATTACAGAAACCACCTTTATTTTCGTTTTTATTTAAATTTACTTAATTTATATCGATCATGAACAATTCACGATTATTATCCGGACCACGTAAGAGCAGGACAGAGAGCAGACAAATGTGCAGTAGAAACCGCTTACCGCCCGTAAGAAATACATGGGAGGAGGTTGGCGGTGGTGCACCACAGGCCTCCAATGCATTTCTTACGGGCGGTAAGCGGTTTCTACTGCACATTTGTCAGATTTTGTGCTGGTCTTATGAGGACCGAATAATATTTTATCCTACGGCGCCCGTGCAAGTGCCTGGGTTCTCCAACCCTCGTTGGCCCCTGGACTCTGTTCATTTACTTGCATGCATAAACTTTGGATATGCACTTTAAAGATAATTTGAAAGATGCCCCTCAGCTAATGACTTTCTACCAATTTTCGTACTTTTTGAGACGTTCGTTAAAGCAGGAAATCACAATAGGTTTAAGGTGTAAATTAATTACTATCATGTCTTATGCTATACTTTCACTTCCATATTTTACTAAAAGTTCACTAATTTGTTCTCAGTATTATCACTCTTATGAAATATATATTTGGTAAAAAACGATATTTTATCAAGGGAGTTCATAATATAAAATTTTAATTTATCGTTTGGTAGGTATTAAATGCGTTATATTGCATTTTACAAGTGCGCTTCCTCATGGTTCTGGACATAATATTCTTAACCTATGTATTACTTATTTAATCGTGCAAAGTGTGTAAATTCATGATAACACAAACATGCTGAATAACTTATATAGTGAACTATAAATATGTACGCATGCAAGACTATTACAGTATTAAAATGATTTAACAAATAAGTTAAAAAGTTTTATAAACTATGGGGCAAAGTCTTAAAATCACAAAAAGTATATGCATTCTACGGATGGACTAATATTGGAGTTTCAGGAAACGCAAACTCTTCAAGTGTAAATCGTGCCATTCTCTGTAATAAGCAATCAAAATCCACCAAACTTATCATGCCGTAAAAATATTTTCCTACTCAACATTCAAATTCCTCCTCGACAGTTTGCGTCGCAACGTCTGCAAAATACCAATATTCGTCTTCTGAACCATCCAGAATATCCTCCGGATTTATGACTACAAGATTATCCTCATAATACTCTTCTTCTTCCTCAACTGGTGGGACTACGATTTCCTGTTGACCGTTAACCCCCTCTTCGCCTTCATCGTCGTCATCATCTTCCATAAATATCGGCGCAGGATTGTCCATGTCAATCATTTCTTCCTCGTTTTCAGGGAGATGACCGTTTTCAATGATTTGATTATCATCAGGGATGTTCTCATCCTCAAGGGGATTGCCTTGTTCCATAACGTTATCGTCCTCGGGAACATTATCGTCTTCAGCAATAAAAAATTCTTCTTCGGGAATATAAACTTCCTCCTCGTCAATGATGGGATCCTCTTCTGGAGGTTGGGGAGACGCACGGGGCGTGGGTGCTTGTGCGTCCACTTGGACTTGTCCATTTTGTTCTATATCATCAGCCACTTGTTCTTCGTTTGGTGGCGGAGTTTCTGGGGGAGCTTGGCGTTTCTGAATATTTGGAGAATCACATCTCTCCAAAATTATGATGGGCTGACGTATTGTTAGGAGTTTCATGAGTGGAATCGGGGATTTACTTCGGGGTAAATTGTTCTTTACACTTCTAGTCTTTCGACGTTTCCCGAACAAAAGATGTCTGGGTCGGTGACGATTAGATTTTGATGGGGAGGACGCAGACTTTGTTGGTGATACGAGAAGTTTAGTCTCCTCACTGTATGAGGAATGGTCCATAACTTTTAAGCTCGTTCTCGTCAAACGAGTCGGACTTGTAATCCTTTCTCTGGGTTGTCTTCGTAATTTATTTGGCAATTTTAGCTTGAGGAGTAATTTTGGTACTTTATCTGGCGTTGGTTTGACATCATCATGCTGAGTCACGGTGTCGGTATCAACGTCTTTGTCCTCGTCTGATGTTTCATCCAAATTTCTATGCGACCATATCCTCTTCTTCGCTCCGTTATTGTTCTGTCGATCAGCCACGTGTTTGGCAATTGGGTCATCTCGTCCACCAGAGGCTTGGAGCATGGCCACTATTTCGATTAAACTCATCTTGCTAGAATTTCGCTTGATATCATCCGGGAGTAGAGTAGGTAGTGGGTTTGGTGGTGCTTGAACCTCATCTTGTACCTGGAATAATGAATGTTTAAATTTACAGGATATATACAATCTTTGTACAATTTAAAGTCTAATATGCTCACATTTTCTAAAACTTCTTTGGGTGGATGAAATTGGTCGACATGCTCTCTTAATCCTCTCTTCGGGTTAATCTGTAGGCCACACATGTCACAAAATTTCACACGTACGGGAAAGTGTTTCATGGCCTCGTGCGACTTTAAGAGGAGGTCTGTGTCGAATTTTAGAGAACATATTTCACACGGGTGCTTACTAACCGGTTTATTTGTTCTGCCTCGTGAGGACGAAGACGGGATTGTCTGAAAAGTAAACAGGGAAATGAATAAACCAGTTCAAGGACATTCCAAAAATCAATATTGATTGTGCAACTGAACGAATGCATGCGACACTTTCTTCAACTTGGTTATAAGCTGCTCATAATAACTTCTTACAACTTGTAAGAAATTCAGACTGTTTAAATACTAAAAGTTAAACCACCTCCCTCAACCAGTTTATCTCAATAGGGGTATTCAAGAGATATTGTAAGCTGATCCCAAACGTAAACAACGTAAAATTGTGCGATCGACTTCAAATTCAAAACTTTAGCTTCTAGTGTCCTTAAAATTTATTTCTACTATATTTTGATTGTCGTGACCTCTCTTCGACACAGTATGACCTGACTGGCTAAGGGTTTAGTGACCCTAAAAATTTATTTACACTCGCCATGACCTATTTTCAATACGATATAACCTGATTGGCTAAAATTGGGTGATCTGTTTACAGATTTAGTGCATGGATTAAGTCGAGCAAGGGTCATGACGATAAAAATAAAGTAGAAATAAGTTTTTAAGGTCACCAAACCCGTAAGTTTTGAATTTCAAGTCGATGGCACAATTTTAGCCAGTTAGGTCATATGGTGTCGAAAAAAAGGTCATGGAGATGAAAATATAGTAGAAATAGATTTTTAAGGTCACTAGAAGCTAAAGTTTTGAATTTCAAGTCGATCGCGAAAGTTTACGCTGTTTACGTTTGGGATCAGCAGCCCTTGAATAACCCTATTGAGATAAACTGGTTGAGGTAGGTGATTTAAGTGGCAGTATTTAAACAGTCGGCTTACAAGGTTTATATTTTGTAAGTATTTTATTAGATAAACTTTATGAAAATCATATAAACCCACCTTGACCTCACTCTCAACAATTTTCAAACCGTGGTGCGCCTTTTTTACATGCCTCCTTAAGAGTCCCATCCTCGGCATTGACTTTTCGCATAGGGGACATGCATACCTTACTAGGTCAGAGGAATGCATTTCATAGTTATGACTGCGTAACAATGCCACAGACTCAAAGTTTATGTTACAGATTTTGCATAATCCATAATTTACAACATCCTCTTTTTTATGATCTGTGTCAATGTGGGTGTGAAGAAAGTCTTTAGTTTGATAACTTTTCTGACAGAGTTCACAAGTATAAAGGGTAGCAGATTGACCACATTTTGCTTCAACGGTAGTTATCGAGGTAATGGCGGCATAGTTTCCTGAGTCAGGAATTGTGCACGAGTTAGATTGCACTGAAAAAGTCTTCCCCATTGGATCGAGTAAATCCTACGAGAGAAAAATTTACTTTTAGCCCATGTAAAAATATATTTTAAATGCTTTTCAATATTTTAATGGGTTAATAAAGGTATTCAGTGAATACTATTCAGTGAATACTATTCACTACGAGTTCGCATCGTTAGCAAAAAAAATGGCTTGAAAATTAATTTGGGAACTTTCGCATCTCCAAGTATAGTATTTAAGCGTAGTACTCACTCAGGACGATTTTTTACGTGAAAAAGTTTAGCCAAAACGAGAAAAAGAAACTTAAGTAACATTTTGCAATTGATTTAAAGAAATATTCCCATTTGGAACATTTTGTAGTGAAGTTCAAGTAATTCCAGCGAAGGATGTGCTGTTTCTCGTGAAAGTCTGTCCTGAGTACTAGGCTTTAGTTTGCAATTTTTTTGCGATGCAAACTCATGAATCTTCCCAATTATTTACATACTTTTGACTTTAAATACTTGTCCAACTCGTGGCTGTCGAGGAAATGCATGCGTAACTGGCTCAGTTGAGGGTACGATTGCCGACATAGTTCACACTTGTAAGGTTCCCTTGATAACGAGGGGTGTTTATGGTTACCGGCGCAGACTGGTTCTTCATCAGGGTGAACTTTTTCGACATGGGAAATAACGGCATCTTCCGTATCAAACTGTGCCTTACAAAAGAAGCATTCATAGGCGAGGTCTTTACACGATCTGGTGTGGTTGATCATGTTAGCCTTGAAAGTGAACTTTTTGTCGCAAGTTGGACAAGGATAGAGTTCGGTTGACTGCCTCTTCTGGCGGGGAGATCGACTCTGCAGGAGCGTGTGCCCTTCCATCTTGTGGAGGGAGAGGCACATCTGGGTGGAAAAGTCAGAGTGACAATCATCACATTGAAAAAACCTGGTGGGTACTAATCGAGAGGGTGGTGTGGTAGTGGCCATCTGGAAGGAGAATGAAATCAGTATGTCATAACCAAAGGCAAATTTGTAAATATTCTCATGCTAAAGTGGTGTTTATGCTTCACGTCACCGTTACGTTCTCCTCCAAATCCGATTTTTTGATTGGTTACAATATTTAATTGTCGTAGTGATAATTTCGCTCAAGCCAATCAAAAAATCGGATTTGGAGGACGTGACGATAACGTGAAGCATAAACGCACCTTAACATGGTAACCGGAAATGTGTGCTTTGTAATCCAAAAGTATTATCTAGTAACATTTAAAAGGCAAGTCGTATTGGCAAGTCAGGCTTGCAATCTTGGTCGAACCGGGGTATGCTGGGTAACATAAGTATTATGGCATCTAGCTCGAACCCAGCATACCAAAGCACCCCAATACAAGCTAAATTCATACAATGCTCTTTGCATAGTTGCGTTACATTAAGGTTTTGAGTATCTGACACAGTTGAAAATCGCTTTTAAAGACATGCTATTGAAAAACTCCTTCAACAAATCATAGTGCCTATAATATCATCCTTTCGAAACACTTCTTTTCACACCACTGGACTGAAGCTACATAAATTTCTTCTTTGAGAAGCACATCGACAACCCCCAAACTGTAGGCTTCAGTTGACAACTAACATCCCGAATAACGTCAACCAAATAAAAGTGTAAACCTAAATCAAGGCCTAGGTTGTAGAAAAACCGTTCTACTTGCGTAATATCTACGTAGAGTGGACGGAGAATGAGTACGATTCTCGAGACTATTGTTGAATCAAAGAAAACCCTACCATTTTTGCCTGGTAATCTTGGCGACTGGCGAGACAAGTACTGGGTTGGGACCATAGAATAGGAATAACAAGATGAATTACAGTACGTCTTTGTAAAGCAAGTAAGATGGATGATTCTACCAGTCAACTCTGAGATGTCGCTTAAACCGCTTAGGTAATTAGGCAAACTCACAGATACCTCGTACTCCATCTATACGTTGACTATTTAGGATCTGCTCATTCAGGCCTAAATTGTATCTTTATTTATGGTGGTTAATTACTCGTCGCTAGAGCTCTCACTAACACCATCTCTTACTCATTTTGTATTTACCAGTGCTACTGTATTGGCTAAATAGTGCTTGTATTGGCTACTGTATTGGCTAAATAGGAAATTGTATAAAAGTGAAAGTTCTCTACCGGGAAAAATAGTAGCCACTACAGGGTGTGCACAATTTTAGGTTGGATGGAATATATAGCCCAACGATTTATGGACGTATAAGTTCACTTCCATTGGGTAAAGAGGTGAATACTTGAAACGGCATAATAGGTACACTCTTAGGCAACTGGTATTGAATTATTACGAATCATTACTAGACGGAGTATGGACTGTCCCCTTATTGAGCAATTGAAAAATGACGAATTTTTTTGTTTACCAAAATGCTGCTCAAATATTGCTTTTGCCGAGCTATCATTTTGCCACATTAGGTTACAAAAAAAATTCGAAACATGGTTTCTGATGGATAATTTTATGGGGATTTCAATAAAAAATAGTACAACTCTCTAAAGGCACTCCAACTAACTTTATCTTGCATTGTACATAACATATGGCACTACTAGGTATGTCAAGATATTGCCGTTAAAAAGGAACTCAGTTTATCACAATGTCACTTTATAAATATTTGTGTACCTCTATGGGCAATTATACCTGAAAGGGGTTTGATGAATCAATCAATCAATCAACAGAGAACAATGAATAAATGTCGCAAATTAAACTTCGAAAATTAATCTAGGAAGAGTAATCAACAAAACCTAGTTTAAGCATACCAGTATGATTAGTATTACAATTAAGTGCCTACCTAACCAATACAAGAACTAATTAACCTATGAATCGTTAAGTTTGGCATCATCTTCGTTTGTTAATATAGCAATTAGTCGGGCTGTCGAGCTGCATACAAGGTCTATGGTCGGGCCACCCAGAAGGATGTACATAAAGCAAGAACAGAGTAGATTTAACTAGATAGTGAATAAGTTATACTCTGGTTGAGGAGGATAGATGCTTTGCGGGTGGAGTTTATTTCCTGAGAAAGCTGTGCTTGGCCTCAGTTCTCCCTGTTAAGAAGAGGCCCAACACTGCTTTTTCACGAAATAAACTCCACCCGCTCAGCATCTACTCATCTCGCTATAACTATAGTTGTGCTGTACAGAAGAAGCTAAATAGCGAGAAACCAATCGCCCCTTATGACGTTCTTTCCGGAGGCCAGGGTCTCTCGCCATTTAGCCCTTCCCGCACAGCACACAACTAACTCACTTCAAGTATAGTTAGGCACACAAGCCGTGTTTAAGGGACAATAATTACATATTATGAGAATTGTCGTAAATTATGTTTGTAAATGTGGCTAATTTATTTATTGGGCGTGCGATTACGTAACTATTTGCAAAAGAATAAACTACGCATAAAATGATTTTCAGTGGTTGTGGACTTGGTGATATTTATTTCTCTCGAGAGAGGATGAAACTCATGTGAAAAAGTGGTGGACATTTGTGTCCCAATAAAGAGGCAGCTTGAGACGCAGTATTTGGTGGTCTGACTACATATACGTTTATTCCCTCCTTCCACTTTGCTGTCCAAAAACCCAATAATCTACTTTACAATGTCAACCTTTTCATATCGTTTTCTCTCTCCCCCACTACTTAAGGATCTATGTACATACGTGTATCTTACAATCTAACATAATGCTGCCTTTGCACTCTCTCACGCTTCTGCATGGGTCAAGAGTCAAGCATAATAAATTTTAATGGTTGGCTGGAACTTTGTTGCTGGCTGGTCGAAACTGGACACTTTTCACCAGATCTTGGTCTCTGGTTGAGATGAGATGCTGACAATATTATGTAAGCACTTGTTAATAATTATAATTATTGCAACTGCAAAAATATTTAATTGTAAGGTTGACTTTTTTGTCAAAAATTCCCATGACAGTTGACAACTTTTTAATAATAGTCAAATTATCCGGCAATGAAAAAATGTGAGGGGGCAACCTGAGATTCGCATACATATTGAACAACTACAAAAACAGCGAGAATGACCACTAACAATCGACGACAACGATAAGTAGAACCATAAATATATACATATATGACTACCAGTTTATTCTCGGAGTAACTCCTTATACCAAAATATTCAGCTATGTGGTTAGGCATATTTTTGGGCAGCCAAGTGTAATCTTAACCATCAAGATGTTTAAATCATCAAAGATTTAGGTAAAATAGAATACGTTCCTAATACTGGCTGCAGAAAATTAAATCAAAAATAGGTAAGTAAGCATATATTTTGTGGGATTTCTTTGCAGTTCTAGCTTCGAAACACTTCAAAGATTTTCAAGACTGCACTGGACCGATGTGAATCTGAAAAATTTACCAATTCCAACAGGTCAAAAACTATCTGGGTAAAGAGATTCGATTGATAACGAGCTAATTTTGTGCATTCTTTGTCAAATGGCTTTTGTAAAGAATGTTTTTCTTCATGGGCTGAAGGAACTTATGCATTGAGCTACATGTTGCTTTGAAATTACCAAAAAAATCAATTGGAACAAAGAGCTTTCATTGTTGAGATAAATTAACATTCATATTACTTATTGGACTTTCCTCATAGAGGGCGGCACACAAAATATTTATATTATTTAAGAACCCCTGTTAAAGCATCGGAATAAGTTCTCTTATGTATGTATGGCATATCTAATTCTATGATTGTCTTGGAAGCATCGAATAATTAGCAATATTTTGCGTAGTGAACAAAACTCTCATATGTAAGCGCTTTCTGAACCAAGACTTGTTACAAAATACGAGAAAGTAAAAAATACAAAGTTTTAGATGAAATTTATGATTACACTAGGTATGAACTTTAATATTCAAAAATACCAACCTCTGGATGCATCAAGGCAATATGGTCTCTCCAATGACTTTCTCGTTTTAAGTAGATTCCACAATGGGGGCAGCAATACCTTTGGTTGTCATGCACTTCGACAAAATGCTTATCAAGCTCTGGGAATGTTGAGCATACTTCGGTACAACGATTACAGTAAAATGTCGTCTTGTTTTCAATCTCCTTCCGAGTGTGAGCCCCCATGAACCACTACATACAAATTTAGAAAAAATTACAAACATGAACCTAAGAATTTATTATTACAATAAACCTGGGTAAAACCGGAATATAAAAAGGTGGCGAAACCACATATGCTTCTTAATGTAATCCGTCATTGAATACTAAAACCCCTTTCGATCAACGCCTCTCTGAAATAACTTTCGTTTGAATGACATGCCATAACATTTAAGGTCACGGCGGTCACTACGGAGGTCAAACTTGGGAAATGTTGACGGTGCTGACTTCGTCTCATACATACCTAAATACTGTTCATGTTAATGCCCCATATGAGATATTTGAATTTAAAAAAACCTCGTGACCTTTTCTTTGACCCTAAAGGGTCAAAAAAATAAGCGTGCATCTAGTTTGACATTGTGTTATCGAATGAAAAAAAATCCTTCTAGCATGTCCCGAACATATTACAACATATACAGATGGACAGACGGACGGACACAGCATTATAATATAGTGGTTTCGCCACTCAAGAACCACGTTCAAAATTAATCCTTACTTACCGATATCCCATCCTCTTCTGGATGAGTTTCATGCAAGTGTTTTCTAAAGTTGTCACAGTCAAAGGTTCCTCTTACACACCCCAAACGACTACTTCCTCTCACCTCGGGGGCTAAAGGATGACCAAAGGGGCAGGAAATCTGTAAAGGTTCGCCTTGGTCAAAGTGGGCACCAAAGAGATGTTGGAGCAGGTCGTTCCGCTTATGAAATAAGAGTGAGGGACAATTTTGGCACGTGAACGTCTTGGCGGATCTCATCCTCTTGGTGGAAATTCTAGTTAGATCTGCAAGATTGGCGGGAGTGACTTTGAGACTTGTTTGACGAGTTCTGAATTTCTTATTGGCATTGGCTTTTTTGGCAGATTCCTTAATTTGCTTATGTGTAGATATAAACTTTTGTTTAATTTCCTCTGGCGTATCTAAATTTGACCGGAGGGGTTTTTTGGGTTTCGACTTGTTCTTGGCGCCAGGAGGCCGGCCAGGGGGCCGACCTGATGACCTTTTTTTGTGGGGGCTGACAGGAAGCTGAACGATAACCTCCATATCTTCGTCAAGGGTTATCTTATTCCCCTTAGGAAGCTTGCCTGCTGGGGGTATTTGCGGGTCAAGAGTGGGCATTGGAACATCTTTGATGGCGTGGGTGTTACTTGAAGGGGATGCTTTCGGGGAATGGACCTGGAACAAGGGAAAGTATAGAATTAAACGGATTTATATTATTGCACTCTAAATAATTTTGTAGAAATTTATTAACGGTGAGTGAATCTAAAAAACCGCATGAGATTTGATACAGCGTTTCTAAACTTACTGAAGTCGTTTGTGAAGATCGCCGAGATGAAATTCTTTTCACATGGTCATCATCTTCCAACTTTTTTGGAGAATCCATAACAACATGTTCAGGATCAGTCGCTTGGTCAGCATCACTTTGTTCATCTTGTTCTAGACGTAATTTATCTTGAGTAGCCTGAAATTGTAGTTACATTATTAGTTATTACCCCATAAAATAAAAATTAGCATGTTATTTAATGAAAATTCGTATGTACTTCTGTTGTAGTGTCCAAATCACTGAACGCATCATTTCCAAATTGCATTTCATCTCCATCTTCATTACTTGTATCGACTTCTTGATCAAGTTTGGGTGGACCATCTTCAAGTCCGCTCTTGTTCTTCCTCCTTGAACGTCTTTTCAACTCTTTTCCCTTATCGTCAAGATTTTTACCAAAGATTGCGTCCAATTTTTTATGTCTTTTTCTCTCCCTGCGACGTTCCTTCTTTCTCCTCGACCTCTCTTCTCTGCTCTCCCTCCGAACTCCCTTTCGATCATCGCGCCCTCTACTGTAAAATTTCTTGTGTGTCAAATAACTCATGAGAAAGGTCCCATTTTTTGTCACAAAATCCTGAAACCGACCAATATCCTGAAGGGTTATCGTCTCAGAGGGCATTATCATATCGAGTGCAGTTTTCAATTCGTCTCCTTCTTCAAAGTCTCCTACTCCCGAGTTGCGCCTCGTGGCGACAAAATCGGCCAACATTTTTCTATATGTGCTAATTTCAACTTGTGTGACCTTTCGAATTTTGACGTTCGCCCAGTGATCTATACATGCAATGTTGTCCTCGGTGCATAAAACAGTTTCAAAATGCGAGATTGAAATGGGCCCGGAAACGACGGGATTTATTTCAGAAGTTTCAGACACTAGTTTTTCGCCTGTCGACCTGGATGGAAAGCCGGTAGCGGCTAAAAGCTGAAGATATAATTCGTACTCGGCCCTTTCCATTTTGTTTCGTACTCTTGAATAGGCTGCCACTCTGGCTTTCGTTTCTTCCGGGGTTAACCCTTTTACACAGAGAGGGCCGTCTTTTTTCCGACTACTGGTTTGCGATTGGTCATCTTTATCGCGTCGTACGGTAACAGATTTATAATACGCGGCAATTCTTATGTCTCTATGCAGTTGTGATTCCCTAGAGAAGGAATCTCGCTTTTGGATAAGTTCTTTGATAAGGGCATCAAGTGCGGCACGTTTCTCCGTGGTTATCCGATCTGTTAAAAAACCTCGTTCGGTATCGACTTTTAAGCGTTTTTCAGTCTCGCTGGGTTTTGAGCAGATCCACTTTTGTCGCGCAGATAGGAACCCGACATGAAGGGTTAACCCTTTAGTATGGACTTTGGTTGCGGACGAGATCGGAAGGGTTGGTTCGTCAGGTTCGCTGTCTCTGCTGCTAGTAGAAGCGGATGACCTGCGGTCAGAAATTTGGTCAAGAGGAAGTACCATCTCCTTACTTGGAGATGGTACACCGTTATTAAGTAGCTGGTCAATGTACGCACTGGTGGAATGCAAATTTTCGTCTTCAAGATGGTCGTCATCTTCAAAGGTGTCTACTTCGACCTTGATTTGTTTCAAGGGATTGCGAAGGGTCAACGCAATTTCAGCTTCGCTGTAACCCTCTAGATTTATAACATTTTTCCAACGGTTGCGTATTTCTTCAATGGCAGGATCCGGTGTAGATGCATTGTTTCCTGTAACGTCATGAAATACGTTGATTAAACATTTGAAAGGCAGAAGAATTCAATTTCAATTTAAAATCAAGTTGATCAACGTTAGATTTGTACGCGCAGTCGATTCTTTAACTTGCCCTGACGTATACTTGATAAGCAGGCATATAAATGAGCGATTTGTCAAGTTTTACTAGTTGAAGATACATACAACATTCACTGATTTTAAGGCTATTCGTACATAGGAGAAAAATTGCCACGCTAATTACAAAGATAAACATAATCTCAGATTAACAAATATTTGCATCAATACCAGAGTTCCGTGTTTGTGCATATAATAAATTCACATCTCAATATGTAATATGACACTATAGATGTTCTATGTACACGCATTCCATATGAGATGACAACCTTTCTCCTGGCCTATACACGATATGTACGCTGTGACGCAAGATTACGAGATACATAGAGATGTAAATATTTATGCATTACAGGTCTACATAATTTGAACATGGAATGGATTGGTGAAGAAGAGAATCCGTATCGTCGCACTTGTTGGATTGTACAAAGTACATGCACTTTGTACGCATGGAATAGAACCTTCCAGAGAAATCAGTTTTCCATTACATATTTCTCCTCTACGAGAGGGAGACCCTTGCATAAAAAATGGTTGGGTTATGCACGTCAAAGCGGAAATTGTATGACAAGCCTAAACCAATAATAAAAAAACGGAAAAAAACTTGTATAACAAAAATACACATATACGTGTATTGAAACCGTATATGTAGATATGCAAACTTATCAAAGCAACGTACAAAAGTAATTTCGCAAATTGTTTTACCAAACATGTATTCCCTTGACTAATTCAGTTATCCTGTTATGAGAGGTTTAAGACGATGCCTTCAAATTGTTGAAAACTGAATTAACTGAAATTCCTGAATTGAATTACTGAAATGGGGTTGTCTCTTGGATGATCAAAGTTCTAGACCTTAACATGCTTGCCAATTCTTAAGAGCTAATAATTTAATGAAAAAAAAACAGGCATATTAGTAGATGAATAATTAAATAATTTTTATACCTAATCGTGATGATGTTCTCAATTTTATAAGGGCCAGTAAGAGCGGCGATTTCCCTACGGGGACATTCGGCCCAAGTTCAATTTCAAGCGCTTCCTCGCACAAGATATTCCTCTCGCGGAGGTACTCGAGGTTTAATTTGTACAAGAAATATTCCACCCATGCCATCTCATCCGCGACTTCATTTGTAACGTCCATCGTAATTTCTTCCTTTTTAGCTTTGGCAACCTGTTTTTTAAACGCTTTTAACTTGTCTTTCAATTTCTGCTCTGTGGCAGCAATGATTTTCCTATCGAGCCTGTTCACCAGGCTGCGTTGACCTTTCTTCTGTGCGGCAAGATCAACATCGACCGAACGGCGACTTTTCGATGTGCTAGTACTGTTGGCATCACTTTTCTGGAAAGTAAAGCAAAAATTTATATTAATTTTATATTGTTCACTTGTAAAATTTTGAAACTTGGCATCCCAACTTTGAAAATACATTTAAAATTTTCAAAATTGAAGAAAAAATCCAGGAAAATTCAGTAATAAATTTTAAAATGTTCATTATTTGTAAAAACAAAGTGCTCGCAATTTTAAAAGTTTTTTCCTTGATTTTACAAAGTTTCAAAGTTATACCCCCTGCCTCTCCAATACATCACGTCATACCTTGTCACCATGGTAACCAATTTTAATGGGCCTTCTCTTAAGGTTCTTTGCCTCATCTTTTGACAAGAGAGACCTTAATCTGTAATGTTCTTCAAGGGCGGCTTTTCTCTTTCTAAATTGTTTAAGGGATTCCCCTGTCTTTCTTTTGACCTTCCAGGGTGTCCAAACCTCCTCGTCGCCAGCCCAACTGTCCTCATCAGAGTCTTCCGATAAGGACTCGTCGCGATCAAAGTCATAGTCCCCATTGACATATTCGTAGTCTTCCATCACTGGAAACTGAACAGGGGGCATGGCTGGGGGGAGGTCCTCCTCCTCAATTTTTCCTCGGTGCGACATGTTTAATATCGTCGTAAATAAGGTGACAAATATTAGAAAAACTTAATAATTAAGACTTTGGGCTTGTAACATATAGTTTGCATTTTTCTGCGCTTCATGCGCAACCGCGGGAAATTTAAAAGTTTGGTTTTCCAACGTGCGCACACGTTCATAAGTCCAGATTTTAAAGCGTTGAAAACTCGTACGTTTGTAAAAACGAAAATTTCCTAATTGACATTAGACGCACTAAGGTCATCCACCTTAATCATGTTGCCCCAGGAAATTTTTTTTAATTATGTTCAAATATATAAAAACATGGTTTTTTCTTTGCGTAAAAGTCTTAATATAATAAACACTATTTTTTTAATACGTAAAACAAATTATCCTAATTTTGTAAAAATGTTGCACACGATAAAATCATACAAACGCTCACTTAAATCGTTCTTAACGGACTTCAGTTTTTTTCGGCGCAATCCCGGGAAATTTATAATTTTAATATTTTTTAACTTTCTTCCCTGCGCAAGCCTTAATAAATACTATATTTTAACTGGTACAAATTATCCTAATTTTTTAAAAAGGTAAAACTAACTAATATTCACGATATTGAAAAATTCACGATATACGAGGATGCAAAGTGTTTACTCAGCCATCCTGCAGACTAAGTTCTTCTTTGCTCGTATGGCTATGGCGATTTGGGCATGTGTGCATATAGTTTTTACTGCTACTACGCACGGCAGAGAGCGGCGCAGATGGTGGTAAAAGGGTAAAAACAGCCGGAGAGGCATGGTTCATGAAACATGAGACAGTCTCAGCGTTGCGTCAGGGGTCCCAATTTCGCTTGTGGAGTTGGGTTAAAGACGAGGTCGCTCGGCGTTGGTATGGAGACGACAAGTTAGTTGGCCAACAAGTGGTGTAGGAATTACTTTGGGGAAACTCCAGCAAGTAATTTCATGCATGATGGATGAATAATTGGTGGAATTGAGTCATGTGTGCATGTTTGCCAGGTAGGAAATTCGTTTAGTTGAAGGTACAAAATTTATGTAACATAAACCGTTTAAGGTCTTTGAGCATAAACGAATAAATTATGAGAAGGGGTCAAGTGAGATATTATTTTTGCAGAAAATGTTAACCGTACTGAATTACAGATATGATGCTCAGAATTACATTTTGAGAGGGGGGTCAAATGAGATATTATTATTTTTTGCAGAAATTGTTAACTGCGATGGTATCTACGATGTTCAGAATTAGATTAAACCTTCAAGAGGATGGATACGTTTTTTTATTATGTAAAGCAGTGCGCAAAGTACTTTGTCATATCATGTATAATCAGCAAATTATGCAGATATGTTTGTATGTATCCTTCTGTTGAAATATGCATTAATTGGTGGTCAAAAATTTGACAGTGAGTGATCCATGATAACCTGTGTGTCGTAATAAACATGTGCAAATAATAAGAAGCCATTTATGCAGTCATTTGAATGATTAATGATTATAACACTTTGTATGTATGTAAATTGAATTGGTTTATCATGCATTTATTTTCGCATAGATAAATTAATACGAATTAATAACTTTAGGTACACTTTGGTTCTCCTTTAGCCAAACAGAAATTGTTAAAGTAGACGAATTCATCTCGCAAGTTGCCCCGGTCATTGAGACTTCTGTAAATGCCCCACTTCGGTCGGAGGAAGGTATTTCCGGATCGCCACATGTCTAGATTATTGTTCGTCATGGACATCAATTGTTCTTCGGTGATCTTGTTCTTAATTCGGAGGCTGAACGTGCCGCCTAGTCGGCAAGTATATTCGGTCACTATGTGGATCCATTTTCCCGCGAATTTTGCAAGGTCTTCCTCCCAAATCTTTTAATTAAAGATTTAATTCAAAATAAAACTTTACATAGAAGTACATTTATTTATTTAATTTTTTACCGCGGTTTGGACAGAGTCCTGACCAGCGTACATAATTTGAAGGACCTAAAATGATAAAAATTAGCGCAATTAGACGAATTTTGCGGAGTGGATAAAAAAATAGAAAAAAATACGTACCTTAGCCCCACTTGACTTAAGTCTCGGCGAAATCGTTATGAACGGCATGGATTCATCCCCACCAACGGCCTTGACTTGGAAAATATGCGTAAATGCCGTACTCGGTTGGAAGGCCGAGTTAAGCCTCAAGTCCCACGAGTACGAGACGCTCTCTCCGCTCGAACATTTAAATTGCGCGGGAGAAGGGTTATAAGTCTTGATCTCGGTTCGCTGTCTGTCAAAGTTTTGGCAACGGTCGTTATCACTGGCGACATGGGCGGCAAAGTTGAAAATTGGCACGCCCAGTTCCGTATCCGTCTGTTGAGTGATGTGCGGCTGCGAGTGTGCACAGTCGGGCACTTCGTACGCCGTTCCGCCAAGGAAGCTGTCCAACAAGTTGTACGTGTTGCCCGAGTTTCCGTCGGCGCGAAGGTATGAGCGTTGCGCCCAAGTGGGCGTGGCTACGAGGAGCGTGGCAAAAACCACACAATTTTTAATGCTAGGAATCATCATGAGTTTGTGAGGATGATCAATTGATTGATCCAGCTTGTGTACGCAGGGCTTTTATATGTATGCAAAAGTTTCAAGAGATATGAATTGTAACGAATGATCAATCAAGATCAAGGTGTGATGATATAACAATAAATGCATTTGGACAAATTGAAATTAATTATAATGATGACCAATTTTATTATTTGGTTTGATTAATGCCTGGATTTATGGTAGAGATACTAAATAAATATCCATAAGTATGTGGTTAACCACTTCGCCCCTATAACGACTATGTGGCGTATTTGATCTTTACGCCGGATACGACCATGTGGCGTAAGTTCCCTTGGCTCCGGAATACGACGATGTGTCGTATTGACCCTTGACAACGGATACGACTATGTGGCGTATTTTCCGTTCACACCGGCCTACGACTATGTGTCGTATTCGAAAAAAAATTAGCTAATTGCCCTTCCAAGTATAGTTTTGAGTAAATAACCCGCCCTTAGGGCGGTAAGATGAATTTCCTCTTCGGAATCAACGTTATAAACGAATGTAAAAACAATTTATAGCCATGAGGCTATTTCTAGCCAACACGCCCAGTTTTGAAAACTGCTGCTGGATGGGATATTTGTCGCCTATTTCAACAGTGCTATCAGATAAGATTAGGGAAATTGTTTTTCTCGAATTTAGAATGCAGCAACGGGCATTTTTGGCGGGAAAACTAAACATTGGATGAATTGTATGAAATTAATATTATAGGCTACAAATAATATTGCCAGTACGACAAAATTCGTCAAAATTAATTATTACACATCTGGAGCTGGTGAAATCTCTTTGGGTGGGAAAATTAAGAGACTGTCTAATAGCATTTAATTTTCCTACTTAAAATTGAGTTCTAATCACTAAATTTTATGCATGCTAGATGTACAAGAAACAATTGTTGCATATTTTAGTGTAATCATTAAATTAATTGTAGCCTACGTCATGAATTGAAAGCAATATTTGCGAAGTTTAATTTTCCCGCCCAAATTGGCTTCTGGGGAGCTTGAGGCGCGATAATTGATTTTTTGCGAATTTATGTACTATTATGCATGTATTACTTAATGTTTCTTTAACTATCCATGCAATTACAATCACTTTTAAAATTCGGCGTGTTGGCTATTTTCGGCTATAAACATTAGCGGTTCGCAAAAATGCAAATCACAACTCCAAATCCGTGCCCAAATTGTTATTCGCATCAACTTTCATAAAAAAGTGTCCAGAATAATTCCGGTGGGAACATCATTTTGTAATCCATATCCCAGAAATTAACGTCATGCAGTAGGTGAGAATTCCGGGGTCAAGGGAAGTTAAAATTCCACGTTGCTAGGGGTGAAAGGTATGAAAATATGCATCTCTCAGGAGTGAAGTGGTTAATGGAAAATATGTGTATGATGAAACCATTCAAAGGTATAAGGTTACACCCGTTGCATTGTTCGAGGAATTTGACTATTTGTAAAAAGTGATGGGTCGTGTGCACTTCGTTAAAAATAGTGGGTCGCTTGCAACAACTTCGTATGAACTTGTGTTGTATTTATGTAAGTGTATCACGAGATTTGGTTGAAAATATGCATGTTAGTGGTACACCTGAACCTGATTTTGTTAATATTAGTTACATATGTATGTACATAGTTGCACACGGCGTGTACATGTACTTATTTATGTATTGTTATTCAAATACGAGTATTTTCCTATGTTAATGCCAAAAATAGTATGGAAGCAAGCATGCAAAGTTGGTTTTTCAGAGAATGTGCAACAGTGCAGTGTATCACGTTGATTGTTGATGCATCCATGTACATGTGTACATCTTAATTACTTCAGCATTTTTTACTTGCACTTTTAAAAACGCTTTATAAAAATAATGGATTTATAATAAGGGTACGTGGTAGTCCGACGAAGATTAATGACGATGCATTATCATGCATAGTGTCGTTGAAGGTGCTAACATATGTATATATATATATATATCTCGTTGTGCTAACTTCAATCTATTTATAGACGATTTTACTTGTTGGTCATTGTATTTTGTATTTTCTATATCTTAAATAAATATTTATGATCGTAAGCCGGAAACGTGAAAAAGGACATATGTAACTTCATAATGAACAGGTACATTGTACACTATCTGTAAAAATAGCCTTTGTACATATTTGTGGCTAATGTGTGTGTACTTATGTGAAAGGCTTCAAAAGTCCATCAATACAAGATGCTTAACCCTTTTGGTTGCCACTATATGTAAATAAATATGAACTTATAGTACATATATGATATATATGTATGTACGTCAGAATCGCCTACATATATGTACATACATATAAGTATGCTTGTATATCGTTGGAAGTTATATATAAATTCCAACGAACCAAAAAAAACGAAATTTATAATTTTGGGACCAGCTTGTCTTCAACTCATTTACGGCTGATTTCTCTCAGTTACGGCTCATTATTACCATAGCCAGCTAACCTAGGGGAGAGCAGGGAACAAATTTACGGTCAGTGGTTTTTATTCGCGTAAGATGAGACATGATGAATACATGTAAGTCCTTCCCGCTGGCCGCACGTCACTTCGACATGTCACATCTTACGAGAAATAAAAACCACTGAGCGTAAATTTGTTCTCTGCTCTCCCCTAGGTTAGCTGGCTATGGCACGCTGGTCCGGAATATTGAATTTCTTCGCCAAATCCTATTCCCACCGATTCGAAAACAAACTACCCTCTTCAGCACCTCTGGGATAGATGTTCAATTGTGCAAAGTTTTATATGAATTGTTCGAGTGGTTATGGCGTGGCACATGCCTAAACTTATAACATTGGGCTAAATGGGAAAAACTTGAAGTTGAAAATCCTGTCTAGTCCTGTGGTATTTCGAGAACCCGTGAATGTATTATTAAACCCTTATATCTCATCTATAAAAACCAGAGTGTTCAAGGACAAAAGGCATGCGGTGCCTAAAATGTCTTTTTTGCCTATTAGGCACGTGAATTTTGGCAATGCCTGATTACCCGAAATGCCTTTTTGCCTTTTTGGTAAAATCGGGGCAATGTGATAATACGCTCCCATGATTTGTTAGTTGTAATCTTTCACAGTTCACAGGATTTGTCAACACGTGAATAATTAAGTTATGGTTATTAAACCGCTTTGGATGATCGTCGACGCCACTAAAAAATTTATGCACATCTTGAGGTGCACAAATATTCACAAATAGTTTAAATTGTCACGAGTTCGTAAGGAAATAATGTTATTATGTAGTTATGCAGAAGTGCAAGGTTGGTAACGTTTTAGAAAAAACGAAATTTAAAGCCAATTACACTGTTGTCACTCTTTCTTGTCCATAGTAAAATTTGTAAAATGGTCCAGGCAATGGCCAATGGAAACATACGGAAAAAGGCAAAAAGGCACCAAACGGGCAAAAGGGCACTCGAAAAGGCAAGTCGGCATTGAAACGGGCAAAACGGGAAAAAGGCATGAATTTTTCCCCAATAAGGCGCCTCTTTGCAAATCTGATAAAAACTGCTGCCCAGCTGCACGCATCACATATATCAAAATAAATTTGAATTTATTCAAAGGCAAATTGCATAAGCAAAGCATCTGGAGTGCTTCAATCATTGACAAGTATGAAATTTTTGAGTGTTCTAAATAACACAATCGCTTCGAAATATCTTGCCAATTCCTTGGGGAAGGGTACATGGTAAAACAAACCTCCTAAAAATTGTTTACGAAGGGGGGATTTTATGAAGTGATGCCCCCCTGAGGAGGTATGACGAACTTTTTAATTTTTGCCCTATTTTGTTTGTTATTTAAGTCAGAGGGCAAAAATACTTAATACAACTATAGAATATTGTCATTTGATAAAAATACATCCTCAAATGTATCGAAACAAAACTTTCAACTTTACATTTTGACCACACCGCCTGACGGTGGGTGTGCCAATAATGTCCCAATGCTGGTCGGAATTGTATAGAGCTTAATTAGACTTTTCAAATGATACCCACTTGATGGGGTAAAGCGAGAAAATAATTATTTGCCTTTGACCACACCCCCAACGGGGCGTGGCTTTCAATTAAAGTTTCATAACTTACCTCTTGGAACTTTATATCTCGATTCCCGAAGGCAGAATTCGAAGAAATTGAATTGTTCGAGATTTATAGGTTTTGGCAAACAAATAAAGAAATCCGGACCAGTGTGTATGGTAATAACTTAGGTTTAAAAATATAAAAAAGTCAAAATTTTTGTATTTATTTCAATATTGTGTATTACATTATCGGTCATACATCTTACCAAGACGACATGGCTAAATTTCACTTGGGACGCCTTTTGAGGCCCAGCTGAAGATAGATATTGGGCCCCCTCAGGCATGTCTCAAAAATTTCATTTCTGTAAGCGAAGGTGCACCACCACCATCATCCAAACAACCCATCAGAGCCCACCATTCTAAGCGAGCGAAAGATTTAGTGTCGCTAATTTGTTAGCTTCCCGTCTGGTGTTGAGAATTTTGAAATTCGCGCACAATCTTACTTTACCTCTTGCAGCAAATTCAGGGACGAATTGTTAAGCGAAAATCCTTCAGTCAGAGTTGCATCGCTTGTTCGCTTAATCAACCGGAATTTGTAACAAGCGAAATTTTTGAGGTGTGTCTGAGTTGTCCCATTAAATTTTGTTGATCTACGTTGCGTTGAATTTCCCCCCTTTTGGACAATTTCGCCAAGATATTTTTTTCTATCTTGCCAGCCTTACATATATCTTGGAACGGGACAGATATTGAAACTCAATTCTTCTTGGAGTTTGATGATCTCCCTACGGGATTATCCTTTACATAGATTTTTTTGATTATCTTTACTTTTACTCATAACTGAAGTTTTCTTCAAGCTACATCGGGATTTTCTAGCGACTATGACAAAAATCAAGCCAAAAATTAGGAATCACATGACACCAATATTTCCGTTGAATGGTCCCTTGAAGAAAAGTATTGAGGGCAAACTCAACTCCTCCGTCTTGGTTTTCTCCTCTTGGAGGAAAACGCGAGAGAAAATTAACTCGAAAATTGAACTTTGCCGCCAATATGTCTCCAAAGGGGCCATTCAACGAAAAGTAAAGTGTGGTGAGATTCCTAATCTTTGCCTTGGTTGTTCGAACGCCGGAAGTGGCGCACCTTCGCGAACGCTTGCGAAATTTGAAATTTCGCAAGGGTTCGCGAAAATCTCCCTTGATTGGTTTGAAATTTCAAATTTCTAACCAAGCAAGCGAGGTTCTTCAGACTCGACTTATGTAGGTCCCCCAATATATGTCCATAAAGTCATAAACCTAACTGCTAAATCCCGACATAAAATAAGTCTAGAGATACGACCTGTTAGGCTCAAAAGCGTAGGTTAAATCTGAAATGTGTTACATACTCCGAATTAAAATTACGTCAGGAAATCATTGTTATAAGTACGTAAACAATTTATGTATATACGTATGTATGTGTACGTTGCAAGTCTAAATCAGCGTGACTCAAGTGGTGTGATAATTGTAACAAATTAATGGAATTGATTCCAGGTGACGCAAGGCAGAAATTTGTCAATAATTGTTATTTCCTCGAAACTTTAATGGATAAGTTTAGTAGTGCGTCAATTTTAATTATCTACGTACTAATCCCTGTTTAAGATAACATTCTCGTACAAAGTCACAGAGTTCGCCTACTATTTAATCCTGATGTAGTTCTCATTTACACATATGAACATATTGCAGTGCAGGAATTTTACCCAGTATCAATTGCAGTAAAATCTTCGTCGTTAATTACTTAATTTTCGCAAATTTTAAGCAATGACTTTCATGAATAAATTTTCAATATTTCTTTACTGCGCTGCAGCTTCAGCCTCAATTTCAAGTGAGTCACCAATCTATAATCTTGATGAGTTGCCACTTTCAGAAGTAGAAGTAGAAGTTGCAAAGAACGCTCAAGAAAATGGAATGGAATTCATTGTCGAAATCGGTAACAAGATGTTCTTTCGGAACAATCAATCCATGGTAATTAGTAATTAGACAAATAAATAACTCCTTGTCAACTATGCATTTATACGTTAGATAAATTAATTTTAGATCAATAACACAAACTGGATGCAATTTAACCAAACTTGTGCCTTGGGTGGATTGACGCCAGGGTTTTTCGACTCCGATGCAGAGTATAGGGCTGTTAGGTCTGGAATAAACGTGCCTGGTGTCGGTATGGGCTTTTTGATTTGCAAAGGAAAATTTGAACTTGTAATATGCAAATTTTTATTGTAGATTTGTGGCTGAATGCCCGAATTAGTGGTCAATTTGAGCATGTCCCTAGCGCCATGGTAACCGGACGGAATGGGGCGCCATGGCCGGCCGGAGTTCGATTCATGTTCTCTGACGCATTCTGGTTGCCCACTTCTGGAAAGACGCTGATAATATTTACATGGACCGATGTGCTTGGGAGGACAAGGGATTTTTGTGCGAAAAGATTTTGGACTAATAGGCACGGGCTTTGTCGGTAACACTAATCCTAAGAAAAACATAAAATTGAATCATTAAAGACTCGCAGGTTTACTAAGTTAAAATCATAAGGGTTTAAATTCATTACTGGCAGGTGTGATTTTTTTGTCACCGGTAGGTTAAAGTGAAAATCAGGAAAGATGCAATGTATCAGCTTTTGATAAAAAATGACCATATAGCAATTCTTCTACATTACATATTTTGATTATGTAGAAAAATTTAAAAAAAATTAGTGGGAGTGAGTCGAATAGGATGTTAACCTCCTAGTTACCAGTTATTTCTCGGGAACATTCCGTTGTGTACCAATTACACACATTTGTGTAACGATTTTTTATCACTTGACTACCAATCCATTTTTTTCAATATTACTTTGCCTACCAATTACACATATTTGTGTAGCACAATTATTTCCATTGGCTACCAATTACACACGAGCTCGTTTTCTATTGCGTACCAGTTACACAAATATGTGTAATTATATCGGGGATTTAAAAAATTCTGGTAGTCAACGGAAATCTATCAAGTTGTGTAATGCCGGACAACGTAAAATTTCCAAAAAATATTTTGGTAGCTAAGAAAAATAATTTTGCTACACAAATGTGTGTAATTGGTAGGCAAAGTAATATTGCGAAAAATGGACTGGTGATCAAGTGATAAAAAATCATTACACAAATGTGTGTAATTGGTAGCCAAGAGGTTAACTATTAAAACATGGCACGTGTTTATAAATAAACTAGCGTTCAAGTTCAAGTATATTAAGTTAAGTATATTAAGTTATTAAGTTCAAGTATATTATAACTCGTTGATCACTCAATTAATTAAAAATGTAATGTTAGATCCGAGATATTGTGGCACCATAGAGACGGACTATTTTAGTAACCGAAATCAAACAATTCTTACCATCACAGAAGAAACTGAACTAGAGATGGAACACTTCGAAGCAGTGTCTTTAACGTTAATGAGTGGAAACAAATATATCAATGTGTCCAATCCAAACTGCAAAGTAACAATTTGCCACCAAGTTCCGGAAGAAAGTGCAGAATGCATGCACTTTTACCATGAAGGATTCAACAATAGCTACGTGACGGTGAGTTATCATGAAGGGTCAAGTTTAAATTTTTTTTAAACTTTGCAAATTGTTACCATTAGGATCATACCTACGTGATAACGTCGATTAGTTGCGGATGCCTGGTAACCGTGCATACTAAATTTACCAGATATGTAAATATGTACATTTTTGCAATACTAATTTTAGAACCTGACGTCACCAAGCAGGGCGTGCTCGTTGCCGACGCCCACCAAGGAAGTCAGCTCATGGCCAACACGTGACACAAAATTAGCGGAGGAATGTCCTCCTCGCCAGATGGCTGGCGACACTTGCGCCATCCTGTTTCAAGAATATGGCTGTGAATCGTGTTTATACGACGGGATCCATCTAACGGCAACTGGACCTGAATCCACGTTTAAAACTAGGAACCATGCTGTAATTAGATCCATCGTTGTGGCCGACAGATGCAGTGTGAGAGGAGCGACGTCTAATCACCATGTCGATTTCGACAAGACGACGGCAAATGTTCCAGAAGTAGGTTGGACATCGAACATCGGAATTTTAAATTAACATAGCTTCAGTAGCCGCGGATGCAGTGGGGAAATTAACATCGTAGGATAGAGGAGGGAAGGGTTTATATAAACATGGCAAGATGATTGGAACATCTAATAACCGTGGGAACATTATCCCTCTGTCCCCACGCTTCCGCGGTCACTGCATATCTTCTAAATACATTCACTTTGTAAATGAAATTTTCTATTTAGTTTGTGTACAAAGAGGACGATGACAATTATCCAACAGCTTTGACATTCATCTCTTTCGATTGCACTTGTAAACCTAAACCTGATGATGGGTTGTCAGGTATGTCGTATTTTTGATGTTGGAAATTCGCATAAATATTTCAAGTATTTTTTATCGTATTAATGTAGTTGGGACGATCTCCGGAATCTCAGTTGCATCTGTCGTTTTGCTATTGGGCTCCCTAATTGCTGGATATTTATTGAAGAGAAAGAATCGAAAGGTTAAATTTACCGAGGCAGAAACTGAAGAGCTCAAATTGGAACTTTTCGGGGAACCTGACGCTATTCCAGTGATATCCGTTGGAGAAAATGACCCGTCAAGTGGTGGAAACTTGATGAATGGAGATTATTCCGTGAAGAGGCAGAATATTGAAGGTACATAACCATGATAAAATAAGTATATTATTGCATATTAGCTCTGTGGTCAGCGATCAAAATTTGAAATTTGGCCACTAGATTCGTTGATATATTTTATTTAGATAGCTACTGCTTCTTTCGTATCTCTGTGCATTTATTCAAGTTTGTATTAAATATTTTCTCTATAAAACCGCAAATAAACTTTTGTAATCAATTTTTTTTTAGTTTTGAAGGACTGCCTGTTAGGAAAAGGAAATTACGGTGTCGTCCTTAAAGGAAATCTTATCTCTGAAGTTGATAACAGTCGAGTTGTCTGCGCTATAAAAACCGTAGATGAGAGAACTGCTCGCATTGACGATTTAAAACTCCTCGTAAACGAAATACGGATTATGTCAGCAGTTGGTCACCATCCCAATGCCGTTTCTTTTCTTGGATTCCATTGCAATTTTCATCCCTCAAAATGTAACTAATTTATTTTAAATTTTAAGCTAATATCCTAAATATGAAGTATTATAACTGCGATAAATGAATTTAGGGGAATTTTTATGCTTGATGGAAATCTGTGTTGGCAATTTGCACGATCATCTATGTCGAGGGAAGCAGAACGCGGGAAGATCCACTATTGATGTCACTCTGCAGAAGGCTGGTTATGTCCTTTATGCAGATAACAGTGATGTCGGGGATCAAAGGTAATGCAAGTTTCTTTGTAGCTTACAAAACTCCTGTTTATTATTATGACTCACAGCGCTGAGAAAAGTCCAAGTGAGACAATGTGCGTAACGCTGGCGGACATGAAAAAGTGGTCGGCGCACATTGCGGATGGAATGGAATATTTGACAACGAAAAAAGTAATGTTTGATTTGATTCATTGTTTTTCTTGCGGTTATCATTTTGTTGTTAAATATTGTAGCTCCTTCACGTCGACCTGGCGACTCGAAATGTTTTACTATCGGAAGATCTGACGGCAAAAATTAGTGATTTTGGCTTATCCAAAAAATTGTATGATTCCCTCTACTATAAAAAAGCACATGGCGCAAATGTTAGTGAAGTAGTATTTTTAAAATTTTATATGTATCTAAAACGTGGTATTGTATTTCATAATGTTTATATTTTGACCTAGATTTGGGTGCCTGTAAGTTGTTGTATTTACATATTTAGAAAAATTGACAAAAACGTAACGTTTTTTAAAATGATTAAATATGTCCTTGTTAGATGAAATGGAGTGCGTTTGAGTCATTGATGAGTCTAAAATTCTCAACCGAGTCTGACATCTGGTCGTACGGTGTGACAATTTGGGAAATTTTTAGCTTAGGAGATGAACCATATCCGGACCTGGAAGATATGCTCGACATGATTCGTTTCCTTAATAGCGGACAAAGACTTCCGTGTCCGAAATCGTGTGACGCTGAGACGTAAGACTTTAAATCATTAATTGTGGTAGTGAAGTAAAAAAAAATAACAAGTTGAGGTTTGCATTTTTTATTAATTTCAGGTGCAATTTAATGCAACAGTGCTGGGAGATTGACATAACGAAGCGTCCTACTTTCAATGACTTGAGTAAATTCTTTACACTGTGATTCCAACTTGAAAGGCTACAGCAATTGTCTGAGAAATTAAGCATACCATAGATTTTTAATGAATAAGAAATATTTTGGAAGAACAATGAATGTGTATTATATTATATTTATAAATATAGATACGTATTGCTCTAAATTTCTCTACAGGCTCGAAAACGTTATATACTGTTATAAAAAATATAGAATGCAATACAGGAAGAACAATCAGTAAAGAAGGCGATTACCATTTTACAATCATATCGGGCAATGGTACATACAAAATCTCGTTGTTTCTAAAATGCCTTTGATGACATTACAAGTGTACAATTTCATTAGAAAAAGTATTTATAAATGATATCACCACCAATATTTCACAAAAGTTCACTTTATGAAGAAATATTTTAAAGGATTTTTCGCTTAATACTATATCAAAGTACTTAAGTATGTATGTGTAAGTTATAACCAACGTGTACACTTTAAGTTTTAGGATTGAATGAACCTACATACATATGTATGTAGTTCACCATTGATTGATACATAAATAAGTACGTAACTTGTAAATACTAAATAACTGATAATCAGTAATATGTAAATGTATGAATGTAAATGTATGAAAATATAACTATTTTGTACGTGTGATCGTATCTTTGGCAATTATTTCAAATTTAATTGGAATCTTATTATCCCGAATGAAGGGTTTCAAATTTAATTGGAATCTTATTATCCCGAATGAAGGGATCCATCCATTTCCATGTTTCTTCTTTAAACTAGAAATTCCAGAAAGAAAATTGACCTTGAAAACAACTTTGAAACTTTGATTGGATTTCAATAAAACTTACCTTCATGCACTTAATAGTTGCAGATACATTCTTCACTTTTTTCATTAGCAAAAGACACTGTTTCATGCGTTCAATATGAAGCACAAGGAGATCTACCTCTATTCCCATTGGGACAATTTCCATGGTACAATTCTTCAGACCACCTGAGGAAATTAAACAAAAAGATTATATGTAAAAATATGCATATATGTGCAAAATTAGTCACAAAACTCATTATTGTACCCTCTTCGCATATTTCGCAAATTAAGTATAATTTGCGTTATTCTTATAGCTTATAGCGAATTCCCTCAAGACATAATTTTTTTGTACTTCGCAAATTTTTTAAATATTTAATGCTAAATAATGCTAAATAAGACGTTGTAATGTTGTAATGTTACTTATAAATACATACATACGTGCAAACAATTCCTCGCAAAGCCCGACCCATTCGACAGCAGTTCCTAATCTGTCTTCCATTCCATTGTTTAAAAGCCGAATTGATAAAGTCTCCAAATTTGTGAACACTTGGCCTAAACCAATGATTGATTTAGGGTCCCGTACATCCGTTAGATGGAGATTTTTCACCCCAGTAAATAAATTCTTCGACCTCATCGCATTTTGTAACAAGTCGTCCATATTGGTAGAAGATAAATATGCGCTAGAAAGCTTCAAAGTCTCCAATGCGGGGAGTCTCGCTGTGCAAATATCTTGCAATGCATCACCACAAGTAAAACCATCCACCAAATGGTTTTCAAACATTTTAAGACTCTTCATTTTTGGGATCTTGAAAGCAATCCGTTCTATATCGTAATCCTCATCGTCTTCATCGGAAAGTTCGATCCCGACATCGTCGTCCCAGTTGTCGTCTTCAAAGTCGAGTTCGTGATTGTTCGCTACGTTGTCTTCGTGATCACTGTCGTCATTCCAGTCGTCGTCGTCGCCCCAGTTAATGTTGTCTTGAACGTCATGCAGATCAAAATTATTCGCAATGACTAAAACTCGTAGATGATTTTTCACATGGTCCAACATTTCGTTAAGGCCGTTGGTACTTCCGCAATTTGAGATATCTTTCAATTTCATGCGACTCATGTCCACTTGAATCCATTTAACTGTTCCACGCCGACTTAGATTTGGATATCTTTTGCCATGATAAAAGAAACGTGTCAAGTTGGGAGCTGAATTAATAATCATTTGTGTCATCTTCAAGAATTGTGCTGTCGGGTCAACGATTCTTATTGAGGTCAACTTCGGCTTGACCCGAAGTGGTATCATACTTTGGGAAGGCATGTATTCATCATGCAATCCCCGCGGACGGAAATAAAGTTCAACCTTTTTCAAATTTGGGCAGCAGTTTTGCAATATTTCGTACAAAGTTGGGACGAAGTCTGCCTCGACGAAGGTGATTGTTACTTCTTCGATAATCTGAGAAAATTTGTCGCAAACGTGAAGTAATCGAGATGCAGCGGTAGAACTTCTTTGCGAAGGTGAATGTAAAGCTGGCTTTTGACACCCATAGTCTATTATACATTTTGCAAGTTTGGGTTCCATTTTGACGCAAAAGGTTTGAAATGGGACAGCATCACAGCAATTTGACGGCTTCTTTGATTCAGATCGCTTTGTCAATCGAAGACTTAATTTTGGTTGGGGGAGAGACAGTATTATTTCATTCCATAAATTACAAACTAGGCGCAAATTTTTTGTAGAAAGAGATTCGTTTTGAAATATTGTTTGGAGAATCTAGCAAAACACAAATAGTGGGATTACTTATTTCTTGTTAAATTAAGTTCTAAATTTTATGCGACTACTTACAATGGGATTTTGCAAAGCTTGCTGTTCCGGAGACGGTGTTTCCATGCTTGATTTTTATTCGAGATTCTGAAAAATTCGAGATTAAAAGATTTTAAAAGTTTTCAAATAGCTTCTTTATTGCATTCTTAACATCATTCGTGATATTTGTTAAAGAGGTAGTTATGTAAAATTATTTATGTGGGTGTTATATCAGTCTCTCAGCCAAAATAAAGATTATCAACAATTTATTTTATGGAAAAAAGTGTAAAACTTACCAATTGGATCGAATGGGACACAGAATTTCTATCAAACAAAGTTGCAATGAGTAGCGATTTATTGCTATTTATTAATTTCTTCAGATGAGCTCAGAAATTAAATAGGTGGCACGTGTTTAATAATATAAAATTCACGCGATTTACAATTTTACACGTGATTTATTATGTGAAAAAATGTGATATTTCATGTCTTTAGATTTAGATTTAGTGAGTGTGATGTGACAGTGGATCGCGGTGATTGTTATGTAAATTGAATGATGGAATCATTACCCCCGGTCTTTGTTCTCATCAGTCATCCGTAGGTTTCCATACACGTTCAGAAATGAATCATGCAAAATTTATTGTATTTAATTTTAGTAACAGAGGACATTACTAAATATGGTTGAATTAAATGCTGTAATGAAATGGATTCACACATCCACAGAGCCCGACGTTCTGAATAAGTAGATAATATAATTTCAACGATACGATTTACATTACACAAAAATAATAAATATGTCTTGCATGCAATATACATATTTCTCTACGAATATGTACATATATACATGGTTTTGCAAGTACCAAAACAACGATCTGACCGTTTTATTGTTTTCAATGCATGATACATATTATCTAGACGAAGATTTGTAATTGAATTGTACCTGGTATATGTTTCAATAGCATGGTCTCCCTCTATTATTTATTAAAATACCTGTATTGTCTCCCTTCTGGAATTTATTAATGCTGGGTTAATATTTAAGATTAATGACTGGTGTACACATACAGAGGTACATACAGGTACATCCACATCCATAATGAGGTAGGTAATTCCATTGGTGTTGCAAAACACACAAAAGTTTTGATGCAACTTGCAAGAAATACATAATATAAGTAAAGAAACATTTATTTAATTAATAACAAACTACGCTGAGAAATTTTCAATCTGGGTAGCATCGTCATATTTTTTTTGCATATGAATATGAACAATACCCGACATTCTAGAATGATTTTTTTGTTCCGTGATTTCAGATCTGAAAGATTTACCAGGGTTTAAAAAATTATCAGTTTAGTATTGAACACATTCCCAATAATTATTTATTGTACTGTACATATGGATGGCAAACCTAAAATTGTCCATAATTATGACTTAGCTAGCAGTAAGCTAAGCTTAATATTTATCTCTGTTGCTGCCAACTCCATAAACGCCACCTTCAAATTCGTTAAAGCGTATTTATTAAACTCTTTAAATTATAGATTAGATTATAAAAATTGCAATAAATCCAGAGCTCTTTTATATTAAAAATATAATAATATTTACAACATAATTGAGACGCCGCATAGTTTTATTTCTGGAAAACTTTGCTGGACATTAAAGTAACATGAAATTTGGGTATATTAGAAAAATATTGGTTAATAATGAGCTTATAACGTCATTATAACGTACGTCTTTATTACACAATTTTAATTTCTAGTTGCCACACTGATTTTAGTCGATTATTTTTAAAAGGAAACATACGTCGCTTATACATATAATCCTCAAGACTACTAGCTAAACATGGTATATTTATTTTCATCTTTTATCCATCTCAAACCTCATGAAACCCTTTGTCCTTGTATTTACCTAAAAACCCAGTAGCAATTAGAAACCCTGTATATTATGGCCAGCATGCAACCTCGACCAAAATTTGACTCCCGCGTTCGTATCCCTACCATACTAATAGTATGGGAAGGATACGAGCACGTGATGGTCGAGGTTATATGCTCACAGTATTAACACGAAAAATCCTGAAATGTTTCCAGCGTCTTATCTTTATGGCTTTCACCAGGAAATAAATTGCATGCTTGATAATTGATAATTACACAAAAAACACTCGTGTTATTATTCTACTTAGGTATACACATCCATAACTAGAGGCATATCTATACATGTGTACATAGCAATAAAATATATTTGGTTAAAAATGGCTACAGTATTTGACTAGCATAATAATTACATGTACAGTACATGGACGTATGTACATATGTACGTTGTAATACATATGTACAAACATAATTACCGATACTAAAACCTGCTAAGCATCCTATTACTTAATTCAGCACGACCGATTTGTGTCGGCATGAACTCCTCCGTCATCTGACCACTTACAGTAGCGTATGATAGCGCATTCGAAAGCTTGGTCAAAGAGGGTGGGAGCCGTCATAGTTTGAATAATGTAGGTCACGTCATTCAAGGTCAACGGTCATAGGTCACCAAAATTTCAATCCATAACCCCGCACAAATCGGGTATCATTCGAAAGGTTTTTTATATACCTACCAGAATATATAAGACACTTGGGGGCTGTGACCTCACCGTGACCTAGAATAACGGTCAAAAGCTAACTCAGGCGCCAGACGACATACAACAACATATGGTACCGCATTCGAAAGGTTAGTTTTAGGCGGTGAGAGTGGTCATAGTTTGAGTAGTGTAGGTCACGCCATTCAAACATTCAAGGTCAAAGGTCACAGGTCACCAAAATTTCAACCGATGTCACCCATCAAATGGGGTGTTATTCGAAAGGTTTTATAAAGACCTTCTAGAATATATAAGACACTTGGGGTCTGTGACCTCACCGTGACCAGTAGACCCTGGGAAGTATTTAATATATGACGGATTTTTTGCTTTTCCACGCCCCGTACTGGGAGGCACAGGCCCCGTCCTTGGACGGGCTTTTACTCTAGTATGTACGTAAATTACACGAGGAGTTTTGTTGTTGTTGAAATTTGAGAAAACATGGAAGCATCCGCGTAAAATTTCACGCAATAAAAGCTAATGATGAAGATACATCCGATAGAAACTTGCGGCGGGGCAAAAAGGTTAATGTGAGAACATTGAATGAACCAGTATCATTACCGCAGTCATAATAATTACATAAGTAGCTTTACATTACTCTTAAATATAAAGTATCGTTAATTACATACATACGTCTGTTTGTCTGTACATAGTTTAAGTACAATGTCTTATTTTTTGATGGGGGCGTGTATAACAACATCAATTCTAAATTTCCTGTACCAAAAAATCAAAATAATCCAGGAATCATTGCCCTTCGAGTGGAAGGATAACTATGCCCAAATGTTGACTTGTACCAATTATGGGTAAAATTAGCCCTTAAGCCAAGAAAGATTGTGCAGTAGATGGCAAACATGACCTATATTTATCATTTAAGGAGGAACATTAGATATTTTTGTATTGAAATATTGTGCGATTTATTTACCTGGACAGAACCAAACGAGGTCATCAACGCAGTACCCCACCATTTTAGCAGCTCTCCTAAATAATTTGGACACGAAACAATCTCAAATAGCCCCCCACGCGGAATCTGGTACCCTTTTCCTTCATTGCGAAGTTGTGTTAGGGCAAAATCGTGGCGCCAATTAATCCATCCTCCCAACAGCCCGATGGGAATTCCTGCGACAAATTGGCAAAATTAGGCACATTAAAAATTACTTGAGATGAATTCAGTCTCTATTACTCACCTATGACAGCTGTCATGGAGAACGATTCCAACTGTAAAATGTTGACCATGTGATGCGTCTCAACAAAAATGTGAATTACGGTCATGCCAAAAATACTGCAAAGGAACCAAACCGGTGTGGGAGTGGCATTTCTGGAGATTTGAATCGGATATAAAACCGTCCTAAAATTGCATATATAAATTTTAGTAATCAACAGGTTAACATTTTTCGTGATAATATTTATTACCGGTAGAAGCAATGCACATAGAACAGAATAAATACGGACAAATTCGCAAAATTGTACATATACTTGGCCGGACTATATAGTATGACGACCCAAGGAATCACTATGGTGGGCAAGTGGCCAAACTGTTAATTTAAAAATTTTCATTAAAAACCCGTAAATTTCCAGTATTTCGTTAAATTAAAAAAAATTCACCATCCAAGTGAATCTCGCGTTGATCGGGTAGCACCAAATTAAGGATAACGGCTTCGTCACCTCCCACGCACTCTTGCCGTAAGGTGCACTCCCTACTAATCCGTGCCATCCGATTATGGCAAAAATAACGACGACTATTCCAACGTTGAAGACGCCAACCAGTTGGGCGTCAGTTTCGCACAAGGGGATCGTGTAAATTAGCGAGAGTGGAGTTTCATCGAGTGATCGGCTCATACTTACGGAGGATAAGTTCTCATGTAGAAATCTGAATTTGGAATAAGCTTCTTTCCCTGTGAGAGTGTCGGTTTATCTAAACACAGATTGGGCCAGGGTTCGCAACACGATGCTTTTTGTGTGATAAGGTTTATTTCTGCTATAGAATTGAGAGCATATGTACCTTTTTACATAGCTCGAATGTTATCGTTCTCCGGAGCACATGCGTACATACATATTTGTATTTATTGTCAGTACCTCTAGTGATCCCATCCATATTATTGTCCATGCCCATTTCGCCGCCAAAAAGGTCGACCATCGACTTTTTTTCAGACCATCTACCAATCATCGACCAAAATCAATGAATGGTCGAGCGACCACGCCGACCATTGCCACCACGACAAAAGGTCTCCGATCAATGATTGAACTGGGGGAAATCATTTTAGAATTCGAATTTTTGACGGTTTGCATCTTCTAGCCAGTGTGTTTCTAGGCAAAGGTGTCTAAAAGTGTTAAAACAGGGACAAGTTACTACATATGTCTTAAGTTGTCCCACTGTTGTCCCATTTACCACTTTTGGACACTGCTCATTTCTACTACTTTTAGATTTGCACACCTTCGGACGGCAAAGGCGAAACACTGCTTTTAACCTAAAAGCTTATAAAACTGTAAAACGTAGTTTCTTAATAGCTAACGTCCTTTAGAAACCCTGAATTACATATTGTAGTAAGTAAATGGTTATTTATTACGAAGTTGCAATTGGTGGGAATTCCCGCATGAAATTGTGTTCATTCAGAAAATAGCAAGACGAGCAGTAACGATGCACAATCTTTACCAGAAATCGTAAAGCCATGCAATCTTATTGCTTGTACAGTCTTTTTACTTTGGGTTGCGACAGAGTACGTATATTTACATACAAATATGTACGCACTTCAAAATATGCCATAATAAAACTTACATAATATTTATTTGGGTGCCTAAATATTTCAGCAACCTTGAGAATCTTGTGCTAATAAGCAGTTATAGGAAAGTGGACTCTATGACCTAAGTATCATATCAAAATTGTCAAACAAGGAAAAGTGTTTTTATTACATAATTGCATAATTAGTTCGAAATAATCGCGCATAATTAAACCAAGTACATAAGTTGATCTACACGAATACTGCATGCATATATGAAAATATAGTTGTAAAAGAATTTGTGGGATTTCGCTTATGATCACTTTGCATAGTTTTTTAAGTTAGTTTTATATAATGCTAAATTGTAGCGCGAGTTATTTTATAAAACACACACATTGCATAATTTAGTAATTTAAGAACTATAACATTTAAGAACATATGCAAATATATCTAATTGAGTATTCCCTCATAAGCATTGAATACCTTCTTTGGGAGCGTTACTGAATCTATATTTTTGATTATCCTGCAAGTTCAAGGCCCTCTCGCCACCCACCTTCCACTATAAAGTTTGTAGCGAGCCTTACTGCATCCCATAATTTTCATGATAATAATTCATACTATGAATACATAAAGAACGTCCGGGAATGAATGGGAATGGTCTGAAAATGTGGTCATAAAATCACAATGAGTTATCGGAATTTTAAACTTTTTGCATATGTATAATACCAAATACGTACCTACATAATTTAATTAATAGCTAAGGCCGCCACACCCCCGTTGGCGACTAGTTCGATTTTCTTGCGAAGATTTTTCATTAAATTTTTTCCCGAAGTTTTTGCCACTTCCGAGGTGATTTTCTTCCATCGTCCTTTGAATTTTCGAAAGGTGTCAGGCACATCTTGAAGCCGGGAGTATACTGACTTAGAACGTGCCCAGAATTTTTCGATTGGGCGGAGTTGGGGTACATTAGGTGGGTTGATATCTTTTGGTACGAAATCAATATTTTTCTTTCTGAGGTACTCGGTCACTTTCTTTGCATAGTGACAAGTGGCGAGGTCAGGCCAAAACAAAACTTTATCATTTTTGTGAAACCTATTAATAAATGCTTCCAATCCAGCCTTGACGCAATTTTTCAGATAAATATCTTGATTGATATTCCCTTCGAGAACTACCGGGTCTGATACATGTCCGTGACTGGAGATGCATTGCCAAATGCAATATTTCTTTGGAAATTTGTCTTTTTTTCGTACTTTTTCTTCATAAGCCACTTCAGAGGGATCCGAGCTATGAAAAAAATGACGCCCTGGAAGATTTGAAGGGTCAACCGGAACATACGTTTCGTCATCCAGGATCACTACTTTTCCACGCATTTTCTTCAACAATTTTTGACAGCAATCCTTGATCCGACTTTCTTGTACGGGCTTGTAATTTGGTGCAGGTTTTTTGGTCCTTGCTTTGATTCCTAATTTATGGACCTTAATTTCCCCCAGGTAGCTTTTGGAAATTTTGACTTTCCTGGCAGCTACAGCTACTGACGTTGATGGCTTGGTTTTGAAAATTTTTTCAATTCTATTTTTCACTCGAGTGGTCGCTAGCTTCGCCGGACGACCAGCTGGCTTCTTGAATTGCACATTTTCGGAATCCTTGAACTTTTTTATGTAGGAATACACATTTGAACTTGGAATTCCTTCCTGCTTAAAAAAGTTCCAGGTCACCTTGGAGTCTCGGTTGGCTGTCGTGTTGTAGAACTCCATCACTCGTTTTGCTAACAGCTCCCTTTCAAACAAGCTTCTTCTACCCTTATCCATTTTTGAAATTTAAGAGTGATATACCAAATTGACCCTAATGAAGTGGGCTTTCAGAAATTTAAATTATTATAGTTCGCGGGTTTATTGATTTGTCAATATACTCGCTAGAGCGCGCATTCCCATTCATTCCCGGACGTTCTTTACTATAGTGTATTCACTTATATGTATATATACATATAAGTATATGCAGCCGGATAGGTTATATAAAGTCCAGCATTTCACTCCGGAAACTTGTCGGATTTCAATGAATATTCCCATATTATTGCAAATAGTATTTACAAACATTATCTACTTAATTGATCAGTTAAAATTAACTTCAGCTAATTTATAATGATTAATTTCTCCCAGTATTTCTGACAACGCATTTTTATTAGCCGCCCAAGAGTCCCAACTATCTGAAAGACCGTCTCCGGGGTCGATTGCCAGCGAGACAAATGTCCATCTCGTATTCGGCCGCATTATCATGTTCATAACACCATCCAAACTTTGAGGCTGAAATTTCATACAAAACCTTAATAAGAAACTGTGTAAACCATACAGAAATTAATTAAACTTTTTAAAAGCACAACTATTTATGTACCTCTGCATGCCCCAGATTAAACACTTGCGTAAGAACGCCGGATTGTGTGGGTGTTTTTTTAATCGCATTTAACGGATTAAACAAGTTAAGACCTCCCAAGTTCAACTGCATGCCTGCGGAATAATTAACAAAGTAATTCTGTGAGCAATTTCATGATGCAATTGATTGAATCTAAAGATACAATACTTCAATATTGATTAAATTAATTGTGTATACAAAACCATGTAAATTTATATATTGAAGGTTTTCACGACCTTCGTAACTGTGAATTCGTAAAAAAATATGCGTAAATTTACGTCATTTACGACGGGTTGACGTGAAAGACCCTTCGTAAAAAATATTTCGTAAAAATTATTTTAAATTTTTCCTTGCCTAATATCATCGGTAACTATGGTGTTCGAAATATCATGATTTTTTATGCTTGCAAAAGTTTTTTACGAACGAAAAAGATGCCTCAACCTTGCGTATATTTACGAAGCTTAGTAAGCATGGAATTTTCGTAGATGTCGTAAATTTACGCTATTTACGACGACAGTTACGAAGGTGACGTGAAAACCCTCATTGATTTTACTCGGTAAACGTATGGAAGTCTGGATAGTGTAGTGTACCCAGAGCATAGCTTTTATCAACTATCTACTTTGATATAGTAAACTTACTTTCAATGTGCTGCTTCGCTTTCTCTAAATTCTCTTCATTTTTGGGAACGCTGGATTCGAACAACTTCTCAAAAGTTGACCCATATCCGATTATGTTGAAAGTGCTATTAGGTGGCAAATGTGACAAAACTTCCTTTAAAATGAATATGAATAATAATATTTATTTACGTATGTAGATGGATTTCCATGCTTTTACTTGTAGAGAAAAATTACCTTCAAAATTTCCTTGCTTAAATTAAATGTCTGCCGAGTTGTACATCCTGCGCGTTGGTGGATGAATATGAATTCAAACTTGCACTCATTTTTAAGGTCTAGAAATTGTTTAATTTCAGTGGATGATTTCATTTTAATATACGATGCAGAAATTTTTGTACCGTGCAGTATTTCTCTTTTCGTGTATGCAAACAAATACGTTAAGCTTCTCTGGTTATGGATATTGTATTGCGAACGTTTAGTTAAAAGATGAGTCATATCATATGCAAAGTACAGTGTGAGATTGTCTTTGTTATCATCAACTTCATTTCAGCATGGAAGTACAGTATACAGTACAATGCTATTTGTAAGGCATATAAATTGCCATCCGCTCTTCTCCAGATATGTACAGATGATTCAATAGATGTGTAAGTCTACCACATTGAATAAGTTACAAGTATTATTCGGATTCGGAGTATACTCATACATATGTACATAAGTGGTTTCATATTGACATAATATTTAACATGTATGTATGTATGTAAGCATCTAATAAATGTACGCAAGGTTGCAATTGATGTACATATGTACATACTTATCAGAATAAGTGCATAACATTTAACTGTGGGCACACCCTTGTGTGCCCACGTGTGTAGGGTGTATGAAAATGTCAATTACGAAGCATCACCATACGCACGTTCGTATGCATGGTGAAAATTTATGTAAGATATAATAAAAAGAATAATGTTTTGTGTAGAATCATCAGTGTTAGGCTGCGAAATAATTTAAACTCATCAAACCCAAATTTTATGGACTGAATATGTATTTATGGACTGACGTCAAATATTTTCAGAATAATCATTTAGTATTTAGAGTCATACAGCTTAATTCAAGAAAATCTAAGATGCTTGACCCAAGAATCATATGAAAAATAATCTTCAAACTGCAAAATACTCTAAATATTATTGGAAAACTCTTCAAATTATATTTTGTGACTTTCTCCCATATGGGAGAAAGTCATCCGGGTTTGACTAGCAAGTCAAACCCGGGACCTTATGCTTCATAAAAGTAGGGTGGTAGCAAGGCCCCTTAATGTATTCTGGTGAGGCAATGAATTTCTTGATTTGAGGAATCTCCTCAAAATTCGCCTTCAATTTCAGCAGACCGGGATATGGCTTAAGGAACTCAGGATCGTATAGAGAATACCCGTGCAGAACCTCATACAGCATGAAATCAACGTAGGAAATCTAGAGAAATTATTTACCGTTTTATTAAATATTTACACAAAATCATGAATTATTTTGCATTACATAACAATAATTTTTGTCATTAAATTACCTGGTCGCCAAGAATCCACTTCTTATTTCCCAAGAATGTATGGACCAGGTCTAATTTTGCGGGGGCCCGTGCCTTCAACAGGTCAATGAAGGTGTCCTAAAATGAAACAATAAAAAATTTCCATATTTGCATATGCGAAATTAATTTTTGCAACGTGCACTTGGCAAATGTTTATTCTCACGTTGTCGAACTTGCATCGCCAAATCAAATAGTACCAGACATCCCAAAGTACACCTTCCACCATCTCAGCGTTGGCCAAAGTGACCTCATCCTTCGGCATAAGGGCTCCGCCTCCCTGCTTTCTCGCGATGTACTTTAACACTGCTCGGGACTCGGTGAGCTTAACGGTGCCATCTTTCCAGTACGGGAGCTAAAACATGACACAATAGTAGCATTATTAGCAAAATTTGCACACAAAAATGTGCAAATAATGAAATTTGACGTAAATTACGTTGGGAAAGTCCAATCCCAAATTGCCTTTTTCTCCGCCATACTCCGTCAACCCTTCTGGCGTGAGAGGGTACCGCTTGTCGACATAATCAACGCCAAGATAAGCAAGGGCGAACTTTATGGGGTGGGCGATCTAGGCAAAAATAATTAATGTAGAATTGGTTGGGGACGAATATTTGCAAAAATTATGATGTCCCGAACATGTAATTTGTAGCAGCTTACCCCTCTGAGGTCGTGATAGCCAAAAACCGGTTTCGACATGGTGTCACGGGAATATTGAATTTGACAAGTTGATTCAACGGTGGAAATTTCCTAGTACAGATAAAAACAGCCGGTTGAAGCCGAAGTGGAAATGGGAATGAAACGAGAGAACGCGAACTTGAGAACAAACACTCGAAAGTCAAAAGCAAAAACACCGAGTGGCCTGGATACGACATTGACAAGGTTGTCAATGGGTTCGTTTCGTGCGTGTGTGAATCGCATTTGAGTTTGAACTTATGCATAAGCAAGTAGAATATGAATTGATTTTGTAACGAGGGGTGTGTGTGTGTGATAATGATAATGGCGTTCATTTGCTAATACATGGAACCAATTCATTATCATGAATTGCTGTAGATAGCTCAACAGCTTATAGATATGTAGATATGTTGTGTGCATGTTTATAATATTTGTATGTGCACGACCAATGTAATAATTTGGATTGTCATTACAAATGTTTAATAGTGCATGTATTGTACATAGACAATTAGGAATAGGCATGTGCATACTGTGGTGCAACTCATTTCCATACTTTGACTCATTGGCGAGAGACTTTTCTCGACATGGAAAGCCCATATCTCCGAAAATGGGCAGAGATTTATGCAATTGAGGTGATCCGGAACAAAAATTTCAATATAGTTTCTCAGTGTATTAAACTTGCTACCATTGGTATTCAAATTATACCGGATCGTAAAAATTTGCTGTCGATATGGTAAAACTTTAATCCGAACTATTTTAACATTAACGCCCACTTTCAAACTCCCTACCAGAATACCCTCGTATGAGACTAATGCATGCATGAAATACTAATATCTATACTAGAGGTGAAATGGATTACCAAAACGAAAAATCCATCTAATCCAAAATCCATTTGGATTTATCCAATCCATCCAATCCGTTTTTAGTTTTGTCCTAAAAAATCCATCCAATCCATAATCCATTTGGATTTATCCAATCCATCCAATCCATTCGAAATTTTGTATAAAAAATATCCAATCCAATCCATAACTTTCAAACCATTAAAAATCCAATCCAATTCAACCCAAAAACAAAAGATCTATATTATCCAGCACTAGTTTTAAATTAAACCAATAGAATCCAGTGTAAAAACATGGATATAATATTTGCAAAATCAGTAAAACTATATTTTTAAAAAAACTACCATGATATACACACCTATTGTTAAATTTCGTTATATTTTTAATATAACAAAACTAGTTTATACGACCGCCAATCGACAGGCAAAAACTAGATGCCAACATTAGTGAATTTGGCTCTCCTTTCAAATGCCAATATGTTACCGACCAAACCAGCAATACACCCGCCTGCTTTAAGTTAAAAATATACGTAGATAAATACACAGATTTTAGAATATTTAGAATGACATAACGTCCTGGTTATGATTTCTATACAGAAAGTCAGTGAAAATTCATAATTTTTCCACAAACGAAAATCAATCCAATCCAGATTTCGGATTATCCAATCCAATCCAATCCATAGTTTTTCCAGAACCAAAAATCCATCCAATCCAATCCAGATCTCTGATTATCCAATCCAATCCATATCCATGGATTGGATTGGATTTCAAATGGATTGGATAAAATGGATATCCATTTCACCTCTAATCTATACTTATGCACAGCGTAGCTGCATATTACTTTCTATGTGATGCATGCATTCATATATACCCCTCAATTTAAAAGAAAGATACAGTGATGGTCACGAAACTTTACCCCGTCCAGTCTCGAATTCCCGCACGCACAACGACAGGCTGAATCCCGCAAAATCTGTTAAAAAAGAAGGGGTCCGTTTTGGCAATCTGGTGACCGCAGTTTGTGATCTTTGACCTCAAACTTGGCAAACACATTGCTAAGGCCCACACACATTTTGACCTAGGTCAAAATGTCCAAAATGTAGGTCAAAATGGTTAAAAACCGTCCTGGGGAATGTGATTACCAAGTTTGGGATCACAAACTGAGGTCACCAGATTGCCAAAGCGGACCCCTTTTTTAACGGATTGTGCGGGATTCATCCTGTCGTTGTGCGTACTGGAATTTGAGACTGGACGGGGTAAAGTTTCGTGACCATCACTGTACACAAATTTTTTTATTGTACCAATCACTGTGCGTACATAGATTCCAAAAAACATGTTTTTAAAATTTCAAATTTTTAATGTAGCAATGCGACACAACTTTATTAATAGGCATGCATTGGGTTTACTGTATGTACATATGTAAGTAATCGCATATCTGTATTCACGTATTTTGTGTATTTACCATAATTCTTTGGACGTCGCAGTTAGATTTCTTCTGCCGAATCACTCTAATGACTTTGTCAGCCTTCTTGTTCCACCAAAAAGTGATCACCTCCATCATAAAAACAAGCAGGGTGAGCCCCAAACAACCAGCAAGAACGTAAAAAGCTCCAGAGATATGTTTCAGCGTTAGGTCATCGTTTCCTTCCGTTTTTGATGTCGGTGTCAACTTTTCAGTATGATTCGTTTCCAGCCACCAAGCTCGCTTTGGCAGATACACGTTGTCATGCAGGTCGAAGATTTTCCACACTTCGGCAAAATGAAATGATCTCGTCAATGCTACCATTCGATCGAAGCCCTCCCTGAAAATTGATCCCCCTGGGAGAACCAAACCTACAAAAATCTGTAGAACAAAAAAATGTTAGGTTTCTATAAAATTGTGCCGTTTGACATTATGAGGGATTTCATGTCAAATTTGTAACCACGTAACTGCGTTAGGTTTTCAAAGTTACATAGTTTTAACATGAGTTACATAACTTTGTAAGCATATTTTTTAAATGTCTCGTATGCGTAACTCTGATTTTAACTGAACATGTAAATATTAAACTGTCGAATTACTTAGGAACTTCTGTCTCGAACTAAAAACATGCTTTTGAAGTGCGTCTATAAGTTTCGTAAAAGTTCGTAAGTCAATTTTCCTTATAGAAACGGGCGTAAAAGTTCGGAAGCTTACAAAACTTACGCAATTACGAGGGTTACAAATGAGTTATGCATAATTACGTCATAAGTACTCTCTCTGGCCCGGATTAACTTTCTTGCTTCCGATGAAGTGAAGTTTTTCATTTTTATGTACTCCATTGAATTCGTGTAAGCTATGCAAGCATATCTTGTCTGGCTGAGGATACGCTCCACACATTGCAACGTATCACGAGGAATGATGTCCATTTTCTTGGTTATTTTTACATAAACGTGATGTTTGGATCCTTTGAACATGTCGAGGGCAGAATCGCCGTCCTTGACGAAACCAATGCTAAAGTTGGAATACGCTAAGTCATGATACGTTTGTGGAAGTGACTCGTACAGTGGGAACGCGAGAAATCCGACCATTTTGGACCTTTTTAAGTAAAAAGAGTTAGTTTGGTTTTTTCCTTATTATTTATTTACATATATCTTCACCGTCTCTAACCCATAGAGTTGGATATTTAGGTAGAAGGATTGACTCGAAAAAAACATGGCCAAATTTGAAGGAGGAAGTATGGATAATCCATAAGGCGTTAAAACTTTTCCGTTGTGGAAATTTAATAAAAATTTCGAAGCTTGAAGTTAATAACAATCTTTAGTTTGTTTTTACTTTGTTTTAATTGTTTTAGAGAAAACAAAGGTTGTTTTAAAAGGTTAAAAAATATAGAAACAATTCACCACGGGGTTTGAACGTTCCTGACTTTCAAATTCTTCTTTTTAAAGTTGAGGTTGGCACAGTTAAATTCCGTCTCAATGTACCTCAAACTGTGTCCGGCTTTACAAGTAAATCCGTCCACCTAAATATCCAACTCTGTGCTCTAACCTGTAGATTGTAGTGACTATCAGTGTAAAAAAGAGCCAAAATGCTACAAAAATTTGAAATGCTCCAAATTTTGGTATGGTGGAGCCTTGATCCAGGTAGCTCGTAAGGACGAAAAATGTATGGTTAGTCGAAGCTACATTTTCCTGTTCTTTAGCGATGCCACGATCACCAGGCTCTTTCACGTCAAAATGATAAATGTAAAACCATGAAATAAAGCTAAAAGTCAGAATCACGATGACAGTAGCGAACCCAATACAAATCCAGGACAAGGTGTCAAACGACCTAGATCAGAAAGGGGGGAATAAATATTACTTACATGAAAATATGCATAACAGTAAGTACATAAAATTTCACTGTATTTTTCTAAGAAATGACCAATTTTAACTTACCACAACAGCGCAAGTGGACTAAAGATTCTAACTCCAAACGTTGTGAGAATGGTGAGATCATTCTTATCAAAGAAAGAACTAGTGAAAGCGATGAGATGAACTATGGAAAGACACATCATCAGTAAATTGTTTTAACATTGTCCAGATTTTTTGTCTATTTTTTGTCCGTATTTTGGCATCGATATATTGGTTTGTCCTCATTAAGCCCTGAACCCGTCGCTGTTCGTGTAAAAATTTGCCGGTTGAGAAACCAATCAGAAACATATTTACATACAGGGAAAAATGTGATACCATGTTATATGCAGTTATGGAAAAAATGCATCCAACAATTTATATTTTCAATCGGTTGGAAGGCTACAGTCAACCGACAACTTTTACAAGAACAGTGGCGATATGTATTACGTATGAATATCCTAGAATTATGTATGTCCTCCTCAGTATTTATTCCATGACATATATGTAAAATTACTTCTTTCGGGTGCAACCGCCGTGGCGAATCCAACATCCGCCCTGTCGTACAAAAGATCACCAACAACTCCTACAAAACACGTTAAAAATACATGTATTCACAAATTATACTTAAAGTATCACATTTAAATTTATGCATAAGCATATAAATTAGACAAAAGTAAAGTATATGTACCGTTCCAAGTTCCATTTGGTAATTGTTGCCCAGTCCCCTTCCCAGTGGCGATAAACCAATAATACGTAAAATTAAATCTTTTCGCAAGAAAATCATTAAATAAAGGCTTCCAAAGCCCACGCTTCGCATTGTTGACGGATAACGATGGGTCAATCTCGGCTAGCCACTGCACCGCTGGATATGCTACCCGCAACAATTTCCCATTCAAATTGCGAGTATAATCGGGAAAGAAGTCATGATTTGGTTCGGCGAGAGGATGGTCTACCAATTGAGGATTTCCATTGTTACAAAAGTAACAAACGGATTTGACATACAGCTCGCCACTGGTTTTGGAGGACAATCCCAATTTGTATTTTGTTCTACCCGGAAGTGCGTCAGTCATTAGGAGTTGGTCAAGTAAGCTCGGGCTGCGTGTGACCCATACCCATCGGTCAGAATGAATAGTAACAAACGGCATGTATGTGGGCGAAAAGGTTCTAAGAATGTCAGGAATATAATAATCATATAATTTTACGATAACTTGACTACGCCGATGATATGTACAGGGTGGTTTACTTAAATGTCTCGCTACATGGAAAATTCTTCAATGGGAAAAATTCATAAATTTCCACCAGTTACGGAAATTTTGTCTCTGAGATTTTTATTGATTATTCAACTCTAATATGACAAAACTCTTAAAATGTTGAATTTCAGAGGTAAAATTTCTGCAACTGGTGGAAATTTACGAATTTTTCCAATTGAAAAATTTCCGAGACATTTAAACCACCCTGTATGTACATTGTATATATATAAATATTAATGCTCACGTTTTAATCTGCTCCAGAAACCCTGTTTGTATACCATCATTCAGGACGATGGCCATCTTACACATAGCAGCCTTTTGGTTCTGAGTAATCTTTGCAACGCTAAAATTGGTCTTGTAACTCTGGTCAGGAAGATTATAAAATACGGCGTTGTAATACGGAATCTGGCGTAGATTTGACATCACACCAGTGACCAGGTCGTCCCAATTTTCCCCATTTTGTCGAATAAAGACAATGGAACAGTGGGGTGACCGAGTACGGGCAAGGTCAACTAGAAATCCACTCATTTCTTGGGAAGAAGAACATGCCCCAAATTTTGCAAAAAGTAGGAGAAAGATCAAGCCGAATAGATTGCGATACTTTTCCCCCATTATTTTTTTAGACAATTTTATATAAAGAAATATACGGAAAATTGGGGGTGAACCGTTAATGAAACGTTGTATGCATCACAGGATGTCAACTTGAGCACTGGATTAAATTCATGCACAAAGGGAAATGCGTGGACTGCTTTTGCAGACAGGACAGAACTGCATTTTTCAATTAGCATAGTATTCCACATGTTGTAGGCAATTGTTTATGACTGGAATGTAGTTCAATTTAATGTCAACTTTGTGCAGTGTCAACAAGGTCGTACAGGGAGGCAATTAGCGATTTGGAATTTGGAAATTTTATTGCTTTCACCACTTTTTGTTCTCTACTCCAACTCCTTGGCATGGCTCATGTATTTCCTGCTTTGTAAGTACGAACCCAATAAGTCGCTTTTGCAGGAAATGGTGAATGCTTAGGATGGTGAAAGCACTTTCGATTTCATTTCCTAATGATGAATATTACTGTTTCTACCATGTACCTTTGCTTCAGTAGGCATGAGCCAATTGATGTTGCACAATTTACCAGTGGCTCATTAAGTATATCTACAGTGTGTAACAAAATTGTAGATCCAATGACAAATTTTGTATTTCGATGCTATACTTTTTTAGATTTGAACACTTCAAGTCAGAAGTATCTACGGATAGTTTCCGTGTTGGCGATATTTAATGTCACAGACAGGTCAAAGGTCACAACTTTAATACTTGTGTGTATTGCAATAGTTCGCCGCGGTCACGATTTTAGGCTTTAAAACCTATATTTTCGAAAAATTCCTGTGGGCATTAAAAAAAACATACGCGGTCATACGATGCTTATTTTTCTTATGAGGCCTCGTAAAAAATATTAGAAAGTACCTAAACAAAAATTATCCATGGAGCTTTTTTTTACTGCTCATCTTAAATGTCAAAAAAGGTTTTGACCTTTGACCTGTCTGTGACATAAATTGCCAAAGCTGAAATAATCCGTAGATACTTTGACATTTCCATACGTTTTAAAGCTAAAAGCTATGGGATCATATCGAAATAAAAAATTTCTCATTGCATCTACAATTTTGTCACATATTGTATGTACATATATCTACATACATATGTACCAAGGGCAAGGGTATATTTGTCAGACGATGTCAATGTCAAACACACTGCTGGATTTCGTCATAATGATGCTTTCTAATTACATTCCTTGCTTTATGATGCAAGGAAGCAGCGTTTAGCAGCAGTTTGTTGAATCTTAAATGAGTAACTCATTTTGACATTTTTAATACCTGAAGCAACTAAGCAAAGTTTTTTTGCTAATAAACTGGAGACGTCAGACTTAATAGCTTATGGACTTACATACCTACCTACATATCGCAATTTTAAATCAATAATCAGGTTTTCGGGGGTAGGAATTATTTGGTAATTATATTCAGTAACGGTATTGTAATGACAACTAATTGTAAACCGATGCAGTAAAACTGCATTGTTGAGTTTCTTTTCCAAGTGCAATTCCAATTTGTCCTCTGTCCATAAGTGCAAATTATCTATATTTTTATCCCTTCAGTGCATTCGTCAGTAATAAATTAAGTATTCATTAATTTGTCAGAACAAATTTGAACAACTACGTGTCGAGTTATTTTCAAATACAATTTTAAGTCCGTTTTGCATACATATGTGAAGTAAATAGTCAGTTACATATTTAGTTATATTTTTAAGAAATATGTCAAATTTTACTCCACTGGGTTCGCAATGCTTGATTAGGTAGACCCAAATTAATTTGTAAATACTATGTACATGGCTGTATCATACGTATATATAAAGCGTCAAGAAAAATGCCCACCGCATCTCTGACAATCGTCCGCGCCGGATTTTTGTTAAATTGCTTTCCATTAAATCTATGGTAAATTACTCGTGTCACAATTTGCTGTAGGTGATGTAAATAGCTTTTGTAAGATTGGGACAACGTAAAAATATTGGCATATTTGCATATTTTATTCCCTTTCTTTCGTCATCAGGGAAGGGAGTTTTTAATATATCTGAGACTGCATAACCTAACCTAACGAACTTTTCAGCGACGTCTGAGAGCAGTTTGACAGACTGTCAGCGTCAGGAAACTGGGTGCCACTTTAGAAAATTTAATCAATTAAGTAAATGGCAGCATTTACATTAAAAAATTTAAACAAGTATAAATAATGATAGTGGTTGGGAGTTATCATGATGGAAATTAAATAGCATTTAGCACCCAACCTTTCTCTTTAAGAAAGGTCGTCAACAGAAAAATATTTGAAGCGAACACTATTACACTCGTACATATTTACATGGCTGGGTGTCCTAATACTTAAACTCCAGGAATTTGACGCAACGTGTTCTAAATAAAGAAATTTTCTAGTTGTTTCTATTTTTCCGTGTAACCTCTCCGCCCACGGTGGAACGTACATATGTAGTTGCCCAACATTGGGAAATTATTGCGAAAGGACAATCAAGATTTCATAGTCATGGGCTGGGCAATGTTTTAAATCCTCATAATCCCTAATCGTAATTTGTATAATTATGTATGTACCTCCTGGTCGTGAGCAATTACCGTTAATTTGCACACGTAAACGGATTGGGGTGTAACTATAGTTTTGATGGACACCAACAAAACAATACTAGCCCTAGACTTCAATCCCCATTTTCACAATAACAGGGAATACATCTTTCGAATATGTGCCTCACAAGGGTTGTCCTTGTTTACATGGCACACACTTCAGAATTTAGTTGCGTACATAAGTCCACTCCCACACGAATTAACTCAACCCGAATTTTTTCATGCGTAGTTTCCTGTCATGCTTGACACTTATTTACATAAATATTTATCTACTTTGTTTAAGCTACGCTTTGTCTCAAATGTAAGAGATGAAAATTGAAAATGCTCTTATTTTGTGACGTACGTGTCCTCAGTCTTGAGGGTTGGGTATATTATAGATAATTTATTGCCACATGTCTCCACAAAGTTTCATTCAAATTCGGCTTCAACTTTCTGTGATTTTAATATTTTTCCAAAATTAGTCAAATTTTACTGTCTCAAAACTAAGAGATAGGGCGTTTTTTAATTAATTTAATATTAATTCCTAATTGAATCCTGACCAATAAGCTGTTTTTAATATTTGGTGAAACCTCCCTGGATTAAAATTAACTCAAATATCCGTCGTTTCATTGAATCATTCAAATTCTGCAGAGTTTCCAATGGAATGTTTGCCCATTCTTCGTGAATTTGGCGTTCCAGTTCTTGTTTGGTCCGATACTGACGTCCGTGTGAATATACTCCACGCGAAAGTTCGGCCCACAGATTCTCCATTGGATTGAGATCGGGACTTCTTGCTAGCCAGGGCAAAGTCCGAACGTTTTTCCTCGCTAGAAAGTCCATTGTGGAGCGAGAAGCGTGAATTGAAGCATTGTCTTGCTGGAAAATCCACCCTCTCCCTCCAATTTTTGGACCTTCTCGAATGAGATTTGCCTTGAGGACTTCTTGGTAGCCTAGGGAATCTGTTCTTGGTGGAATGGACGCAAGTTCAGTCTTTCCATTGTACCCAAATCCTCCCCAAAGCATTACAGACCCACCCCCTATTAATAAGCCAATCAAAGATTTTTATACTTAATGATGAAGTAGTTTATTGTAAAAATAACTGGTCTAAAATGGTTTCTGACATACCTGCTTGTCGTTTGGAAAAGATTTCTGGTTCCTTCTTGAGATGGTGCCAGTAATACGAGTAACCATCCGGTCCGTCCAGATTAAACTTTTTTTCGTCCGTGAAAATGACCTTTTGCCACTCTTTGTCCCATGACATGTGTTTCCTGGCGAATTCCAGCCTTGCGCCCTTGTGGCGTTGGGTCAGGGGAGGCTGCGTAAGCTTTTTCCTCCACTCCAAGTCGGTATTATTGGTCAGGGATCTATGCACGGTGTCTTTTGAGACGGTAAACGGCAGTTCCCTTTGAATTTCTCTGATAGAGTACTGCCCTGTTGCGGCAAGTTTGCTAATTTGTCGCTCGTCCCGAGGTGTCAAAATCTTAGGGCGACCATAGGAAGTGGTTTCAAGGCCTTGGTGGGTCTTTGAATTAAGATAATTCGAGATTGCACTTTGCGAACACCCGAGAAATTGAGAAATTCTCGATTGAGACGCCCCTTGCTCATGCAGAAGGTCGATCTGCCCCAACTGGTAGTCGGAAAGAGGTTTCCCGGTTGGCATCTTGACCAATACTGACATTTCAAGTCGAGAACTGGCCAGGTGGCTAAGTGATTAATTGATTAAATTTCCCAAAAACGCCCTATCTCTTACTTTTGAGACAGTCCAATTTGACTAATTTTGGGAAAATGTTAAAATCTCGGAAAGTTGTAGCCTAGTTTGAATGAAACTTTGTGGAGCCATGTGGCACTAAATTACCTATAATATTACAAAATATCATGACCCACGAGTAACATATCACAGAATGAGAGCATTTCCAATTTCTATCTCTTACATTTGAGACAGAGTATAATGTGCTATTAACGCGTCAATATTGACTCGTGCGTGAAAACTCGTCAATTGTACCTATTGACGAGTTTTCTGAGCTTTGGCGACCTTTTCGCCCCCTTTTCTCTAAACAGAAGTAATCTGAATCTTTTTCAGAATGGGAAAAATGGTTCGCTTTCAAACTGCATAGATTCCTGAAGGTTTTAAGAATTTAATCTACATTGGTTCTATGTATGCAACCATTTCTTCGCGTATGTACATATGTATCTACGTATATGCATGTATGTATTTTTGTATACATATGTATACATATATACATGCTCGGCACCCGTTACCCATACATAGCACAACAAATGAATTGGAATGAACTGCGAAGACTATTATAATTAGTTTGCATTTGTACTTACATACGTATTTATCTACTTTCACGTTTACGTACGTATGTACATATATACTTCTGTAGATACTTTTAATAATTTTATGCATGCCCATTCATAACTAACTATAAGTAACTCGCCTACCAATTTATGTTGCTTGGCTTTATGTACTTATTAGCTCACCCTGCGTAGCATGAGAGCTATTGAATTCCTCTTGTCCGTCTGTCTGTCTGTGTGTTAAAGACCTTTTTGCATCAATTGATGCTAATTAAATAGGACCATGTCCATTTTTTGGGCAATTAGTAGCACCATTATTGTGAAACAAACAGTACCGCAAAATGGTGCGAAATAATTGGGGGAATCGATGTATTCCGCACCAATGGTTAAGATTATCTGAAAGTTCTTGTTAGTCGTGGCAGACATATCTTAACCTCGAAATCATGTCAAAATTGTATCTCAATTTTACGCATTTCGGCCGCACCAATGGTGCAAAATTTTATCAAATTTTTGTTATTCCCCGCTTATTCTGTACCATTGGTGCAAAATTATATGAAAATTATGAATCTTTTTTGTCGGCTAATTCTGCACCTTTGGCGCAAAGTTACATATACAACTCATTATAATAGGGTCAGCTACTTCTAACGTTACAACGGTTTATTTATTTGCGACTTAATTTTTAGTTCACAAAATTTATACCCATATTTTTATCATGTTCATAAAATAGTCCATTCTCTTACTTATCGCATTTCTTTGAATGGACGATAAGTGAGCATAATAAGTATGCTTAAACAATGCTACATAAAACTTATTCTCTGGCTTCTCGTTCTACACCATTTTCATTTTCACATTTACAGATCCTGGCAAATGGCTTGGATATTCAATCCCAATGTTCATACCTAAAGCAAGATGAAAGTAACCTGGTTGGTGTGTTGGATTGTGTCGGTTTTAATGCGTCCATATTTCTTGGTGAGTTCAATTTGGAGTATTTAGAAATACAGATAATTTGCAATAATGGGTATAATTTAAAGTCTTTATATAAAAAATAGGATGCTGCCCCACGTGAGCGTAATTTCAACGACTGGCAGGAAACGCATAGTCCATGGGGCCGGTTAGTAAACAGGAAATAAATATTCTAGATTTCATAGTAAGGCATTTCATGTAAAAGTCCGTAACCACCTAAGTTTATGACGATAAGCTTACTTACGAACCAAAAACATGCCCTTTATCTTCGCATATTTTTGTAAATTCGTAAGCCAAAATTACCTCATTGATGTCCGTAAATTTCGTAAATTTACGTGGTTACACAGGCTATAGCGTGGAATGCCTCAGTAAAAGTAGAAATACATATGTTGACCTTAAAAAGCAGACCTTATTATTGAATTTATTATACAAATTTGTAGAAAAGCAGATTAAATTTAACCCATTTTATTTCCTATTTACAGAATGCTAGCGATGATGAGTGAAGTCCGAAGTATTCAGTGTCAACGTGGTTTTTACAACATCTCGGATGCCGTAATCGACTCTGCCTTCCATTGTGCAAATCTTAAGCATCCTAAGAAGTCTCGGATGCATTTCCGAGATGAATTGGTAGATTGGGAGGGAGAATCGCCAATGCTTTGTTTCAAAACGTGCGTAATGAGGGAGTCTGGTGCTATGAATGACGATAACACGGGAATCGATAAGGAGAGGGCACATCGCATGTTTTTTGCAGGGATGAGGAAGCCTGGTGGTCACATGTCAGTGGACGTAATGACTGAGGAGTTGGTAGAATGTGACCAAAAATGTGAGTACTTGAATCTAATCGTCAGTGTTTCGTTTTTTTGCCGGGTTTCTAGATACATTTCTTGCACTGGAAGGCAAGAAATGCAAGAAAGCGCAAAAATATCTAAACCTGGCCGCGGGAAGTATTTTTAGTTTCTTGCGCCTTGCATTTTTTGCAAGACAAAATAATAGCTGCGCAAAAACCCACTTTCTTCCCGTTATTTCTTGAAAGTGGTTACTTGCCCCCGAAACGAAGCACTGATGCTAATCGTAATTTGACCCGTAATACGTACTTTTTGTTGCTTTTTAGAAAATATCTATTTTATGGTTTAGATCCAACCGAATTTCCCAGGCATTACAGAAATTGTACAAACACGGAAAATATCTTCCGATGCTATGGAGAAGTGCTGCATGAATGTGACAGAATGGGAGAAATGAATGTCAGTGGTGATGTCAATGATAATATTTCAAATGACTACGAATAACTTGACTATAAAATCGGATTCCTTGGTCTGAGATACAGTTTCAGTTGCTCAAAGTGTAAACTAAAGCACACTGACAGATTTATGTACGTATGTACATATGTACATAGTTATATATATGTGAATAAACTTCAGTACTAAAACCATGTAACACCAATCGAGAGCTATCGTTCTGATTGCATTTTAATGAGGTTGTTTTGCACGAAAATTCGGTGATGGAGTTGCATGGTAATCATTATCTGGCATTGTACATTTATATGTACGTGGATTGTCGTGGATACACTTACATGTGCAAAGTTCATTAGAAATTTTCACGGTTTCTTTACGTGATGATTAACACAAAAGTCTAAATAGTCGAAATAATTTATAATTTAAGGACTTGCATATTTTACTTGATAAAAAATATTATGCATTAAGAAAAATGGAAGTCAAAATGTTTGCATTATATGCAATAAGCGTAATAGTTATTTCTCTGTGTGAAGTTAACAGTATATCGGATCGCAGTCGTCAATTCGAGTTAAATGGTAATCCGTAACAATAATAATGTACCTAAAAATGAGATTTTGACATAATGAATTCCAGATGTTCACTGTGTCGATTTCAACGACTCTTGTCCCCTGTGGGCAAGAGGTGACTGCAATTCTCCGCTGATGGAATTCTACTGTGCAAAGTCATGCGGAAAATGTGGTTCGAAAATGCATTATTTTGAATCGCTTAAAGAGTTCATGTTATATACTTAAGATATGAGCATCATTGGTTTATCTGATTTCAGATAAGTGCCAAGAAGAACCTGGCGTGGACAAAAAATGTGATGTTTGGGCAAAGCGAGGAGAATGTGAGAGAAGGCCAGAATACATGCAGACTCGATGCCGAATTAGTTGTGGACTTTGTCGTCCAAGTTAACCAAATACAATTAGTGTTTTATGAATGCAATTATTTACATATATGTAATTAATGGAAAAGTTAAAATTGATTGTAAGGATAGGTTGCAAATAAAGTACATAGTCTGACTGAAACCGTCAGAAATTGATTATGTTGTGAACTCCCAAATGTTTCTCTCATAATTACCCAACGGTATGTACATACGTTGAAATGTAGAATTCCAAATTTTTTGTTCTACCAAATTCCAGAACAGGAATCATTGAAGGATAAGTTTCTCCAACATTTGTGCCAAGAGGAAAGCAGGATAGATACATAAACCGAAACATTCTGATCCGATATTAATGTGCATAGTTTCTAAATTTTATTTTAATGTACGGACAAATTAATTTCCTTCCCGTTCATCGTCGGAAGGTTGCTAAACATTACTTTGCACGCTTTATGTAATTGACAAATGCATACCACTCGCTACATATGCATATATTTGCTAATATCAGGCTTCCGGGAGGAAGGTTTACATGGATAGTGTACATGTACATACAGGTATCTACATATATGTATGAATATTTCACTATTTTGAAGTGATATACACATAAATGAGGGGTGGTAATGTAATACATAATGGTGGATGTAAAGTTATGATGCTTAATTGATCAGTTTAGAAATAAAACGTGATGAGGCAAAATGACACGACAGAATTTTGCAGAGTACAATGGCTTTGTAGATGATCGTCCTTTAACCACTGCTCGCTGTCGCTCGTTAACCCTGATGGTGTATTTTTGTTTTGATGACGATTCTTAATTGTCCAACCCACTATTAACTATGTAACTATAGTAGCATAGCATAAAGCATTCTGTATGCAGTAGGATTAGTATGCCGCATACATAAACAGTAGTATGGATGAGTTATGTATGTTTGTATGATTGTACAGGATTATGGGAGAATTGGAATTTTCAGAATATCTCCAATTTCAGGGGAAATATTTTAAGTATATTTATATAAGTCTTATTTGCAGAATGGCTTTCGTATGTATCTATGCATGTATGTACAAACACCAGTGTCGCCAAGTTGTACGAATATGATGATAATATGTAATAATAATCATAGTTTATGTATATAGTTTATCCACTTCGAATTTTCATAGAAATACATTTTAAAGCAGATCGTTCATACCCTGGAATTCAGGAAATACATATGTATATAAATAAATGTCTTACAATATCAATGATAGTCACATTATATGAAATTCAGTTTCTTACGTAATTCATTTCAATGATTTGAATATCAATTTAGCCAGTAAAAATAAAGCCTTGCTTGTTTAAAATTACGTCACGCTGGGTAGTTTTCCAGCTGCCAATAGATCTAGAATTTTGAATTGAAAATAATATTCAAAGTCTGAAACAAATCAATTTTTTTGAATATTTACCAAGCAATGTAAGAAAAGTGTTATTTGCACGTGTAAAATTTTCCATTATCCATTATTTAAGGACAAATATTTATATATTGGACTATGTACATACATACGAGATACGGTCGTCGCGTCAATCGTTCTAAATCTGCACGTACTACAGTGCAAATCTCGCTTTATGCATCATCATTTTAAATTGAACGTGTCACATTTTTCATCATTATCCGCATAAAGGTTAATCTTCTGCCCTGTCTGACTGACCAATTAATTTGCACTGGTTAATTTTTTGTCCTTGACCATGACTGGTTTACTGGAGAGCAAACGGGTTTGGCGTCAGTTCAAGGCTGGTTTCCGTTTAAACAACTGCGCTTTTAGAAATATTTCCAGGGCATTATAAATAATTCTGGTGTAGTCATTATTTCGGAATTTAATTTGGTTGAAGTTCTAGTGTCATGACCCCTACTAATATATGGATTTTGGGTGGTTTAATACTTGTGGGAGGTGCTACCTCCAACAAAATTTCTCAGGTATTTATGTATGTAGTAACTAATTTGCATAAGGGGTTCAACGGAAATTTCAATATTTATTATACGAAAAATTAGGATGATAGAATACGCAGTTTAGAGAAGGATGCGGAGCAAATTAACATAAATTTTAACGAGCTGTCCAGTGCTGTAAAATCCTTGCAGGAAAAAAATGCCGAGCTGGAAATGACAAGTATTTGAATATCAATTTTTTGCATAACAGTTTATGCAAATATGTCTCACAAATTGAACCTGTCGTTTTGATTGCAGTTGTTACGACCAGAAAAATTATGGAAAATCGTACCCTACTGGATACATTTGACATCGTAGGAATAATTGGGTCGAAAATATATTTCTTGGAGAAGGACGCGATAAACGCAGCTTCGAGGGTTCGTAATTTTATTCGCCTTTATTTAAAATTAAAAATTCAATTGTATTTCGAAATGTCATCATTGTCAAATTTTCCATAAAATTGCTCATATTCAACTTAATTATTGTTCTCTTATAAAAATTATTAAAATACAAATTTCTCAGGGACCCATGCCATCTAGAAGTTTCACGGATTCACGTAAATTCTGTAATGAATATGGTCTTAGACTTGCAACGCTAAAGACGGACGGAGAGATGAAAGTTGTAAACGATTTTGTAAAGTTAAATGATTGTAAGAAAACAAAAACAATATTTGAACTCTTGTGTGAATTTATTTTAGTGGTTTTATCATTATTTTTCTATCCCGCAGGGCTTTGGCCAATCTGGGTGGGTGGGAAAAGGGTTCCTTGGAAAAGTTCAAATCGGCCGTCATATCGTTGGCAATCGGACAGGGCTGGACAAGAGTTGCAAGTAGATTTCAGTGAGTTACTTATCAATCCCTCGGGTTAAAGATGAGGAGATATCAAAAACTAACATTTTTAATAAAATTAGCCCATGATCCCATAACAATAACGGACGATGCGTATCAAAACTTGCGGAATGGGACATCCTACGAAGATTGCGTTATGATGTATTTCTCGGGTTTTGCTGGAAATGGGAAATTTAGGGATGAAAATTGCACCAAAATTCATACCCCTCTTTGTCATAAGCACCTTTTTAGTACATTTTCTGATCGAAGAAAAATTAGAAGAGTTTAAAATTAAATTGTCAGTCTTGAAGTGTGACCTTTTGTTAATCTGGTCGAATTTCCGTTTTAAGTCGAGTTAGGTAAACTGCAGTCCTAAGTATTACCTATAACTATATGACATATGTAGGTATAACTTAGTTTCCATGGATTATTTTCAATTTATAAAGCACTTGACAAAAATTTGTGCACGAAGAAATAATGCATACCCTCATGGTTTATTCTTTTGTCTTAAATGAAAATAAATTATTTGAGATGAGTCAACATATTATATAAATTTTATCAATTTATCGTTAGTCAAAGATGTTACGTACTTTATTTGAAAACCCACAGAACCCAAAATATATATGTACATACATGAAAAGTTCAACTTAATGCAAGTCATGCAGATTAAATGTCAAATTGTTTCTTATCCATGAGAGCGAGTTGTTGAATATCTTCCGGCGTGAGTGGCCCATCTGCGACACGGACAAAAATCGTAAATCAATAATTAACATTGCATAATTCCGCTCGTCGATTTTGTCTACAGATGACAGAAAAAGTAGCACATTTCTGAGGGGGAAAAATACTAAAATGACTACTCACTGATCTGATACCAATCTGTATTTCCAGCATCTTTCCTTGCAGAATCGATCGCATTCTGCGTTTAGAATCAAGATGATACACATACACATAATTTATTATATTTATGTCTTGAATATATGTATAAATATATATGTACCTTGAGGGCCCAGAGAACGCTAACACTGAGGCACAAAGGAGGTTCTCCAGTTGCTGCAAAATAATCAGTAGTTTCAAAAATATGCAATAGTTTCAAACAATATTATTTCTATTGCTATACCCAACCAACTTCTACATACATAAGGACAGAGACAAATAACCCGTATCATATAAAGCGTATGAGTTGTATTTAAAACAGCGTGGTACGTAAGGAAAATATTTACCCTTGGATCTTAAGACTCCTAAAGGGTTTGGCCTGTTTTTGATCATTGTAATCCTGAAATCCTCTGGTATATCTTTGACGAATGGTGGTTTGTATCCCTATGCAAAAGATAGAAGAAAGACATTCAACATGCGTACAAGTTGACTGATTCAATTGGCATCAGTTCATTACTAGAAAGCATGTAAAAATTGATTGGTAAATTTGTTACAGGTTGTGTAGGAGAACGTCCATAAATTATGGCACGCAAAAATGCCGATTTCTCATACCCTTCCTTCCTCCTTGTCAAGTATTAAACACCCTTTTAACATATGGCGCAAATGGACGCAAAACCTTTTCGTTCCCACCCCCTTCTTACGCCGTGACATAATTTATGGACATCCCATAGCTGCAAATGCAATCCACTTTCAATACACAAACATGCTTCAACTTTCCTTCTTCCAGCAAAAAGCATTCAAATGAGAGAGGAAACAGTACGGTTGTGGTATGAAGATGGTATGAAAACGACAAAATGACACCAATTACCTAAGTATTCTTGGTGAGAATTTCTCCAGTATTCTTGTCATAGATGAGTTTCTCCGTCGTCCAAAGTCCCAAACCTAAAAATTAATTATGAACCGTACGAGAAGAATGTGAGTATAATTTTAAAATGAGACTGGTCGTGATAATGAATACCCATGACGAAGGCACCCTCTATTTGGCCAATGCCCACTTCAGGAGAAAGACTCATACCAGCATCTTCAGCCAGATCCACTCGAACGATCTGTGCCCCACAAAAACATACTTATTCGATAAATATACATTGTTTTTCCTGCTTTCATTTTTTATTTGTTATAGCATGAAACAATGCATATTTTTGGGCTAATTCTTGGTACTCCTGAACATGAATACCTTGTATTCACCGGTGAGCACATCGAGTTCAACTTCAGTTAGACAAACGGCCCAGATATCGTAACCTTTCAGCTCACCGGGTATGTCTCTGAGAAGAATGAATATACATCATTGCAATTTCTGAAATTGTACATGCATAGATTGATTCAAAAACCTCATGCAAAAACTTACTGATATTGAGCCGTCAGAAGGATATGTTTATTGTAACACGCTGTCACCACCTTCTCCCAAGTTGGATCTTTTATTTCCTGTCGGATTGGTTCCATTTTTTTCAACAGGATTTCGCACGCTTTCATCGCAGCCTGATGAACAGTAAATCACAGTTTCAATTTCTATGAAAGTACTCCAGTTTTTAAGTCCTTAAACATAATTATGTATTTTATTAAGCTTACATGACACACCAGCTCGCTACCCATAGCTGTTCCAGTCATGGAAGCATTCGGCTATACCAAACTACTTGTCGGCTTTATGCGAACTTTCTCCAGTGGAACGTTCAGAAACTTTGCAACGGTTTGGGCACACTACAGTAATATATTTGTATGTATAGTGAATTAGAATATCATAGAATTTCTGTGATTTGCAGCAGTTGGCACCTTTGTATTGATCCCTTGTCCCATTTCAATTCCTGCGATGAAAATAATTATTTTACACATATGTACAAACCCTGAAAGTTAACGTTCCTTAGTCTCAATTAGCATAGATTTTCAACTAACCTCCGTGACTCACAGCCACCGAACCATCCATCTAAGGAGAGGAGAGAGGTTTCTTAATTTGACTTATCCTCTCGATAAGTCAAATTAAGCAACCGTAAGATTAGTTCTACCCGATTTGTAAAATTTTGGCCTTACACGATACACGGAAATAAAGACTGGAAACTGAGAATCAAATTCGGCATAGTGTTGCGGATATCGCATGGGCATTAAATGCATCCCACGTTTCCGGAACCTGTTTGTCTACATACAACAATACCATAATCGATAATTAGGAAAAATCCAAGCTAAGATAAGTGAGATTAAAAAGGCACATTGTTAAAATTCTCGACAAACTTTTTCCTGTCATCATAATCTGCCGAGGTTTTAAGATCATCGATGATTTTACTGAGGGGATTTTCACCTTGGAAAGTTTGTCCAGGAAGGCCTACGAGTGGGTCACCGGCTTTGATGAAATTTGTGGCTCTTACTTCCGCTGGGTCCTGAGGTCAAGGGTCAGGAAGGTCAATTTTATGTGAAATCAGATTCAATGTGGTAAGTGTATAGTTATTCGTACATATTTACCTTCTTTAAAACATGAGCTATATGTTCCATAATCGCCTCTATAGATGCAATTCCTTGTGGGGTTCCTACAACACAAGAGAATTTTTTTTAATACGATACTTTTCTACGTATGCATTTTTTACAATGAGCGTCCTCAAGAGTCCTGAGTACGCTAAATGCAATGCGATAATTTGGCGAAATCTCGCAAGTTGTGTTGCTACGTATGTTCAATTTGCGAGATTGCGAAGGTTGACGAGGTAGAGATGTGCCAATTTAGGTACCTGGGGCTCTGCAAAATGTGTTGGATGGTTTATCCGTCAAGGCTCGTCCAGGAGTCATTTCCCACCCTTTGGCACGATAACAGCTAAAGTATGTACATAAATCGTTTAATTTTTCAAATCCGTATTTCCGAGAAATTAAAAAAGTGAATAATTTTACTTTTGCATGAAGATCGATGCCAAGAATGAAGTCGTCTCGTTCGGAGTATACCCCGGATCACAGAATATGGAGCCTTTCAAACTAACGATATTTCCAGAATCATCGACGCTTGCCTGTTTCAAAATTTACATATATAATACATAAATGTATAAATAGATTCGAAATTAAAATATTGCTATTTTGTTCACTACGCACTTCATACGTGGTCAAGTACGGAAGTCGCTTTCCAATCATTTTCATATTGGTCTCCAAATCCAGAATTAGGCGAACGGGTCGATTTGTCACGTGCGCCGCAACCGCACAGGCTCCAGCAATGAGGCATGATTTTGATATTTTTCCACCGTACGACCCTCCCAGTCGTCTTACAATAAGGTTAATGCTGCAAATAAAGGTGAACCATTAGAATAAACTTAGTCCTCAAATTGTGTAAGATTTCGTGACCAACTTATGATTCGGCATTTGGATGGCGGAAGATACAACGGCTTGGACCATGTCTGAATACTGGGTAGAACAAAATACGTCCATCCCATCCTCTCTCGGGACGCAGATACATCTAAATATTATAGATATCATTATTATTTAAGGAACATATTGACGTCGAAATTCGCATTCGCATCTTGAGCATAGAAATATAACTTGTAAAATTTTTGCGAAGTTTGCGAGATTTCGCAAAATTTTTCATGGAAAACCATGGAGTTTTTTTTCGCAAATTTACCCAGCAAATGGGTGTGTTCTTATTTCGCAGACTCATCCTCGCCATCAACAGTTAGAGAAATTAGAGAAATCCATAAAAGCAACATCAAAATAGATGCTTTTAGAACAAGATTTGGGACATTTGCGTAGGCATATTTTGCTAATCCCCTGTTCAGTTTGTCAAGTTTGCCAAATGAGTTGCGATTCGAAATAAAACGCTTCTAAATATTTTTTAAATAGTTCAAAATGGGAAATTACGTTTGCGTCTCCATGTACATGTGATACTGCGGTCCAACACGGAATTCGCCTTTGATGGTTTGTGTCGCATTAGCAAATGCATTTTTGTCTGAAGGAGTCTTCCGAATTTCGAAGATACAATTTTCACCCTTCTTCTCAGCCAGCTTGAGTGAATCCTTCATATCGAGGACCGGTTTCTTCACGTCGCTGTACACAATCTTGACCTTCTTGGCGGCTTCTAATGCAATGGTGCGACTCTCGGCTAAAATTAGGCCTACCGATTGCCCCGCGTGGTGAACCTTGTCTTTCACAAAGATCTAAGGAAAATATCATAAACATAATATTTGGAAATGTGTAGAATTTCCAGAATTTCAAGTGTACCAAAATACATATGATATGCATATGTATGTATTTATGTATATACCTCTTCAGCAATTGGGTAAAATATAGTATAGTTATTGGGCCCTGGAATATCTTTAGCTTGGAGGAAGTTTACCACACCTGGAGTCATCTAATCGTAAGAAAAATTTTATGTTTTGTTTTGAAATTAACCCACTTTCAAATCGTCTCATGACTAATGAACCATACTTAAATTTACTTAAATACGTATTAAATACCAGCGCTTCTGACGCGTCTATACTGGAAATGGTGGCATTGGCGACCGTTGTGACGACAAAAGCTCCAAAGAGATCTCCAAACTCAGGGCGAATGTCATTTATATATTCAGCCTCGCCTGTTCGTTTAATAAAATTTACAATACAAAAGTTCAGGGTACTGGGAGAAAGTTTTGCATAAATAAATATGAATATGAAATATTTATGAAACCCACCGGAAGCTTGGACATCCGCTTCGAGTTTGGGAATTGGTTGGTAAAGTGGCCATTCTTTTTGGTCCGACTCGAAAGTCTGCTTCCCACTCATTGGACCATGTTCCAAATCCTGTCCACCAGATTTTACGGATGATTTTACCGACTCTCCAAGAATGGAGAGGATTGCCTAAAAAAAGTTTTGGATGTAATTTCCCTAATCGGAATTTAACGATGTCATGTATCGTGCCGCACCTTGTAAAGTAAGGATTGCGCCAGAGTTTTTCTATAAATTTGGGATCCATCCGTCGGAGTTTCGTCTGGTTTTAGTTCAGCTTCCAAAGTATCCATCGTGCTCGTAAGGGTTCCCTTATTTAAATCTTTACCAACGAGAAAGTTTTCCGTTTGTGAGGCATGTACCTGCAAAAATATGAAAATTGGGGACATTGCTATCATCAATTGTTATTGGTAAATAATTAAATTTGATGCTTGATGCTTGGTTTGTATTAGTTAGAAAATCGGCCGAAATTCCGCCAAATACAATGCGAGGTTTTTCCAAAACATTGAAATTCTTCTTGGTGTCGACTTTAATAAGAATTCCAGCATTCACGTAGACATGCGAATTTTGATATCGCCGCGTAATCTGGGAAAATATTATCATTATAATTGAACCAAAATAGATATATAAATTGTACATCAAAGTGTAAACCTTGTAGGTCTTGAGATAGTAATTTCCTCCTTTGTAAGCCGGAAGAATTATGGAAAGTATCAACTTTCCCCGCATGTCTAACTCTCTAAATTCTATCATGCTGTACTCCTTCGATACCGTGGGAGACGCTCCTGTTTCAGAAACGCAAAACATTCTATTTGTTTAGTTTACATTTTGATGTAGAGGAAATTGCAACAATTAAAATTCATGGATTCTTCTTAGAAATCATGTTAATGGACACTCGTAAACAAGAATAAATTTGCCAAGAACAAATCTCTTTGAATACAAGTAAGACACAAATTGTGTCTTACATTGTGTCACACAATGCAAATAATAACGGCATAGTGGAAGTAGATATATTTATATTTACCTATGAGAAGTTTAGCCCCCACTGACTCCAGTAGCATAAATATGTCGGAAGGGAAGTCTCGATGAGTGTGTTTCATCATCAAATTTCCGCTTAACGTTCCTGTCTAGAATTTTAAAAAAAGTAGGGAAAATTCTAACGTATTTATTTATTGATAGATTGTGGGTCGTGTTATTAATGGGGGCGGCTGCTAATTAAAAAAATAGTAAAAAATTCTTCTGAATGAATAAAAATTAAAAATCTAAAATAGATATGTTCACATTCATTTGAATAATTGGATAGCGTCATAGATCGGATATTTTGCGTACTCCGGCCTCCGCGTACTCCGGCCTCCGGCCGGCCATGCGTACTCCGGCCTCCGCGTACTCCGGCCTCCGGCTGGCCACGCGTACTCCGGCCTCCGCGTACTCCGGCCTCCGCGTACTCCGGCCTCCGCGTACTCCGGCCTCCAGAAAAAGTCGCGTACTCCGGCCTCCGGAGGCCGGAGTACGTACTCCAAGCCCGGAATTCTCCTATCTATGCGATCGGAAATTTTGCGTACTCTGGCCTCCGGCCGGCCATGCGTACTCCGGCCTCCGCGTATTCCGGCCTCCGGCTGGCCACGTGTACTCCGGCCTCCGGCTGGCCACGTGTACTCCGGCCTCCGCGTACTCCGGCCTCCAGAAAAAGCTGCGTACTCCGGCCTCCGGAGGCCGGAGTACGTACTCCAAGCCCGGAGTACTCCGATCTATGGATAGCGTGCGAAACATGCATCAAACGAACAAAAGTAACTGACATGGCATGACTTTAATGGTATTTCGTTCAGTACGATAAACCCAATAACATGCATGGATAATAAGTATTACTGCTCACTTACATTTCTAATTGGCACATTAGCAACCCGCTTCAGGTGCTTACTCATCTGTGCACAAAACGCATACCCGTCAATTTCAGACGCCTTTTGTAGCTGGTCTATGGCATAACAAAGAGTGACATTTGCTCCAATCTTCACACCGGAAGTTTCGATCATGCTCCGCTTTAACTCGGGGACTGAATTAATATCGATGAAGGCAGAGAATGGGCCGTCATCCTTAAAAACGCCTGAAAAATATGGCCCCAAAAACAATTAAAGCAATGTCGTCAACATTTTCTGTTAACATTTTCCTTCCCACCTGTCCCCGTGTTTCCAGCCACGATCCGATACTTCATGCCTCCCTCGGTAAATCGCTGCAAAGCCGTGTAAACGTCATCCAACGAGGTGGCAGTAATCCATTCTTCGCCAGATTTGAGTTTGACGTAAATCTGTGAAAGACCAGTGCAACATTCGATGTCCTCAATATCCTTGTCCTTGTTCTGACAACAGTTTATTTTCATGGGGCAGCCGTTACATGCCTGGGAAACGGGGGTGAATAAATGACATGTATATTAAATATTTCGGCCTTATAAATAGTTGAAATAGATGAAAAGTTGTTTAAGCACCCACCGAATTTCCATCGGCCGCTTTTCTTTTTAATTCCTCAGATGCGTCACTAGCAAGAGCTTTAAAGGCATCCATAATAGGACGGTATCCAGTACAACGACACATATTCCCGTCAAAAGAATCTTCAACATCTTGCGTTTTAAAAATTGGGTTTGACTGCTGCAAACTGCAGGGATACGCGTGATCAGTTGATATTTTGTAGTATAAAAGCATGAAATTAAGGTTATCTTTTACACATATCGCCATATACACAAGTACTTTATACGAACCTGTACATATTCATTACCATGCCGGGAGTACAGAACCCGCATTGGGTAGCCGAAAACTTGACGATCTGTTGCTGGATTGGGTGATATCTTCGATAAAGAATTACACACTTATTAAATAAACCAAGATACATTACTCTGAAGAGTAATACCCATCTTTCTTGTTGCCGAGCCCCTCAACGGTTGTAATTTCCCAGCCGTCACAGGACAGGACCGGAGTCATGCACTATATTTGTACATTAAAATGGATCATTTACAGTGATCGTCATTAATAAAAGGAGAAACAAAAGAAAATGCGAAAAATATTTACAGAATTCACGGCACGGATCTCGGTGCGATCTCGAGATTTTACAGACACCACGCAAGCCCCACATCCACCTGAAAATAAAAATATGCGGTGTTTATAAAGTTTTGTAAATTAATAAACCCATTTCTCTATGCATTTAAATTTTGAAATAGTGACCTTCTCTGCACATGTATTTTGTCCCGGTGAGTCCAGCCTTGTCTCGAATGAAGTCCACGAGTAGGGAATTTGGACCAATTTTGTCAGCATCCGTTTTAACTGGGGAGAAAAGTATACCCTTTGAAATAAGTTCCTCTTCCACATTTTAAATATTTGATGGTTTATTTACCATTGTATTCTTTGCCATTGATAAAAAATGCAACGCTGTTCTGTTTCACGTTGTCATTTCTGAAATTTAAAAACAACATGAACAGAACATTTACACCACTCGTGATCGTAAAGTATTCACAAATTTCATATAAAGGTATTTGTATATCCGTGCAATTGGTGAGATAACAATTTGAAATTTCATGGCCAACAACATTTGTGGTAAGATGGGGCTTCAATTTTGAAAAAGTTCTGACAAGGTCTAAGGCTATGATTTTTAACTTCTAACTCCTAAGAATGACCCTTGTAAAGTTTTTCCTGTCTGTTTTTAATTTTGTATAGTTGGGACAACTCATCGTGAGAATTTTGATGTGCCGAACACCTCTGTACGATTTCGTTAACCCCGTTGTCATTTTTTTGAAAAATGCAGTTTCAAAATTTTGCTCCATAAGCGTAATGCTATATCTTGAAAAAATCCATGTGGGCATAAAAAATCGCAGGTATATACATACATATATGAAGCTCACAAAATATTTCATATATATTGAACTTATGACCTTAAAATAGTCAGATTAAAAAAATGCGAATCGTCTCTGTTGCTACTCGTGCCATCCGGATTAAGATATCCGTACAAAAAACTGAAACAATCAAATCAAATTGGAGTTCATATTAAGAACTCGATTGTGTTCAGTTTCATTTAGATTCAGTTGCCATCCGTGCCACCCGAAAAACGCCATCCGTGCAAAAAACTGGACACAATGAAATCGAGTTCATATTATGAACTTGATTGTGCTCACAATGCGATGGTGTGAAGTGTAACCCTCCGATTTGGCTGAAATTTTAAAATTAGGTGGTCCAAGCCAATACAACTAACGTTTCTTCAGGCAGTTTGTGCGATGGTGAGAGTTACTCAAAATATTTGAGGTCAAAGTTCAAAAAACGGCCGACTTTTTTCAGGCGAAGTGAGAAAACTCCACTTCCATTCTCTTCCCCTCGCTTTGATTTTATTCAGGCGTCTCGCTCATGCATACGCCTTCATGCTCAAGCACAAGCTTTGATGCAAAATAATAAAAAATAAACATTATTAATTATAGCTTAAAGAGCAATTAATACGCATTATACATACTTAATTTAATTTATAATTAAATAAGTGAGATTTTTACTTATGTCTAGTACAAATTTACATAAAAGTTAATTTATAAATTCGCCAACGGCAAATAAACATGGAAAAACTTAACTTGCTTTCCATTTCGAAAGCGTTGGTTATTCTAATATCCAATTATATATTAATATTTTAAATGCTCCTGTGATTCGATATTGTTGGTACTCAAGCGGATCATGGGGTGATGACGAAAAGCCCGAATTTAAAAATGTAAGCGAAGTTTGTTTTAGAGAAAAAAATATTAGTTGCGACCTGAATTGTGGCAATCCCACATTCATCAAATTCAGCTGGTGCAGTTTATCTAATTAATCAATCTGGCCAGATCTAATGGTTAAATTTAGACAAAAATTGCTAGACTGAGCTCATGACAATCTACCTCATGTATGGGTTTTCGAGAACAATTGAAAAAAAAACAATAAACCTTTGCATGACTATTTTCGCATTTCGCTGGACACACCCCTCAAAGGTGTGAAAAACATGATGAATCCATGTTCTCATGTGCTTCAACCATCACCAAAAATTAGATTTTGCTCAATTTTTTTTTTAATTTTCAATTTTCAGAACATCTGCTCATGAATTATTCGAAAAATTCTAAATTAAAAAAAAATTGAGATTTCTACTTGATGTGATCGCACAAGATGACCATATCACAGAAATGTAAAAATTTTCAAAATTTGAGCAAAATTAGACCTTTGGGGAAAGTTGGAGCACATGAAAACATTTCGTGATTTTCATCCCTTTGAGTGGGTGTGGTAGGCCCAAATTTGGCCATGGAGTTAAACAACTCAAGGGATCGCTCGCCTTGGAACTCCAAATATGCAAGGGGTACCAAGAGGGCATGTGCAAATAGAGGGCCTTCCCTCCCAAGTATTTCATATCAATAGATACAAAATTGTATTTGACTACTTACAGGGAAAGTTGGCTCTGATCTGCTCCCATGGTTCACCAATAAAATTATTCACACGACTTGTGAAAATTTTTAATAGCCAGAAGTCACCTTGTAGCCCCTGTCATTAACTGACGAAGATCAAACAATGAACTAAGCATGGTCGCTGAGCAGGATTTTCTTAAAAGGCACAGAGAATGCAAAATAGATATCGTCGCTGAATATGAATTTGGTCACAAATCCAAAAGTTTTGCATTGCATTACGTCCTATCTCTAAAACATGTGCATTTTTTTTATTAAAACCTTAACTTATGGTTCGTTCGTTATTACAAGATAACGTATGCATGATGCTTTAATTCATTCGAAATGCATTGTGGAAAAATTCAATGATGGAACGATTTACAAAAGTCTGTAGATATGAGATACACTCACTGTTAAGTTTTATATTGCTGTCAATAATTGTGTATATGTACACGTGCGGGTTAATTAGAAAAAGTTATGCAGTTAAAAGTTACTTAGAAAAAACCACTTCTCCAAAATTGACAATATTAACGTAACAAAGGAAGATGATAGAGAACAATTGATTTTTTTGAGGTGTTAAAACCTACCTGTTTCCAAATACTTCGTACAGATACAAATACAGTTTAACAGTCGCGTGACTCTGTAGAGTTTATGTACATATGTATTGTAGCTACTGGGGGAGTTTGTAATTATGATATTATTTATCAATTAACTTTGCAATGGGTTACTTACATGTACACTTAAAATTTATTTATAATCCAAAATATATCCAGTATATTATAACTTTTTACAGTTTTTACTACAATTATTATTTTGGTTAAGATTACACAAATTAATTCTGAAAAGTTACTACTTATCCATCTCCATAAATAAGCGATCATTAATTTTGTGTGATTCGGAGAATTGAAACAACATGCACGCTGTTGTTTTATCAAATTAAACAATGCAATTACGATTTCCGCAAAATTTCACACTCGTGACATTTACCCGCATCCATGCAGTTCATTATGTGCTCAGAAATAGGGTCATTCTAATTTCATGACTTATGACCAACCTTGTCCCTTGTCCCCATGTTGAATTAAGTCATTTAGAATTTAATGATATCGAGTTGTACTGTATGTACATCATAGATTTGCATAGAAGTCTATATGTATAAGTCTATCATGTACATACCTAAAGCATGCATGATATGTATGATCTGGAGTTCAAACGACACAAATACAACAACTACCCATATTTCACGTATCAGAATATCACGTGTCAAGTCCATAAATGTATGGAAAGTTCCAAGAGATGCCCAAACCATTGAAAACATGGAGGATTAGGAGGATGATTTGGGTCAGTGACCACGCTCAAATAAAAATTCAGTTTGCGAACCCTACAATGTAACTCCTTAAACTTGTAATAGTCGGGTATGCCATCGGTAATGATAGGTAATAAGACAAGTCGGTTGGAATCTAAATGATAAGGAAGAGATAAGTTTATTTACATATATATCTTTCACGCGAATTTTGCAGTATATCGAATGTACGTACCTGCATATGTACATAGAAATGCCGACAGATTAACACTCACGGAAGTGAGCAGTGTGAGTATATCAGTAAAGGTAACCAGATAAAAAATGTCCGTATGCCAATTTTTTTCTGCTTAATAGTACTTAATACACAATTTATAAATAATACAGCGCTTCTTATATAACAATTAGTTGTATAGTTGCAAAAAATTCATTCATTTGTTTCCTCTTTCTATCATAAGTTTGAATAAGTATGATTAGTTAAATATTCTCCTAAGGTTAAATGATACTTATAAGTTTAAATTATAAATTTTATTTGCGCCAATTTATGTCAGACACACAATTTTCTCCTTGACGTGAATAGCCTGTTATCCTTAATTTGAAATGGCAATGTCGGAACATCCCCGAAAAGTTTCTTGATTACCACAGCCTACTGCATACGATCCGTCTTCGCATTCGCCCCATGAGTTACCTGAGTAAATAATTAACAACATATTTATGTGCATAGATTGAATGCGAATTGTGTGTGCAGTGTTCATTGAAGCAAAAACTAGCATTTTTGCTTAATTGTTTTTGCTTGATTTAAAACTTATTTTAAATATTTAAATCACTACTCAATTGCTTCTATGCATATCGTAATATACTAGATTTATTGTATGCTGATGGGTGGTGAAAGGGTAAAAACAAAGACAAAAAAACAGATCAATGCCAAAAAAGCAAAGTAACATTGCAGAACTTTTACTTTAGTTATTTGCTTTTTACCGAACACTGTCCTCACGATTTTTTAACATTTATCTGTATAAAGCAATTCATAGTTTTTGGCCACTAATAAGTCCCCAAGTTTTGTGAAATAATTTTACAAACTTTTACAAAGTAAAAAGACACCCTTGATCTGAGAAAGTTACAAAAATTTGTGAGCAAATTTTCGCTGGAAATATTTGTAAAAGTTTGCAAGTTTGCGGGTTTAGCGGATTTTACAAAGATACCGCGTGAATTTCCTCATTGTAGATATTTTCAATTTATTGAGCACAATAACAAAAATAGTTACCCGTATGGTAGTGCCACTGGAGGACACAGTGTGTGCAAACGAGTCCACTTGGCAGTCTCGCTTTTACATGGTGCCACCCCAGCCCATTTGTCGGAATCGGGTAACGCGTCGGAATATTTGGAATTCCATTGCTCAATTCGAGCAAATTTTGGTTGAGACAAGCTTCATTTTCCGGACCATGGTTTCGGTCCATGTTACAAATTCGGAATTCAAAATAGCCCATGTGAGTGGCCGTTATTTCAACAGAGATTGTGATTTCCTAAAAAACAGTAGGAAATAGATATTGCGAACAGTTTTTAAAATTATTTGAATATTACAATTTTGAATTTTTCAGAAAAACAGGTACTATTTTTTAATTAAGCATAGTTATTAACGATACCTGTCCCTTTCTATACGTCTTTGTGATAATTCCTTGTCCATAGAGCCCCCCATGCTCGTTATCTCTTGGCCTCGTAGAATTATAGGGGTCTCCACATTCGCCACATTTTCCTCCGTTGTGTTGATATTGGAGCTGAAATTTCGATAAAGTTGTGTTCTAAAATTCTAAAATCCTATACCCTTTGGAAACACTTGGGAAAAATATTACAACAAATCCTCCACAAAATAGTTGATTGTCATCGTAATTTATTGGTGGGTTGTAGCTTTCATACTCGGCCAGTCTCCACAGCGAGGATCGGTTTGGTGGGTCCATCATTCTGCCATGACCGGACACTTGACCGTGTTGAAGTTGGAGAAGATACAAAGTTACGAGTAAAAGTGCCCGAGAAATTCCCATATTTTTTTAGATGCAATTTACGCAGTCAAAATGCAGGGAAATTTGGAAAAAAGCTGAAATTGGATGATGATGTGTAACCACAAGTCAGAGTATCGATTGGTAATTGACTCATTATTAGATTTGGAGTTTCCTTTATTGCAGTTGAACTTGACAGGTTAACGGATGGGGTGAGAGATTAAATAATTGGTGGGGTAGCTGATCAATCAAAATTGGAATGATGGTATTATGAAATGAACTTTTTCTGCGATATTTGATAATAGATTGTGATTGATTAGACAGTGTGAACAGGTTAATCGTAGAAAAAAGTGTTGAGTAATAAATCAAGTACATAATCCGATCTATTTATTTGTGTAATAAAAGTAATTAATTATAATTAGTCATCAAGCTGGATAAGCTTAAATAGATAATTCATATAGCATGTATACAAGATCCTATTAATTAAGTTATTAATACGAAAAAATTAGTTGAATCAGTAAATGTAAGTCGGCTGGAAGATGGTAAGTGTTCTCTGAAGCAAAAAACTGCATGACGTTCTGATTTGAAATCGTTGCTTTACTGTAACAGTAAGTAAAATTGGAGCGTATATTGTACGCGTCTAGGTGGCGAAAACGTGGACAAATGTATACATGCTTAAAGAAAAAGCATTTTAAAAACCAGATACAAAGGTAATTATTACATAACTTTTCATTGAACACTACTTGACCGGGGTAAACGGAGATGGAATTCAAGACTTACAACTCGTGTGATAAGGTTGTCCGTTTTGATATCGCAATTTGGAATTTGTGATTAATGCAGAGTGATGGATGGAGTTATTAAAGTGGTTGAATTCGTCGAAAATTGTCAGGAAATAGATAGTTACATGAATAAATCTATAAGTCGAAAAAATGTGCTTATGAGAATTACATGTGTAAATGTACATAAATATGCACATACTTACAGTCCGTTTATTTACCATACGACCCTCGACGTCACGACTGCAATGCTATTAGTAATGAGAGTGATGACGTCGAGGATCGTATGGCTAAAAAAACAGGAGTATCTATGTACATGCATATCTATATATGTATGTAAGTATGCACATAGTATTTAACACGAATGCATGAAATTTCGGAATTGTGGATTGCCCACTAAAACATCGAATGTATTTTGATGAAGTATGCAAAACTTTCTTGATCATAGAAATGCAAAAAAACTAAGTTACTTATTTAGCATGAACAAAATTAAGTATGTATGGCTTTTAAAAGCATGGCAAATATTTTTATGACAATTTCACCTTTATCAAGTCAATCACTTGAAAGCACTTGTATGTGCATTGGACTGATATGGCAATTGATTTTATAAAATCAATCACATTATCAAATCCATGAAATCCATCATCAATTTGCTATCATACATACAAATTTACTTATTTGCAACATTGGACCCAATTATATTTATTTATCAATCACGTTCATGCAATCAACATTCGAAATAATCACAATTTCTGGTTTTACCAAATTGGCTAATCTTACCCAGATTATGTACAAAACTATAGTTACAGTTATTGCGTTCATCCCCCCAAGGGACCATGCCCATTAGGAGTTAAAGTAGAAGTGAGAAAAATCTGTCAAATAGTTGACTACTGTGGGTAATATAGATCTGATCTCATTGGGTCATTGCGCAGAATATTGTATGTAAATACGTTAATATTAACGCGCTGCACAATGATCCCATGAAATTTGGTATATGGGTTGGACTAAATTTCGAAAATGGGAGTTGTGGGGGGCCATACAGTCACGGGGCCACGGTGATGACTGTGATGACGTCAACGGTCACAAAAGCCAAATTTTTTTATTTCGACCGTTTCAAACGTAGCTTGGGCGTGGACTTCTAAAATCGCCCTCATTTAGACGCGTGATGACCTCGTGGACGGGGCCATAGTTGGGAAAATGGCGGTGTGCCGAAAGGACAATTCCGTGTTTTGATGGCTTATTTCTTGTCCCTTATATGAAACATGTTTCGTTTTATGATAATCGCAAATTTAGAAAATTCTGTAAATTATCATCTGTATACTGACAATCAATTGAGTCCAGAAATCAAACTGAATTCTATTCCTAATAACGAAATTTGAAAGAAATTTCATTAACAATCAGTAATTAAGCAAACAAGCCTTATGACGCCATTTACATAAATGCATGCATGCAAGTTAGTTATCATATGTACACAATTAATACTTGCACGACAATTGGAAGTAATAATTATGCGTTGCTAATACTAATACTTCTTAGGACCGGGTGCATATTTTTTCGGTTTCTGTAGTCAGTTTTCGTACAATTATGTCGATATTTTTCTCTTCCTTATGCATACACATACACATAAACAATTGTGTATTTATTTCTTCGATAATTCCTTATCTATTTGTTTATGCATGCGGACAGATGTAACCTTCCTAACCAATCTAAGCTTCAAATATATGGCAGGATACCAGACAATAACATCATAACCTTATAAGTACAATATTGTCCTAGGTTTTATTCATGAAGGTGCAAGGTGCAAACATACCTACACAAGCGTAATTTCATAAAAGACAAATGGTTTTTTGGGGTAGAAACCAGTATAAAACAGAGGCACACGTACGTAGATTTCATTTCATTATTCGATCGACGTCTGAAGTCTGAAGATTCTAAAATCGGTAAGTATAATTCCAACTGAATAAACTAATCAAATTTACAAAATCTATCGATTTAAGATTAAAGGTCATATTTAGATAAAGTAAGGGCTGGGTTTCTGAAGAATTTTGACCAATATTTATAAATAAATACCCCATGTTAAGTATAAATAACTAACCATATTGGCCCTCTTGACCCCTTTACTCAATCACATGCTTTATGTTTGACCTCTTTTTTATCACATTATAAATTCGTATGCACTTCAACAGATTGCATCTCACGATGGCGTCATACCTCGTCCCGAGTATCCTCGCCGTCTTCACCGTCCTAACTTCCGGGTCATTCTCTTTTCCTGACGTGGCGCATCTTCGTGCCGACACGACCTTGTACACATTTCACCCTCACGGACGGGGCTCCTGTCTTAGCAAAGGCCCTGAACCGGGAACCCTTCTCATCTTCCCCTGCACGCCACAAGCCGGGTTGAAATTTATCGTAAATGACGATAAGACCTTGCAGGTCAACAACTCCAGTCCCGCCCTTTGTTTGGAAGAAGGATCGAACAATGCTGTCTCCTTGGCGACGTGTGATGGCAAAAAGGAGTCGCAACATTGGACCAGAGATTGTGGTGTGTCGAACTTTATATGTTTTATAAGAACGGCGTCGGACAAGTGTTTGAAGGTGGATGAGGAAAATTACTCCGATGTGAAAGTGGGTTCCTGCACGAGGGATGATTTCTGGTCAATTAGAAGTTCGGATGGCTTCTTGGCCGGTATTAGTGCAGTAATTCCGCAATAATTTTGGTGGGTTTGAGGTATTGAGTGGTAATTTTAATTAAATGATGGCAAACAATTTTGTAAGTATTTTTGTCAAAGTGAAAACAAATTTTGCATTTATTTAAATTCATTTAAATTCATAAAAAAACTAAAGCGCTAATTATAATAATTATGAAGCTTATTAGTTCTGAAACTAGCTAATAATTTATTTAATGAAGTATGTAATGCAATTTTGTATGAATTACGAAATGATTAACATTGAATGGGTAAATAAAAGATCTTAAAAGCACCCAAAACCAAAATTGATGGCAAGTGTAGAATAAAAAGTGAAAGAAATTAGTGCAATAATTTACGACACAATGAGTACTCGATCTGAAAGATTTTAATTTCAGGAAAGAAGGCAGTGCATGTAAGAAATACGCACAAACTTACGGCTCCGAAAGAATTATTGATCAGCAGCATCTCGTTACGACCAGTGAAAATTAAAATACTCAGAAATATTAGGAATATTTAGAAATATTAATTATTTATTTAACATGCAGATGCACGAAAGATATTGTTTCATCATACATATGTATGTTTATGTAAATATCTAAATATGCACTTGCATTCATGTATGGAAAATCAGATTCACTCAACAATTATAGCAAATTAAATACAAAATGTGCATACTAATTGGGTGAAATGTAGTCACATTATCAATATACAAAACATATGTATGTACATTTAATAATTAAACCAAATCAAATATTCAGACGATTTTATTCATCTCTACTTGTGGATCGCAAACTTGCTGCATTTTTGGAGTTCCGACAGTTAATAAAGGTCAATGGCGTTAAGTAGAATTTTTTTAAATTTCGAAATTTACAATTTTATAATATAAACGTAACATTGCCAACATTAACCTGAACTTGCCCATGATCTTGCCCAAACTTGACCACCATTTATCCCGACAGAGCTAAAGCTGGAACCTGATCCAGCATAATTAAAAACATTGCCTGCGAAGTCTGCGTGTCCGCTAGTCCTGTAGTTGTTATTTCCGCTGTAACTTCTGTAATTAATATCATTCTGACTCCCAAATGAATTTGCGGTCGTGACAATCCACTCATGAAACTTGGCAATGTTCATGAATTTGGTTGGCACATTAGTAGCCTTGCATTCAGTGCTGTCCACCATGCTGACAGTCCCATATAAAACACCGTTGCAAATTAGAGGCCCTAAGATATAAGAAGAATTTGATTTGAGTTAACAAGTGGTTTATATATAAATACGGGGTGATTTAAATGTCACGCTACCATGGAAAATTTTCCACTGTGAAAAATTCGTAAATTTCCATTACGTAGTTTCAAAAAATTTTCCTCTGAAATTCAATATTTTGAGAATTTTGTCATCAATTTTGATATTAGAGTTGAATAACCATCACAAATCCTCTTAAATAATGGAGATTTATGGACCTTTCCCGCTGCAAAATTTTCCATTGTAGCGTGACATTTAAACCACCCTGTATATACCTAAAACTAGTCTGTCTGTACAAAAAAGACTATTTACAAATGAATAATTAAAATAAATCTTACCACCAGAATCTCCAATGCAAGCATTTGTCCCAAGATCACCAGCACAAACCATGGTTAAAGAATCAAATGAATTATATTCATTTTCGCACACGGAAGGATCGCGGATATTGACAATGACTTCTTTTAAATTAGTCGCACCAGAATTTGCCCTGAAATTTATCAAATTACACTAGTTTGTACTCCCATAGTCTGTTTTGAGGTAATTACATACGTAGAATATATATATATGAATTTAGCTATTCAAATCGCAAAAAACCATGTACATTGTAGTTCTTCGGACGATTCTATAATTTAAACTACATTTTCCCTAAGGATGAATATTGTCTACTTTTAGCTAGAGCTCAAATTAATTTTAAACTATTTTTTTCCAAACGGCTTATTTGTACAACTAGCAAACAATAGTTTAATAAGTGTAGCCTTACGAGGTATAGCCAAATCCAGATAAAAAACATGTTCCTGCAATTCACAATTAATTTGCTAAGGCATTTACATTTTTAGCAAATTTTTACTAAGAAAATATGTAAAAATTATAAGTTTGTTAGAAATGTTATAATTTTTCTTAAACATTCATCCGCACATACATATGTACACATATAAATATGTATACACAGTGGAATTATTGGTGCATGTTACCTCATTTGCATATTTTGACGCAGAGACATAACCTTTATTTAACGTGGAAAGTCTATCTGTATCGCCGAAAATGAGATTTATGCAAATGAGGTGACAAATAAGTCCACAGTATATTGTGCAAATGTATGTATGTGTACATACACACTGTTAGAAATTTGGTATACTTACTAAAATATGTAAGTAGGTATTGATTTCTGTTTTAAATATGTTACCGGTTCATATTAAAATTATACCGGTAGATGAAAATTTGCTATGCATGTGAGAAAATGAGTAATTAACACGCCGTGTTAATTATTATAAATACCTGTCGAAAAATATAGTCCACTCGGAGCCAATTTAACTGATCCAATTTTGTCGTTAAACCTAAACGGTGTTGATAATCGAATAAGTGCAATGTCATTTCGACCGTATTTGACATAATTCGGAGCGAGCTTGTAACCCGATGCTGATCTTGCTTCGCCTTGAAAGGGGACCACGGACCCAGCCCAGACACGAATGCCGTTCACCGGCCGGTCCTTGACGCTAAATTTAAGAAATTATTGAAATATATTACCCTGTTTATTAAGGGGTGAAAGCCCTTTATAAGATCGTTATGTCCGTCTGTCTGTCCGTCCGTCCGTCCGTCCGTCTGTCTGTCCGTAGCTCCCATAACTTTTGAACGAAAAGACATAGACACTTGAAATTTTGAACGTAAACTCCTAACGTCAATAGAGAGGACGAGTTCGAAGATGGGCACTGTAGGTCACACCCATCAAGGTCAAAAGGTCATGAAATGTCATTTAAAGGTCAAATTGCATACATGCATCAATTTGAATTGAAATACGGATAACACACTTCTTTCACCCCTTGGTTACATTCGTTGTGACGGTTTATTTAAGTTTTAAATATATTGAAGAATGTACCAATGCGCCGCTGTAATTATAGTGTACTCATCGTAGATTACTCCTCCACAGTAATAGTCGTCAGCATGTTTTAAAATAACTTGAAAAGGGATGTGCCCAGATTGTACGTAAAGTCCGGCACCGGTGGCACCTGAAATTGTACACTAACTTATATTTACTTGTTCCTGATAAATCCATAATTTAAGAATTACATTGAATCTTTTCTAAATGGGGTAGGACAATTAGAAGGAAAGGTAAAATCTGGAAGTCTAGAAACTTCAACATTTTCGATATATGATGGTATGCTCTTTTAGAAAACCTTGCGAGCAGTAATAAGTCCTAACTGGTCCAATTTATACATTCGTTACAAATATGTAGATCTTCATAAAATAACTTACGTGCTAATCGCAATAATTATCAAACCGCGATGATTATAAATTTACATGACTAAATCATATTTCATGAGGAGTCCAGTACTGAGTATGCATGCAATTTTCCGGAATTAAGAAGTGATTAATATGGAATGAATAAATAAAGCGAAAATACATTGAAGTGTGGACGTAAAATGATCGCATAACAAGTACAAATATGCATATTTACATGTGAAGAATTGTACGTATTTATTTAGAAGAGTAAATAAGTATAAGTGAAAGATAGTGGTGCAATAAGTAAGTCAATTAGCGTCCCCCCTGTAACTACTGATTTGTGTAAGAAATATACAATTTGGAGGGTCATACTGTTTAGCGGCACCGAACAATGACAATTCTCAGAAATATTTGTTCTTTAACGATTGATAAAATTCATTCAAACCTAAACGCCGAGGCACAAAAAATAATGATTTGCTTGCATATGTACATAAATCCTAATTTGAGACAGGAAAAATAAAAATTAGACCCAAGTAAAGAAGAATATGGATGCATACTTATGTACGGCGAACTAATCCTCATGACAAAAGATGCGTTAACTATTTACCTAATTGAACCCGATTAAATACTTATTAGGAATTTTACTCGTTGAGAGAAAATTCGGATCAGTTTAACTAAATTTTACTTTAGTGTACTTGTTTAATTACTCAAATATCATAATGCGTACTATTATGTACGTACATATGTATTTATCTAGTCATGATTGAAATTGAGTTTTTAAAGCTATAATTCTTTTCAACCTTATTTATTCTCACAAATTTTAATTTTACAAAATTTAAAAAAATGTAATACCTCTGTTGTACATAGGGCTTCCCACAAGACGGGACAAGACAAGATTATACGTCTTGTCTCGTCTTGTTACAATCTGCGGGACGAAATATCAAGACAAGACGGGACGACAAGCCGTCCCGTCTTGTCTTGCGTCCCGTCTTGCCCGTCGCGTACAAGACGGGACAACACGGGACGCACACGTTTTAAATGGGTTGAATTTTAAATCCTTTCGCAAAATTTAAATTCGATACAGGAAGCATGATGCAAATTGTTTATACTAACTACAGAATTATTTAACCAAGGTTTCGGCTGGTAAAAATCACATTACACTGGGAAATTGAAAAAGCCCTTTGCCATCCCTAAAACGGAAAACTTCAGTCTTAATTTGATCGGAAACTGCTTGTTTGGAAATTTATTTTCTCTAAACTTGACTTCATGTTCGCATTGTACATAAAATTCTAAGTTCAAAATTCTATTTCATGATAACGAATTAGATAAAAGCTATCCGAAAAATATTCCATGATTCGTTTCGATCGAATTTCCAGTATAAGGGAATTACAATTTCCCTCAAGTTATAGTTTATTGAACACATATTGCCGTAACATCAGCTTTTAAATTCAATTTTGACAAATTCCGAGACGAAAGTATCATATTTAAATCATCGCAAGACGTCCCGTCTTGCCGAGACAAGACGGGACAAGACATTGTTTGTCCCGTCCCGTGTCCCGTCTTGCTTGCCAACACGCGGGACGTAAATTTCCATCTTGTCCCGTCTTGTTATCCCGTCTTGTGGGAAGCCCTAGTTGTACATATATAGCTCCTTTAGTATGGACATACATTGTACATGAACATGTCAATGTACATACGTACATAAATATATCATGGTGCAATAGGTTGCTCCATATGTGTATATGTACATAAATACACACTTGCATGGTTCTAAATCTATCAATTGCTCAGGAAGTGAATTTATTAATTATGTACATATGTTGAAATTAATTCTGTCCATAAATTTGAATAAATGATAATTTATGAAAACATGACACATTTTAAAATTTTATTGCCAATTAATTCATGGACCAACTGTCCCTATACAAATGTTTGAAAATTAATTAGATCCACACTTTTCTACGAATTATGTAAACTAATAAATCCTTCTGTGCTTATGCCATAGCCTTGGCCACGTTGATCCTGCCATAACCATATGCATTATTCGGGTACTTTTGGTTCGTACTGCCACTGCATTTCAAGTCCCCACTGGCCACTGTAGGTTTGTCGGTCGTGCTGGTCAACTTTTGGTAAATCTGCTTATAGGTGATACTTGGATTTGCCGCTTTCATCAAAGCCACTGCGCCAGCGACCTATCAGAGCATTTTGGTTAGTTAATTATTTATTTGGACATATTTTAAATTCAGGTAGTAAAGCTTTTTACATGAGGCGTTGCCATGGATGTTCCGCTCAAGCTTTGATAAGAACCGTCCGGCCAGGCGGACAAGACATTCTGTCCAGGTGCGGCTACTTCCGGTTTAATCGTTTTGGTTCCTTTCAATGGACCACGACTGCTAAATTTCGCCATGATATCGTTGCTTTGTTGTGTGGCGCCGACACTGATCAAGTTTGGCTGATCTCCTGGAGAGTTGGCAGTTCCGCAATTTGGTCCAGAATTTCCGATCGCGAAAACTGGAACGATACCGGCCTGTTGCCAAGCAGTGATTTCGTCATTATACCATTTGCCGGCCTGGCCACCGCCCCAGGAATTGGAAACCACGACGGGTTTCTCTTCGAGGTCAAGGATCCATTGGGCACACTCGGATAACATGACTTCTGTCCCGCCATCGTTTCCGAGACCTTTGCAAGCAACCCATCTCGCGTCGGGGGCAACACCTGAAAATAATATGCGAATTTGAGGTAGATATTTTTCTTAAATTGAAACATGAGCTGAGTACCAATGCCATTAGTTTGTCCGCAAATTGTCCCCATCGTGTGGGTCCCGTGACCTCCATCATCATAAGGTTCGTCCTCAGTGTGACCGCCATAACTGGACGAAAACGAATACCATAAATTTCAAACCTGAATAATCCCTTCTGAAATTTTAAACGATTCCTCTTACGCATCATGAAACTTTCCAGCATAATTTCCTGACAGCGCTTCATGGTCGGCTGCTACTCCAGTGTCGATATTGGCGACCAGGACGCCATCGCCTTTCGTCCTGTCCCACACGGAGCAAGCCCCGATTCTCTGAACGCCCCATTGAGCGTCGCCCGATCTGCGGGAGAAGCTTGAATTGTCACCTCGTTCCACGGGGTTGACTAGATTGACGCGGAAGGGTTCGCGAATCTCGAACACGCCAGGAAGCGCGGAAAGCGCGTTGATAACAGGAGCACCGACGCCCTTCATGGAAATCTTGTTGGCGACCCAGAAAGGTTGCGTGTCCTTGACGCCAAGGCTTTGGAGGGCGTTGAGAAACGGGGCTTGGGATGCCGAGGTCATCTGCTTCATCAGACCGGTCATGAAGTTGGTCTTATCGTTGCCCGAGAGTAGCGACATCATTGGATTGGACAGGACGGAGGACATGATGGATGGCATGGAGAGCACGGCGTCGGCCTTGCCGTTCGCTTTGAGCTTCTCCATAAGGCCGGAAGTTACATCGCCGGCGTGGATATTGGTAGTGACCGCGAGGGTCAGGAGGACCGTTATAGGAAAGTACGACATGGTTAGGGTGCGCGGATAGAATGAGAATAGGATGGAGAGGGTGGGATCATTTTATTGGGATGGGAGATGCAATTAAAATTTTGGAGACAGATGGGATTCTGAAAAATGGGACGATGTTGCGGTTTTCAAAGTGGCAATTGTTTCATGAGTAATTAGAGAAATGTATTATGCTGGGATGGCAGAAATTGACGACGTGCGGAAAAGTAGTAGTTTCAAACGTACATAAATAGGTAACCCAATTAAGAAATTTATTGCTGACGCAGGCGGGGCTAATCGTGTGGTAAGCAAAGATGTCCATTTACGTATTTATTTATGTACATACATATCTAAACACATACGGACTTATTAAATATTTGTGTAAATTTACGTACCGACAATCTACTTATGCAGGTTGAAAAAAAGTTTGTTACATTTTCCTGGAATCTAAATAGAATGCGGTTACATATTTAAAAGATAGCGTACATAACCATATAAGTATGTACCTAAATATATACCAATGTATGTATATGGTACATGCACTACCAACGGCGTCCTCAGACGTGTATTGTTGGGTATATAGTAATCATACATTGACATACGAAAGTATTTACACACCTAATTCTAATTAACTACATCATTACCACTGTTACTCTGTGAATGGAATATAATAGCAAATTGTTCATTACAAGTTTTAATTTCAATACTGTCAGTTAATACGATTATACAAAAATATTTTTAGAAAACCCGTCTGTATTAATAAACACTCATCACATTAGTCTAATGAATAGATTGGACAATGAATTTTACATACATTCACACATGCCAAAATGATTTCCAAAACTCAAACGATTTAAGATACATACTTATAACGTTTAAAATTATCCCTTGACTAATTTTTAATCTCCTCACTCCCATGAACCTTGCTCACATGAGTTTTGAGCACGTGTCCTTGAGTGTAAGCCTTATCGCACAATTTACACTTAAATGGTCTCTCTCCCGTATGGGTGATTTGATGATCCTTTAAACCCTTCAGGCATGAAAAACCCCTCCCACAAACGTCACATATTAAATCTTTTACCCCATTATGAATCTTCATGTGATTCTTGTAAGACGCCATGGTAGACAATTCTTTTCCACAAACTTCGCACGTTTTGGCCCCTCTCCGCTTATGTCGCATGCGCACATGACTGCCTAACGCCAGCCTCGTTGGGAACTCTTTATCACAAGATTCCCACTGACAGGGAAACGATTCGATACCCTGATCCTTGTGTGCTTGCTTTTCATGCATGATTCTCGCCTGGTATTTGGTAAACCTTTCCTCACAATAATTGCACTTAAAGACGGGTTCCTTATGCTCCGAGCCCAAATGGTGTAATTTGTCGTTTAGGCTGGAGAAGCGTTTCGGGCATCCGTCGACCCCACAAGGCACGATTTCTTCGCCTGAATGTTTCCCCGATAAGTGCAGATTTAGCTCGACTTTCGTCTTGAAAACGGCTTTCTTACAAACCAGGCAAGAATACGAACCCAACCCCTCTTTATGAAGTAGAGAATGTGTGGCAAGATGAGTCTCATCCAAATGGGCGGAGTTACACCTCCCACAAATCCACGTTAAGAGGGTGGGATGTTCTGCCCTTTGATGGGTCGAGAGCTTGCCTTGACTCGAAAATGTGGCCTCGCAAAGAGAACACGAATACTTTATTGGTTTCCGGTTGATCCCGTTGACTGCGTGGGCTTTCTCGGTGTGCTGATCTAATTGGTCTTGTCGTTGGAATCTGGTGTCACAAATTTGGCAAAAAAATGGTAGAGTGCCATCCAGCTTGGTATGGTTTTCCACGTGGCGTTCGTACAGTTCAGAAATTGCAAACTTTTTTTCGCAGAAGGTACAACACAAGGATTTTTCATTTTGTAGCCTCTCGTGCTTCTTTAAGAGGTGATTGAGCCAGTGACCATTGGTGGAGAAAGTGCCAGTGCAGTAGCGACAGGTAAACTTTTCAATGTTTCCGTGGACACGATCAATGTGGTCCTGGCGTCGACGGCGACCATGACCTCCGCGAAATAGTTTATTGCAAATTGGGCAGGGTAGTGGTGCACGTGGAGTCTTTGGGGGCTGCATGGTGTTAATGGAACCTATAAATAAATGAGTACGATAAATAATTAAGTTTTAGCAGTACATATTTATTAAGAGGATGATGAATTATCTACTTCTCATCCGTTTCATTGGAGGAGGGTCAAAAGTATGCAGAACAAATGAGTCCCCCTCCTCGTCATCTTTGGGGTCAGGTTCCACTTCAATTTTGCAAAAGAATTCTTCAGCCTCGGATTCGCACTCCTCCTCCTCCTTGATTTGAGTGATTTGAGCGAGATTTCGTATCGACTTGGCTTCTAAATAAAAATAGGAATAAATGATTGTTCTTTACTAACAATATTAAGCAATCTTGCTTAATTTTGCACTTGTGAAAAAAAAATTGGCATGTCATGTCATTTCGCATCTTGCGTAATGATTTGAATATGTACCAGCTATAGAATTAATTAGTCTGACCCATTACATACATAATCCTCACCTTTCTCAATTTTGTTCTTAATCTGATCAACAATTTTGCCTTGTTTGTTTATTAAGCGATTTAATTCAGAAATTAATTCACAACAGTGGTAACAATTATTCCAAGTTTGTATTTGGTCAGTTTGTTGGGGTGAATTTTTTAGAAAAACGTTGTTTTTTCTTAGCAGTTGACAAATCGTTTGAGAATATTCAACTTTTAGTGGGACAATTAACTTGTCTGACACACCGCAAATGTAACAACTGAGATTTAGGGAATTATCCATTTTTATTTACTTTTTAAGAATGATGATTCCAAAAACAGGTGACTTGTGACTTGAGAATGGGGTTTATTTGTCTGCCGCTCGCTTGGAATCTCGCACAAAGTCTTTGTCTCTGCGTTTAAAAGTATGTAAACTATGTTTCTTACACTGTAATTTTTGTTTTTAAATGAAGGTACGTTTTTTATATCCTATATATTTTTTAGAATGGTATGCAATACATAAAAGATGTGATATCTTATCTTGATAAGTTAATGCGTTATATGAAAGTAATGCATGCATTTAATTAAATCAGGAAAGACTGAGCGAATTGAGGCCCGATTTCTGGCCACGAATTTTTATTTACGGGTACAATGTGACAATCGTAAATTAATTAGTAAATACGCACAAGAAATTAAATTTTATATTATCTTATCAGCCAGATTAATTAAATCTTAATTGAGTTGTATGATTTTGGTAGCCAATCTGTCATACATACATACGTAAATATTTACATTATGTAAGTATTTATCGTTCATCACTCATTTAAATAACAAAGACGAAAGTAAATTTTTATTTTCAAGATTAGATTGCGCTAGTCAATTGGATTTCATTTAATCGTTTTAACCATCGGTTTGTCCAGCTCAAAACAAAAAGTTCATTTATATAGCAGTCTGAATACTCCAATGGAATCCTGCATCACAATCCTCCACGACGGCCCTGACTCCAATTTTCTTATCCTCTTGAAGACATTGCTTCGTTGAACTCTTCACAAAGCAGACGGCTTTATCCAGGTTGCAACTATGGAACCATTTTTGTCTTTCGATGCTGGAGTCGCAAGTTTTCAGATGTGCTGTATTTGCCCCTTCCTTTAGCTCTAGACAGGTCGAGGTTCCAAAGGCTTGGAGGGTATTGTCCGTATTCAGCTGCCATTTTTGAGTTGACCGCCCATCACACTGCCACACACCAACTGGTTCTGCTTGTGTTAGACAACCTTTGATCAAGCTAGAAGTTCCACCACTTTTTATAGTGACCAAGGAATCAGAATTGTATTTTTGACTTCGAGATGCTAGAGGGGAGACGAGGACGATGATGAGACAAAGTATCTTGCTGGCTGCCATGGTCACGGTTTTACTATAGTTTGCATTATTTAAATTTGCTTTGAATAGAAATGTAGCTATTCTAAAATGATTATGCATAACTAGTAATTAACTTGGAATAACTTACCGTTAGATTTCTGGCAGTACTGGGGACAAGAATTCTGAAATCTAAAATAGTGGGCACTATAATTTTTGTACGTGATCACGTGCAAATTGCATGGTGCAATTATTTATACGCGAATCGAATTTGGAGATAATTTATTTAATTACGGCATTGTTCATTGATAAGTGCCATGTAAGTAAATTCTGACAGCTATTATACTATGTACATATACAAATTAGCATAAATATAATATAAATCTTATAAACTTACATGCATACATAACTTAATGGATAACTATATGTGTAAGTATTATTAGACCATATGGTACCTGAAATTGAATATTTCGTTTATGTACAGACACATATTTATGATATGAATATATTGCTATAAATGAGTCAGTACACATAATTTCGAAAAACCCTGATTTTTGCTAAAAATTTATTCAGAAATTCCGGCACAGGGAAAAAACGCGCATTCAAGAAAATGCAAAAATATGGATCCACGTACATTTCTGTGCGTTAACAATTTAAAATTAGTCGGGTCAAAATTAGAGTAAACTACTTCAAACCTACGCATTGTAGGTAGTAAATATGCAATTATGCATGCAATTATAAAAATAGGTACCAACTTCTTAACAGGAAATAAAATTTTATCATAGGTCTGTATCTGATCAAACAAGTAAGAGACAAGGAAGACCTTAGTATGCTAAAGTCCATATGTATGTGAAAACTACATAATCCAATTAAGACAGAAATATCACTTCTACACTCTAACAAATTGGATTTGGGAAAATTGATATGATACATTCCATGATTAAACCCTTCCCTTTTGGTGGGAGGTTGCTTATCGTAATAGACTAATCTATGTATGTATGTAGCTACTGAGCTTAATAAAATGGAATAATCCATCATCTTGTAAACAATCATTAAACGGAAAGGTCTCAATTTCCTTAATTGATCCGAAATTGATTAACAAACATGTCTCTTCTCTAATAACCAGTAATATCTGCTCTCCACGCAATTTCCGCAAGTCATCAGTATTGCATATTTCTTTCAGTAAGGAAGGAAGAGCACACTATTGCACATACCTGCAGTTTTTAATTACTTACATAATTCTCATACAAAATTTCCATTCAATATGCCCCAAAGAATTCGTACTAACGACTTGAAGCCCACTGAAATGGCATTTTTTCGGAAATATCCAACCGTGATTTGGCCAAATCCCCGAATAACCAGATCGGAAAGGGTCCCACAATTTGCACAATGGCCGACAGACCCTGACCGCTGTCTCTGTTGGTGCATAAAACCCATATTTACCCTGTGTCAGATAATTGGCATCGTTCCGGCACAATTTGTCCACACCAAAGAACAAGTGTTTCAGGCATCGTCATCTCCGCCATTGATGTTAAGCGAGCAAATTGCATACGTTGCGGTCAATATTGGGACTTTGGAGGCAAGAAATGACGGATCAACTCATATCTATCATATGGAACCTGACGACTCGAAATCCTTGGAGAATAGCACACCGCCAGAAACGGCACATCCCTGTCAATGCGCATTGTCCGTAAAATTTCTGAGCGTCCCATCGCTAATCAACGTGATCGTGATGGCGCATTTCATCACGATCACAATTTGGTTCTTTATAAATGCAACTACCATACTGAAAATATATTTTAATGGGACGGATCTCTACACATTTGGACTTCAAGTAGAGCTGCTTTACCTTCAAGCGAGTGGCATACTCATGAATGCGCTATTAAGCAGGAGAAAGTTGCAAAGGGTTTGGGCCCTTATCCAGCGTGTCTATCAAGACAGGATTTATATGAGTAAGCCATTTTTTTAAGTTTTTTAAGCTAGATATTTGAAAAATATATTTTCTTGCAGCCCCGTTAAAGTCTCGGATTTATGAAAATTTTGGTATTTTGAGAAGAGTCAACTTTCTCCTTGTCGGAGTAACATGTTCATCGGGGATTCTTTATGCCACCTATTTTTTGTACTTCGTCTTCCGCTGGTGTTTTCTTGGTGATGGGTCAGCAATTTCGGAAATGAGGAAAGGCGGTGGGACCGGAAGTGACCAGGATTTGTTGAAAACGAAGCCACCATGCCCTTTTTCTGATGGTTTTCTAGTTTTTCAGAAAGTTTCGTATGCCTCCTTAACATTGTACAATATGGGATTTGCTTCACTCTTTTCTGGATTTTGTACAATAGTTTGGTTACTTCATAAACATATTGGAGCAGATTTAAGGGACCTGATGGCCCCGAGCAGTACGAAGGACATGACCCGGTACCAAATTCAAGACTAAAATTGCTTGTGACTCGGACAGGTGATTAATTTTCGTGTAATTTCAGATTGACAGTGTCCAAACTGGCGACGACACGGGCAGATCAACTAGAACATTTAAGAATTTCTCATGAAACTCTGTGCAGAATTTCCCGCTTGATTGGGGATTGTTTCGGAATGTCTGTCCTTATCGTATGCCTATCCAGTCTGCTATCCATCACTTGTGCCATTTACACGGGAGCTCTTCGCATGGGAATTTTCAACGTCAAGCGAGAAAGCAAATTCAGCACGGTGACTGGATTCTATGCATTATCCACTATCCATGGCTTTATTGCCGTGTTTGTCTTAATGCTGATTCTAGTGTCGGGTCAAATTGTAGAAAATGCGGTGAGACTTGTGAAGATATTTGTAAATAGTTATTGAAAAAGTGCAATTTTGATTTAAGAATTTATGAAATTCAGGCGTACGAACCTGCCGAAATAATTGGAAAGGCTTCACATCTACATCTCACGGTCGAGGAGAAACATCAAGTACATTCCACATAAGTAATATCTGTCTTAGGGTCTTAAATAAGTTTTACGGTTGTTTTATTGTTTGGTTAGGTTTCAATTTTTCTGCAAAAAGTCGGGACTTTATCAACCGGTATAAGAGCTTGCGGTGTGACGAAGATAGGGCTGTCCTTTCTGGCTGCAGCTGTCACAAATGTGACAACCTATATCTTGGTCATCTTGCAGTTTCGTTTGGGTGTGGAACCGCAAGTGGAAGCTGAGGAGCAACATTAGCCATAAACATATAGGACATCCTTCCGTTTTGAAGTACTGCCACGTCTTGTTCGAGTTTCGTCAAGCGACGGTTTTGTAGTTTTGGAAAACTTGGAGACTTTCATCTTCATTTCTCTTGAATTCTGTAATTAAAAAAAAATGCTTTACGCTTGCTTATTTATATGCAGCCCTTGAAATTGCGTCTCAAAAAAAATAATCCAAGCAAAAAATACAGTATAGGCAGAAAGTCTTTCCACCCTCATACTTTTTGCACTTAAAGCGTTATATTGCTCGAGAGGCTTTATCGAATGAACTGCAATTTTGCACAATTACTTACCTCGATGTAAGGTTTTCGAAACCATACTTTGGATAATGGGGTGGCACAACGAACGACACGGTGTAATTATATCCAAAATCCCAACTGGAAAAAAGTCTTTCCACCCTATGACTTATTTACACTTCTAGTGTAATTCCTGACAAACATCGTCCAAAATCGTTCTGGACCCACTTCATAGTTCATAATTCTTTGAAAAAATACATTTGTATAACGCTGCACGAATTTTTTGTTATCAATATTAGCTCATGTGGCCTGAAAAACGTCTTAGCACAGGGTTGGGGCAAAAGGTCGTAACATTATATGATAATGGGGTTAGACATCGAAGAGTCTTTGATAAACTGCTTTTGAGGAAGTAAACGCTTACCGAAATAGTCCAGAAGTGCAAACAAATTGGGATAGTGGCGAACTAGCAAGCTTCTAGACGGCTAGGGACTTCGACCCCAAGACTCTATCACGCCATTCTCGCCACAATTCAGAGAAACCCTCTGCTACTGCAGTAAAAATCAACTGGAAATGAGGAAAGAATATTACCTTCAAATTGTTGTGCAAATTATAAAGAATAGGATCGAGGAACCTGGATTTGAATTCCCAGCGGCGCGGAAATAGCAGCATCTCTGCTAGGCCCATATGGCTAAGCATTTTAAATTGGCTAACAAGCATCATAATTGGTCCTTTCAAGACAGGAAACGCTCAATATGGAGAGACAAGGTCAATATCAACCTGTTTGGTTCAGATGGGATTACTTGGATCTGGACACGACAAGAAAATACACACAAATCTGAGTACTGTATTCAAACCATTAAGCATAGGGGTGGAAATCGAAAGGTTTGGGCGTGTAAGTCCTGGAAGGGCGTCGAATATTTTTATAAAATCAAAGGAATCATGGAGTCCAACTACTATTGCTACATTTTGATTCGAATTTGATGATGAGGAAAGGAAATTACGATCGGGGAATAATGTTATTTCCAAATAGAATTGTGATCTTAAGCGCACATCGAAATTATTTACGAGTTGTTTGATAACAGAGAAGATTTCATTGTTGGATTGATGTCCACAACTACCGGACATATATGTTAGTAAACATTTACGGTCATTTATCAAGCCCAAAATTGCTTAGCACAAACCATCAACCCAGAAAAAGCGGCATGACGCCGCCAAATTTGAATTGGATAATTTGTACACCCCTTTCACCAGCCCATTTGCTAAGTGGACACCAAGACGTGTCCTTGCCTTCCAAAAGGATCTAGGAGGACATTCCAAATACTAATTTGACTGCTATATTACAAACAAAAATTTCCAGCAAATGTTGCATTAAGCTTTAATCAGGGTGGAAAGACTTTTTTCCTGCAGGAATTTTCGATATAATTACACAGTGGCGTTCCTTGTGCCACCCTATTATCCAAAGTATGGTTTCGAAAACCTTACATCGTGGTAAGTAATTGTGCAAAATTGCAGTTCATTCGATAAAGCCTCTCGAGCAATATAACGCTTTAGGTGCAAAAAGTATGAGGGTGGAAAGACTTTCTGCCTATACTGTAATCTCCACTAATTAAAGTCGCACATTCCAACTAACCTAGGACATGCCTTACTTATGTACGTTTTAGTCGGTTTTAGTATAACCAGTTTACCATCCTTTCTCTTTCTTATATCATATGTATGCACTTAAATAAATATCCGTGCCTGTATATTAATTACATTACATTATCCATTAAACTTGACGTTTCGCCATCAGTGAAATTCAGCAACCTGCATGTAGGATTTTGGAAATTGTTCTTTTTAATAATGACCATAGCTCAATTGCTTGGAGAGTGTAACAACTTTTTCTGGGTAGTGGCGGACAACTTTTTATAAATGCTCGCCGGTTTTTACCACCTTATTTTGGAAAGGTAAGAGAAATAGAGTTCTCGGATTTTGGTTGATGGATGTACATATGTATTTGCTACACGGCTACGGTCATTTCGAATTTGGAGCAAACTGATATCCTTTGGATATATGCGTATGCAAAATTCCGGATACTGATTAAGCACCCCATATTTATGAGTATGTATACGTACAAGCTTTCCACCATTGACTAAGCTATCTAATAAAACAACTTTTGCCCAAATTTGTATTTAAAATGTTTTTTTGAAAAAGTGAAGTGAAATGTAATTATCTACCTGCATACTGTACATGCTATACATAAATAGATGAAGAAACCCACTCTCTAAAAATGAAATTAAACGTTAAAAATTTATTTCCACATATTCCGATTATCTATGTGCAGCTAATAAACCGCTTTTCCATGTAATAAAACGATAGACAAGTATATAGGAGTTTAGCCGAATTTAACAAGCAATGCACATTGTGTTATATATATTACGACCATTTAGTTAGAATATATTAATCACCACAACTTAATACATGGAAAAAAGTAATTTCAGCATAAAAATATATTTAACATTTAGTTCAATTCATAGTCATTCTGTCAACAATAACAAATTCGTTTAACACTTTAATATCCTCCAAGCAACGTTTTGATTTCGTTGTCAAGTCGTGACTCAAGCCCAATAATTGTTCACAAAGGGAAATGAACTCTTCCCAAACGCGTAGTTTTTCCTCAAAATTGTCCAATTTTCCCACTGTTGCTCTAATTAACCAATATCTCGTTTCCAAGGTTCGTATGTGACGACTCCCCAAATTTTTAGAGTTAACTTGAACCGCATAATCCAAGTCTGGAAACGCTTCTTGAAATTTATTTTCTTCCACTAGACAAATTGCCCTGTTTATTCGTATCTCCCGCAATAATGATACGCTAGATTCGTCAGGACTGCCATGTTTTAGTTTGTCAATTAGTTCGTCATAATGTTGGATGGCATCTTTGTAATGTTTTAATCTCATAAAACCTTCCGTAATTTTCGCACAAAAATTAACAGCTTTGAAATTGAGTTCAGAGCCCAGGACGAATTGAAACATGTGACTTATTAAGTCTATCGCTTGAATGGATAACCCCTTATCAATTAACAAATTTAAGATAACGGTTACGGTTTTCTGCAGCCCGTAGATCTGATCTGCAGTAATGGGTGTAAAAAAATCTTTAAAATTTTGTGCCGCAATTTCCCCCTCATTCTGATGAATATCGGAGATAACCGAATTTAGCATCATTACATCCATGATATAATTATCGGTAGTGAAATACTCCCTGAACAATTTGATACTCGAATTCGCGAGATCAGAAGCGTCAGAAAACATTGAAAGTTGAATCAACTTGTTGAACAAAAAGTGCGGAAATTCTGAATATGTTGTGACCAAGGATGCCCTGGATTTGCATTCCTGCCAAAGTTTCAGCCCTAAATTAACACACCCCTTAGATGAAATTATAGAAAAGTCTAAGGCACGAAGCAAATTTGAGTAAAGTTTATCTTCTTTTGAAATTTCGGTATTTTTATTAAATTCATGTCTCAGCCTGTATCGCATTACCCCGGGAAGTAGGGGGTGTCCTATAATTTGCCCGTTATGCAGTTTGATGAATGAATACCGTTCCAAAAGCTGTAAAGCCTGTTGAAACATATATGACCCCAAACAATCGTCAGACATTATTACCTTGACAAAGGGAATGATGTCGGACTCATCATCCACCCGGGTAATTTTAAGTAATCCGAAAATCTGCAAAATTGCATAGCCTATTTTCCCATGAAGACCGTAGTTTGTTTCAATATTTTGCAATGCGTTATCCCACATGGTTAGTGTGGTCTTTTGATAGCTTTCCAATTCCAATGGATCACTTAACAGTGAAACATTTCTGTTTTTCAAGTACTCCTCGAGAAAATGGGATAATCCGTAACTTTTGCCTTGCAGTGAGGACACTTGTTCGTTTAAAATGTAGCAAACGGCTTGTTGGATGGTGAGGGGATGTCCGCCGAAGGCATCGCGGACTTGCTTAATTTCCTCGGGGGATTGGGGGGCACGGAGCGTTAGATTTAGATAGGTTTCCGTCTCTGGTAAATTCCACCCGGACAAATGGATGGAGCCATTGGATTTATTACTTGGGACTAAGTTTCTTAACTGCGTGGTAATAATTGTGAAACAATTTAAGCGGTCGGATAGCGTTTTGGTAAAATTGATAAGCCAGGAAGGCATTTCGCTGATATCATCGATAACAAGAACCGGATTTGTATGGTTATTGTTAGTAATCAATTCATTCGAATTTTGAATATCGGGAAAATCTTTAGACTTGTTTTGGGTAAATTTCGCATAAATTTTGTCCATAATTTTTTGCTTGGATTCTTCATTTTCAAATTCTTGTTGGGATGGGTAAAGCCAGCAAATGTTGGAAACAACGGTATAAGTTGCCACGAATTTTTTTACCAGCTCTGTCTTGCCTACACCCCCAAGGCCGGAGATGAGCACAGTCTGAATTTCTGTCCGAGGTTTGAACAAGTTGTTTAATTGGTTTAGTTCTTTCTCTCTTCCGACAAAGAATGGCGTTGGTCCAAGGTGGGGCAAATTGGGAAATTGTGGTTGGAGTTCCATGGACTTGATAGAGATTTCTTAAATATTGACCTGGAACAATGGGCACAATTATATAGGTTAAATAATTTTAGTAATTTGCTTACACACTTACAATTCCACTTCAAAAATCTGACGATTTTGATATTCAATGAATTATGTAGATGTATAAACTATGCAGGCTCAAAGTTGATTGTGGTGATGAAATAGGGAGGAAATGGTTTAGCGTGGGAGCAACAAATATTTGCAATATGTTTTTACTTAATGTTTGCATATCGTTTGATAACCCCATTTCATTTCTGCGCAATAAGCGGTTTCCGTTAGTATAAAACAGGTTGGAGGTTAGTGCCTCCAGAAAATACAACATGCGTTTAACTAACAAGGGACACTCACGACCTGTCGTTTGAGTCCAGGGTACCCACTATGTTTTTTAGAATCTACTAGGACCCCAGCTGAAGGATTCATTTTTATTTCCGTGTAAAACTCATATTTGGCGCCATGGCGTGGCGCCAAATTCGCCAAATTTGATGGTTTTTCATTTTAAAACCGCCATAACTTTTGAAATCCTGGACGGATTTTCAAAATTTTTGGCAAAAATCATGACAAGGAGTTCAACTTTGGTATTCTATGAAATTTTTTCCAAAATTATCACTTTTAACTTTTCACAAAATTTCGAAATTTCGGGTTCGTCGAAAAAATGCTAAAATTATCTCAAAAATTAGAAATTTTGTATTTTTATTTTTTTCTCAAAAATTTCGACTTTTCTGATCATTTTAAGCTTAAAACTTGAAAATCCGACATAAACTGCAAAAGTTATGGGGGTTTGAAATTGGTCGAAAATGCAAATTTTTAAGTTTGGCGCCACGCCATTGGGCCAAATATGAGTTTTACACGGAAATAAGAATGAATCCTTCATCAGGGGTCCCAGTAGATTCTAAAAAACATAGTGGGTACCCTGGACTCAAACGACAGGTCGTGAGTGTCCCTTGTAAGCCAAATTTCTCAAACAATACGAACTACAGTACATATGCATGTCATTGCATAATTTTGTTACAACGTAGATAAGATGATCGCACTGAGGGGAGGACGTTGCTCGGGATTAATTCGATGCTAATACATCTTCTCTTTTTATTCGATTTTCTAAATTTAAAAAATCCGGACTTGGAGAAATCCAGAAATTTACGCTCGATTTTTAATTTGAAACTCCTGATAACGAAAAAAATGGGGTGCAAATTTTTGGATTGTGTCAAAATCCGGTTTTTTCAAATTCAAAAATCGAATAAACTGAGACAACATGTATTAGAGCATAAAATTAATATCCCCAAGCAAAGTCCCCCCGCTACGAAACTTGGTACCATTTCTAACCAATACACAATGGCGTAATCGACAAATACCCAAAACTGTCAATTTATATAAATGAATAAAGTTATAACTAAAGCAATACATACAACAAATATTCTATGGTGCCTGCTTTTGCAATGCACATAAGTTTTGCCGTTAACAAGTGTCACTTCAACTGACAAAAGTCTTAACCACTAAAAGTTTGATGTTTTTCATGGATGTGCCAGATTTGTTTTTTATGTGTACCTTAGAAAATGCTTTTCCACTATACATGTTTTTGTCTACATGTCCGATAAGGTAAAGGAGTAGGTCAGTCAGCTTTATGGATGTAAATAATCATAACGGAAATTCCAACATGTCCTCTTAAACGATAAGGTGCCCCTATTTGTTTATAGGCTAAATATAAAGCTCAAAATGGGTGCTCACATCTCATAAAATCCCATCTAAATAAGGAACACAATTTTGAGACACTTCCTGGAAGTCAACTGGCAAGAATTTGCACAACGCAGAAATCTGTAGTATATTTATGTATCAAATATCATTTGTATACCACTGTTTTCGCTTCATTGCGTAAAATACAAGTTGACCGTTGTACTATTTTCGTTATCTCAAAGCGATAAAGCCCCAGAGGTGGTCCACCAAAACCTTCGGATTTTGTAATGATCGGTTTATAAATATCTGGACAGGTAGGCGTCTCTCCTGACCAGGAATTCTTAAAAAATCTAACCAATTAGTGAAAACAAACCAATAATGATGACAACTTTATTTGCATGGTTGGCCGGCATCTTAGCCGTTGCAACACTTTTATGGACACATTCTACACGAAAATATCTTACACGTAAGGTGTCCCAGTTATAAATATTGATTAAATATTGAAATGTGGATTCTAAGGTTTCTGAATTCAAATTTTAGGCTGGTTATGGCTGAACAATTCGATAAAGAAGGCCTGCCCACCCATTCATTTCGCGTTGACGGAGTTAGCGTCCAAAGTCGGAGACGTCATTGGAGTCAACATTTATGGCCGTTACACAAGTAAGTACTTTAGGTTTTCAAAGTAGCGAATTACAATCGTCGAGCCGATTAGAATTGTTTGGATTATAAATAATGGCACTGTTCGTTAAAAAAATAGAGATACAATTGCCCTTACATAAATCTATCTAAATTTAAAATATTTGTTTACCATGTAAACAAACTCTTTCAGATAACCTGTCAGATTTTTATCCCTATTCTTTTGAACGAAAACAAGTGGGACTGATGTATGTATAGCACGCGTTGTGTAAAGAATGTCCAAAAAATGGTGTGACAGGCCAATTTCCAAGATTTCTTTCAAAATAAGGCGAATATAATCATAAACTTTGTAACCCCCAAATATCCCTGACTCGCTTAAGACGTTAGTTTATCTGAACTTTTCTTTAGTTGTGCTGTCCTCCTTTCAAGTTATGAAAGCAATCTTGGGGAACAATCGATTTGCTAAAGATCGTCAGAATCATTGTCATGATAACGGTATGAAAAAAGAACAAATATTTTGATTTAATTTACGAATTTTCAAAATAATGTACTATTCTTTGAATCGAAGGAATTACATGGGGTTCTGGCTGTCATTGGAAGCACTTGAAATCACATGTTTCCCAATTAATTCGTAAAGTACTTTCTAACGACGACATGATCCAAAATCTTGTCCAGAACGAGATAACCACAATATTTAAGACGAACGAAATGCTCCTGACACTGCAAGACATCGACCTTTACACCAGTTGTCACAACATACTTTTCGGCATTTTATTCGGACCAGCGGTACATGAGAGTTCAGAAGTTCAGGACATTATACGCCGCCATAAATTAAAAACTAAGCCATCCTGCGACCCTGCAGAATGGTACACATGCTCATCCTGGTTGTTGTTCCAAGGATCAACTAACACACTTGATCCAAGTTATAGTGAAGATATCAAGAAAATCATCCAGGTACATATTTGCATATATTATGTATCTGTACATAAAGTGTTATGGCCAACGACTGGTCTAATAAATGTGGGTCAACGTCTTTTTAGGGACGCGCGTGTTTACTCCGATCGGCAAAGAATGACATGAATCCAAATAATGAATCCGGTCTCGTGGATCTATTTATTGCGAGTTGGTTGGACAAAGACAAAAGTACCAACACTATTGAAACTGCAGGTGATTATAAGTAATTTATTATTTACTTCAAGTTAATATATATGATGCTAACTAATTTAATCCTTAATTAATTAACAAAGTTGACACCTTGGCGAGCATAGTGTCCGATATGTGCGCATCTGGGACGCAACCAATGGCCTTCGCGATTCAATGGATGATTTATCTGCTTGCGCGCAATCCGAAAGTTCAGGACAAAATTTATGATGAAATTATGAATGAAGAACTAAGCAACTCAGGGGCAAAGTATGTACTTATGCATTTCTTCTTGTTTAGTTATTATCCCTCGTAAAATGAGCCTGCATTAATGTTGTACATATATTATTTATTAATTAGGGCGTACAGAATGGCAACGTTATACGAAATTTTTCGAGTTGGGAACATTTTGCCCATCCCAATTCCAAGATGTGCGACTGAAGCGTTTAGCATAAGTGACCTTCCAGTGCGAAAGGTTGGACTAACAATGGAGGCGCAAACCATGTTCAGCGCAGATAATTTTTTGACCATATTAGTTTGGAAGAGCAAGTCTTTAGAAACAACATTTGGCTTGCTCAGATGCGCAAATTTCAGCACGTTATGGGCGCAGCAAGTTCGCAAAAACGCACAAAGTTGAGCTCGGCACTTGGGCATTGCCCGAAAAACCGTGCGTTTTTGCGAACTTGCGGCGCCCATAACGTGCTGAAATTTGCGCATCTGCCCAAGTGCCGAGCCAAATGTTGTTTGTAAAGACTTGCTCTTTCAAACTAATAGGGTCAAAAAATTATCTGGGCTGAATATGGTTTGCGCCTCCATTGTAAGTAATTATTGTCAGAATTATGAAATGAAACATGTAATCACGTGTTAATATTGTTTGAATCATAAGGGGTGCCCCATAATTTACAATTTGGACCCAATCTTTAAAGATGTCTCATATTGGGGAGAATCTGTCGACAAATTTGTACCCGAAAGGTTTTTAGATGAAAGAAAACTGATCAGGACTGAAAGGATGGTAATGTTTGGGTTTGGTAAGGATGAATTTGTTAAATTATGTAAGTTAATAGTTTTCACGGACAATTTAAAATGTTAGGGAAACGAAGATGTCTTGGCGAATCGATCGTCTGGAATACTCTGATGCTCTATTTAACCGAGATTTGTACAAAATTTGAAGTTTCGGCTGGACGTCAAAACCCTACAGATTACGGAATTGGCAAAAAAGCTTCGTTTATATTTTCTGCGAGGAGAAGGCATAATATGCATAGCTAAAACATACAACTCTACTTTTTACAAAATTCTCAATGCATAATATACATATTATGTATTATTTTTTTATCTCTAATGTATATCAGTAAATATTTTGCACCTGTAAATACTATTGTCAACGAATTTCAGTACATATTTGAATTTGTCGAAACAAAACGTTATAATAATTGTATGTACATATTATTAATAGAACAATTTATAATCAGTACAGATACACATATACATGCATACAAATATGTACATTGCGTACATAGGTATGTACATATGTAAATACATATGCAGGAACATATGTAAGTATGCACATGCATATCTGCATACGTTCTGACTTCCTAGCATAAATGGAAATGAGTAGTCAGATGATCTCATATCAATTATCATAGGTTACCTGACACGTTTATCCAATAAAACGTTAACTCAATTCAAACAAAGTAAACAAATATCTGTATAATCAGAGGAATATGAATGTGAATCATATTATTTCCGTTACCTTATCAAATTCTCAGTTTGGTCAATCCTTAATGTGACTGACGAGACGTGGAAAAGTAAGTGACCCCATGATCATCATTAATTTGCCATGCATTGGTTGAATATTATCTCATAATGGCTCCCTTTTTCTCTGACTCTCGTGTTCAACGTTTATGCCCATTCTGACACTGACCAGTAAGGAGTTAGCCAATTGTTACTACTGCCATTAAAGTAAGAAACCACATATTGTAGTGATTATCTATAATATAAATGTGTTGATTATTTATGTGTTATAATTTTCTTTCCATTTTGATCCTAAGTAGGTTTTCGGTCCAATTTGGCCAGAGAGGGTTGGTTAATATGGCGACAGTTGGAAATTCAGAGGTTGAGTTTAAAGAAGTAGAAGTCCTCGAAATTATGCTCGGCGATGAGAAATTATTCGAGGAAAAACGGGAATTCTCTCTTGCTATTGGAATCAAAAAGGCTGATGTCATACTGAAGTTGCATCGGTTGACAAATAACCAAATCACGATGAAAAACTACTACACAGAAGACTTGGAAAAGTTACGGAGTGGAAGTGAATCGCCTTCAGAGATGTATGCAAAATTGATTAAGATTTTGGAAAATCTGAAATTGTTATGTTCCGCCAGTAAGTAAACTTAAACAACTATTTACATATGTAAAGTTATTTACAAGCGACACCTTTGTGCATTATAAAAGTAGTTGAAGCATTTTTTATCTGTTAGACTTAAGGTCAAGCTAGGCATTTAATTTATACCTCCGCCACGAGGCTATGATATAGAATCAAGCCTCTAGAATAGTTTATGCTGATTGTATGCATATATATTTTTATGACTCATGTACATAAGTATGTATGTACATACCGCTATAAATGTTTGGAAGTAGTGGCGAGACAGTGCATGGAGATGAATCATCCCCAAAGTGACAAATTACGTACGTCTGTTAATGGCAGTGTCGAGTATCGATGAACTAGATACAAATTATATTGACCATATACATACGTACAAATTCATATTCAATGTCATGTATAGATAGTCTAGCGTTTTATCAGTAGCCATATGTCCAGCCATTTGCACATCCTCATATCTCTTTGTTAAACAGAGTTATCATGATAACCATTAGTCACACATGCACCCATATTTTGCATGAACGTAATTCATCATTCACAAATTAGTTGCATGATCAATAAATTATATATCATCACATGATTAATATATTTATGCATTCAAAAATAAATATGCACACATAAATAATTATCTTATTCCACTTATTTAGAGAAAGTGGAAAAACTCTCTGGAAGATCAGAAGTGGAGAAAGAAAAATCGCAAATTTTTCATGGCGTTCCTCCTCAAGATGCTGGTCTGGTGGGTCGTGACGCTGAGCATGCAGAACTCGATAACTTTCGCACTAAAAAGCCTTACAAGGTGGTCTACATTTCTGGCCTCCCTGGGCAAGGGAAGACTCAATTTATCATTCAATATGTCACCTCTATCCGTGATGACTTCAACATTTGCTGGCTTTCTGCCCACAACGTGACAACCTTGACTCATTCCTTGACCAAATTCGCGTCTGACGAGCTTCCCCTTAAGACTGATACTTTGGACAAGTTGGACAAGATGACTTTCCCAGAACTGATGTCAACCGTGCTGAGTGGGATGAATAAGTTAGGTCAACAATGGATCACAGTACTCGACAATGTGGACACAAAGTTCGATGAATTTGTGGAACTAGTTAAAAATCGTGCAAACGCTACTGATTCCTTCACCCTTGTGACCTCGAGGATAAACAATCTTCTAAACATGACTCCTAATATTGGTCATATGATACTGGGCGGGCTGAAGTTGGAGGATGCGAAGACACTCATAACCAACCAGATTGATGGTGCCACGGCAGAGGAGGCGAATAAGCTATGGGAAATAGTTGGTGGACATCCTTTCTCTTTACAACAATGCAGCTCGTCCATTCGTCAAGAAAAGATCAATTACCAATGTTCAGTTTCCGATTTTTTGAACGAGTTAGAACACGACATAAGTCTGGGAATGTCTTGCAAAGCGTTCGAGTACGAGATGGAAATTCAAGAACCGACAGCAATAATTCTGGGCAAGACATTAGCAAAACTGGACCCTGCTGCGCTCGAGTGTCTCTACGTTTTGAGTTACATGCACTCAAAAAATGTCCCGTTAGACTTGGCAAGTTATATTTTTCATGTTGTATTTAATACGGAGAAAGCACACCATGAAATCAGCCTCAGGAAACTTAAAGAGTATAACTTGGTAAGCGTGGAGGATAATACGACTCGGACACATGGACTGGTCCAATGGGCAGCAAAACGTGCATTAAATAGTAGTGATAATGTTGCCAAAAAATCTGAAATTGAGCAAAAATTACTAAACTCGATCGGGAGTAAGGAAATTGGCAAGGTACTCAATACGCAGAATGCTTTTCATTTGGTCACCATTTACGACCAGATACAATTAAGTACCGGAAGTGTGGTGAAAGTCGTGTGTCCCGATGTGAACATTGTCCAGTCTATCTTTGAAAAATTGCGGGACGTTTCCGCACTTAGGGAAGCATTCGATTTCATAAATAAAGCACTGCTCAAATTTCGTACCGCTTTAGGTGCTGATAATAAACACACGTTGCAAGTGGAGGGTCTGTTGTACCAGGCAATGATAAAGCTAGGCAGGTACGATGACGCCGTGGCAGGACTGAAATCACTCTACTCCAAACTTATTGCCTCCCAAGGATTAAATCATGAGTTGACTTTATACGTTGGAAATGACTTGGCGAGAGCGTTGCATTTTTCAGGACATGTAGACCAAGCCATGGTTGAGGGCGAAAAGGTGTTTCTCGCACGCAAAGAATTGCTAGGTGAAAGACACGTGGACACGCTGATTTCATGGCATAACTTGGCAATTTGTATGTCAGATTGGAAACGTGGGAAGAAACAGTTTGAGGAGGCGGGTGCCATACATGAGGAAATTTTTAAGATTAGATTAATGGACTTGGGTGAAAATCATCAATCAACACTCAATTCACGACATCAAGTAGCTTACTGCAAATTGCAGCACGCCTTGCAACGTGTTAGAAAGAGTGAAGAGGAGGAAGAACTTTGGGTAGGAGAGATCACAGAGGTGAAAAAAGAATTGGAGAAAATTTCCGAAATCAGAGGTTCCGTGTTGGGTGAGGATAATACGGAAACGCTTCGCACTCAATATTGGTTGTGTGTGGCAATGATAAATTTAAATGATAGCGAGGAGAGAGACAAGGCTGTTGTGATTCTGAATAAAGTCCTTGAAAAGAGGATTGAAGTCTTGAGGGAGGAGCACGTAGAGGCGATTGATACGAAAAAATTGGTTGATAAAATTGAAGGAGAAAAACGTGATGGAATAGATTTTGGTTTTGAAATATACTCGTAAGGATTTATGTATTCTTGCGGAACCAATAATGATATTGTGGGACACTGAAATTGTAAGATTGGAGGGGGAGGGATTTAATGGGATTGTAAGGATAGGAAATTTTTGTTGGGACATTGATTGCACCCCATGTAAAGTGAAAGCAGTCCGTGTTCGAGAGAAACAAATTTCTAAGTGTGGGCAACAAAGTGAGGATGAGAAAGTTATATTTCTATCCATTTAGAAAAATTTGTAAACGTTTATTGTTTTAGAAATTGCTTGTTTATAGACTGTAATCTAAAGTCTGGAGTTTTACTAAATATTTACAATTCTGAAAAATGCGCTTGCAGTATTTAATTTGTATTATATTATTTTGGATTCGCAAATGTACATATTTATCTATTAATATGTGAATAAAATCTGTCTTAATTAATTGCGAATGTGCATGTTTATTCTCAAGTTTTGATATTTTGAATGAACAATTTGGGGTATTCACGTCGGATGTGCTAATGTTAGCAATGGAATATATGCAAATGTGCAAATGTGCACATATACAAATGTCAGCATCACTTCAATCAAGTGAACACAAAATAAATCCATAGTATGAATTTCATACATCCACGAAGAGAACACGACGAAGGAAAAATCGCTTCTATTCAATCAGAACTTCTGATTAAATAGAAGATAATTTCTTCTGAATCAGAAAAAATTATCATGGACAGATACTAGACTTCTGGGGACCGTGCAAAAATGTCATCGATGGAAGAAAAGATCACGGCATTACATACATTTTCGAATAAATTATAACATGTGCCATATGCAAAATCTCGCAGGATGTTGGGGTCAAAATTCTCTGAAAATGAATCACATTCCTTTCGTCTGGTCTCCAATGAGAAATGAGAACAAAGGGCTTTCATACATATAAAGGTGCATCCCCATCATAGCCGGCATGTTGCGAGCTCATCCGATTTTCCGAATTAATGCATTACTGATATATATACAGAGAAATACATCCTTCCTTACCTAACGTTGTGACTATATGTAAGTAACGAACCCAATTTGGAAGCGTGGTTTTGCCTGTCTGTTTCCAACCATCGACATTCGACATGAGTAGAGATTTTTAAAATAAGGACAACCGTTGATTTGACCGAGACCATGGTCAGATTCAGACGTGGCCTGGGACAAATATAGTAAGTCAAAGTTCATTTAATTTCAGAATTTTTTGGTGGTAGAAAGGGTTGTTAATTTGTGTAGCAATAAATCGTTTCTCTTTAATTAGATATTTAAATTAAGTAATTTAATATTTGATAAAGATTGTTATCATAGTAAATGGGATTGATTGATAAGGTGGCCTCTACCACATAATATTTAAACGGGGAGAATACTAACATGAGCAGGTTCCCACAGTTCCCAAGATTACAATTCCCTAACATTAAGTTAGTGCACATTTTCTTCGAAAATTTGGGATGTGAATTTATCTTACTTGAAACGCAAATGTTGAACAAGACAATCTTTAAGCATTGCATAGGTCTATTGTGTGAAATTCAAATAGCCTCGGATATTAATTATCTTGTGTACATTGCAGGTTACCATCTTCACATACATGCATAAGGAAGAAGCCGATTACATAATTTATGATTTCTAAAATGGTAAGAAATACATTTATTCTCAGTAACATGCAGTAAATTATTTTGAAATGGATCATAGTTCATTGTCAAATTTTTTAAAAATTATTTAGGCGAATTCCGTCCCCGTATCTTGACATCACGACGCAATATTTCGACACCGTGGGGTCGACGACGACACAACCGGAAGACGTTAGAAGTTTATAATAATGTCAAATTACAAAATAATTATTTATTGGTCTTCACAACTAGATATTTCCTAGTGAATAAGTTGTGTAATTTTTTCCCAGCTATAAATACGTAGAGAAAGTTGTTATATATTTTAGCACTAAATTTGATCTGATGCCTCTGTGCAATTGTATTAGCACACGTGACACCTGACAACTTAGTTATGCTTTGTAAACAGAAAATGATTGTAATTTGATCGTAAATTTAAAATGATTCAGATAGGTTTGTAGCGAGGCTGATTCGGTAAAATTACTTGATAGCCCGAGAACCACATGGACACCCCGTGTAATTTATAAGCTAATGAAACGCTCAACTACAGAAAACTGCTTAAACTCACGAAACTTTTCTCATTGTATTAGAAAAAGTTGCACAATTGTTGGGTTAATTATTTTGTCAAATTCGATAAACTTTGTGCAATGGATACGGTATTAGTCCATACACTCGTACAGATTTAAGCGTGAAATTAATCACCTTATACATACATTCATATGTTTAGGCTCTCAATTGAATCTTGGAAACTAACGGATAAAAGTCGAGGAAACGATGCAGCATTGTTTTAAATATGTCCTATACGTAACTGGAACCGGTGTTGACCTGAAATCTATAATGCAGAATGCAATGGCATTATTGACCTCAGACGGTACAGATGTATTTGTTTCTACACTTTTTCATGCTAAACAAAGGTTTTTACTTGTAAGATGAGAAAGAAGTAATTTTATATAAATTTAGGGTTTACTTGATGTTATGAAGGTGAAGTAAAGATGTCATTCAAAAATTATAGCGGTACATAAATTTAATAAGTATTGACTGACGCCGTAAATATACCTGTATCGTATTTTACATTACGTGAACGATTATTTATGGTACTCGGTACGTTATCTGGTAAGATCGTTGTTAAGTACTAATAAATATATCCTCAGGTTTTATAATAAAAAGTATTCGAAATTAAATTATATAAGTTTAAATCCCCTAATGCATACGTAAATATGCACTTCTGAATTTGCATGCGTCACTATATTTTCATACTTGATATACTATATATACACATACATACGTACGCATATATATAATGGGCACAATTGGACATCACTGATAACTTTTGCATACACACATCTTACAATTAAAGAAAAAATAAAGCTAAGTTCAATAAATTCTTAATTTTTTAAATATTAAATTTGATAACGGTCTACGTTTTAGATATAAATAAATTGCATTTAAAATTCATTCTACTCACTTTGTAAAGTAATGTCAGTTATATCCAGAAGTACGAGGAAAACTCGCATCTCGACTGGATTGTTCAGCTCTTGTAGAAGATAAAGCTTGCGCTGCAACTCGGGTCAAACACACTGGCGTAGGGGACATCGGCTTGGCTTGACTGCAAGTATTCCAGGTTCAAACCCCAGCACGGTACAGATAAATTTACTTTTTGCAACCTAGTTTTGACCACAATGTTATACCGTTGTATAGGGGCTAGAGTTCTACTAGCAACATAGCCGGACCACCCCCGGGAAGATATTGGGGAGTGGTCAATATCATCATTTTTTCATACTGACCACACCCCCACACGCTGTCGGTGCGGTTTGAATATCCTACTAGTAGAACTTGACCTCTTATGCAAAGTTAAAAGCATTTTAGTCAAAACTGGCTTGCAAAAATGTAAACTAGCCTCTACTGAGATTTGAACCCGCGTGCTTATGCTACAGACTGAGCCGATGTCCCTTATGCCAGCAATTTGACTCGGGTTGCAGCGCTAGCTTTATCTTCTACAAGAGCTGAAAAATCCAGTCGAGATGCGAGTTTCCCTCGTACTTCTGGATATAACTGACATTATTTGTTAAATTGGACAAGTTTAATGATTTTTATAGTATGCAGCCTAATAGTAAACCTTTGTATGCAAAACAATTGAGTAAAGTTTGTTTTTATGTTCTATTTCATTGTCAGAGGGAAAGTTATTTACGCATTGATGTATAACCGTTTCATGAAGTATTTTAAGTTTTTAATAATTTCACGCAAAGAAATGACCTGTGTAAATAACTTCTTTTTATGGTAGTTTACTGATTTTCTTTCTATCTTTACTGGAGAAAGGACAACGTATGAAATTGCGTTCGTTTATTTAAGTGTTCAGATATGCATCCACATACCATAAACAAAGCCAAATCCACGATTATTTCTAGCCATAGTAAGAAATCAATATCGCCCACTCACATACATATGTACACGTGTCGGAGGGAGAAAACCGAATCGGATATGTATCCGCCATGGAGAAAGTGAAAGTACACTCGGATGCAACAACTGGTCGTGGTCATATTTAAACTTTAAACTCAAATACTGAATTAATTAATTTTGATTTAATTAATTTATCTCAATGTTTCTTGGTCAAAATTTCACAAAGGAAGGTATGCAAATACATAGCTTCATAAAGAAATATCTCATAATTAAACAGTTGTTAACCTTAAATCTATCAATATTTTAAGGAAAACTCATTTAACTTGACGCAAATTTCATCAATTAACAGATTTTCTTCCCAAAAAGCCACCATGTAAAAAGGTTGTAAAGAAAAAGAAGAAACAGGGCGATCAAATGGTGTTTTTACCTCCAGAGGTAGGTAAAATGTGCGTAACTTTCGTAAAATTTTGCAGACATTGCAAATCTTCCATTTTTCTAGATCATCGCGAAAATCTGGGATTATCTCTCCCTCGCCGACTTAAAGATAGCTCGTAGAGTAAACTCCACCTGGAAAAGTTGGAGTTGGGAGAAATTTACAACGCTTGCTATGCGATCTTTAACCTACGACAGCGCAGTCACTTATCACTACTACGTGACTTATCCTTCCGATCTAGATGCTATATCCGCGTTCAAAATCGACATATCCAAAAGGGTCCAACTTGTCGCAAGTGCTTCCTCGCCCGGGCAAATCATCACTTTTCCACCCGAATTCACCTACCGAATTATGCCCATCTTATCACAAGCTCTCAGTGTTAAACGACTCGATATGAAGATCGGGTCTGACATCAGTACAAAATTTATCTCTCCATCCGATGTCGACGAGTGGACAAAGTTGTGTCGCAAAGTTTTCGACGTGTCGCCCAGTCTGGAAGAACTTTGCCTTGAAGTTCCCGTGCTGCCTAGTTTTTCCTGGTTTCCGGTCGAAGAGAGGTTGACATGCTTAAAGATATTGCGACTTGACATACTTCCGGCCACGTCGGAATGGGGGAATGACGCCATGGCGAAAATAATCATGGAGGAGACCCCCAACCTGGTGACGTTTACTTCATCATATTTTGGAACCGGACTGCACACCAGTATTTTAAAGTTGTTAACTGGAAGTGACGAATTTTGGCCAAAATTGACAAATATTGGGTGTCCCCGGAAACAGAGGAGGGAAGGGTATTGGGGATGGCGAAATACGACAGATCTTGACCTTTTGGCACAAGTTCAGCGAAAATGGAAGCAAATTTATTTTGGGAGGATATCAACGAACCAGTTGGAGCAGGTAAAAGCTGTGTTGGAAAAGCACTGTGAAACTGTTGAGCTTATCGAGCTGAATCCTGTGTTATCGCTACGACTCGTACCGATGGAATTGCCGAGGATGCCAAATCTGAAAAAGTTGGCGATTTGGGAGTACGATGTGTCCGAGTATGAGTTGTATAGTTTGTTCAGTCAGATTTACAAGATGCCGAGGGGTGTGGTGGGTGAGTCGGGATTAGTGTAGTGATTGGGGAATAAATGTATTTTTAATTTTGATTTCATTTACAATTTTAGAACAAAACGTGGCCCCGTGCAATGACTGGTCGAGGGAGAAGTTGGACTTTTTCAACTTGTTCGACTTGTTCGGGGTAAGTAATGAAAATTTGAAGATTTTTAAAGGATGACGATTTTTGTGAATTTGTGTACAAATGTATGCAATGAATCATTTGCAAATATGGAAAGCCCAAAAATATTTGACAAATGATGTCACTCTAATACATGCTACACTTTAATCACATTTTATGCAATTCGTTTTTCTGGTAATTTTATGCGAAAACAGTATCGTCAAAATATTTACCTAGGTCCTTCTTCTATAAAGACTTTTACTCAATTTACAGTTAAAATAATTGATAATCCTTAGTCTAAAAATTATAATTTTTGAATTATTACAGGACAGTGAAAAATTTAAGGATCGATTCCCATCCCTGCACACTTTAATATTCACTGTGCCATCCGGTCGGTACAAGAGTTACGTGTACAATGCAATCTTTCCAAAAAAGAAAATAGCAAGTTTAAAGCAGATTTGTTACCTGAATGTCACTTACCCGGACCCATTTGGCAGCACTAATGCGAACAAAAGGGCTCAGCGACTCCTGAAAATGTTCCCCAATGTTCATAATAAGGAAATGAACCGATTGAGGAAGGAGTTGTACAATTCGTGATGAATATTGTTGGGTGATGAATATTATTAAGTGTTTATTCTAATTATAAGAAAGTATGTAATCCGCATTAATGGTATGGTTATTTTATTAGTGTCCAATAGTGGAGTATTGGACTTCCTTGATCGAAGATAGAATAAAGAATTACATTATTTTCTTTATCGTCATTGTGCAATGTAAAGATGTCATATTTTCCTGTTCCTAAGTACGTATGTATTTGCATAAAATGTCGAATGTGCGCTTAAGATTAAATATTACACCGTAGAAAAAAGAGGGTCTGGGGATTTTGACGTCTTCGGTTGAGCTTAAAATATCTAAGAAATTTGTTTCTTCATTTGACCAATTTTATCCTTTTGTAGCTGTGATACCTTAGATGCCTCATTTTAAGCTCATATGTATGTATGCAAGTACATACATAAAATGCACATGTACACGTTAGCAAGAGCATTGCTCTTAGAGCACTTGACCTACTTGATAATATTTAAAATCAGAGATTTTATACCACGAAATTCTATTCGTTGTGATTTATTACACATGCATTGCACAAAATTTAAAATCAAAATAACAAATTCACTCAATATTTATCAAAGCGATTATATTTTAATAGCGCTATGCATCCCAAAACAAGGTCCTTCAACATAACCTGGTGATTTTATGAAGGCCGCAATGGCTGGAATTGCCTCGAAATTTGTCATGTAATCCACCAGATTAGCGTGATCGCTGATCAGACTTTCTCGATACGCCTTCAACATGTAAAATGTCGAGTAGACGAGAAAGTCAAGGTAGCAAATCTATTCATAAAAATATTTAGAATCAGTCTTAAGATTTCAGACATTTTTCAATAATAAAAAAAACTCACCTCATCTCCCAACAAGAACTTCTTGCCTCCCAACATTTTCGAAAGGACGCTCATTTTTGAGGGCACCGTATTTTCAAACATCGCCTTCGTTTGTTCCTGTCATATTTAAATACATACACATGCTATTTCAAAATTTGATTGAGATATTTCTAAATATTTGCATACCTACATACCTGATCAGTGTAAATGAACATTGCAAAATTTTGAATGATGTCGCCCAGCATTCCTTCCATCATTTCTGCCCTGGCAAGATCACCAATATTGGACGGGATCAAACTCGGTTTATACTTTCGGATCACGTACATCAAAACTGCTCGAGATTCGGAGAGCTTGATCGAGTCATCAATCCAATATGGGAGCTAATGTGGGGAGAAAGAAGCACATTTAAATCTGCATGCTTCTTACTCTTAAAAAATATTAAGCTACATTAGGAGAATCGAGTCCAATCCGAGTTTTCTGATGCTTCCAGGTCGACTCCCCACCGTCGCCTTCTTTCCCTTGCGTGTACACAAAGTAGTCGTAATCAACCCCCATATATTCCAGGGCAAAACGGATGGGATAACCTCGCTATGAAAGCAAAATTATGAAAATTTTATATAAAACGTAAGTATATTTTGATATGAAATATATAGAAATATGTATGCATACTCCACGACAGTCCCAATATGCAAGTTGAGGTTTGCTCATTTTTGCGAATGTTGCAAATTTAGGGAGGAAAAGGATACGATCTGGGCAACGTTGTTGCGCTTACTGAAGTGATGGAAATAAAATATTTTCCATGGAGTCACTCCTCGTCACTCAAGGACAAATTGGAGTGGACTGGACCATGTAATCAAATTAGACGGTAAGAATCGTTATGAATCATTGTTGCCTATTATAGTTTGACTAATGGTGTACGTCACGAAACACTAATGTATTTATGTATGTATAATAATTATGGCTCCTTGGAAGCAATCTGTATGTTTATTGCTGCACACGACACCGAGAAAATATGACTTGCCATTTATGAATTGCGTTTGCTTGGCGAGTCAATTTTTTATCGTGTTGATGTTTCGCTTAATGGATATAATTTTTTTTACAGCCAGACGAGAAAAAGTCATTGGGGTATTTTGTCTTGTATCCGAATTGCTTATTTCAGTTGTGGTATGTTAATTGTATGTATACTGCTGGTTAAGAGGGTACAATAAAAAGCAAGGACACGAACGGAGTATTACTCATCCTTCAATGCAAGTTAATAGTGAAAATACACAAAATTGTATTGGAATATTAAATGCAAGGTAAAGCTGGAAATTCTGCACAGTCACAAGCTGACATTTCCGATATTTGCTAGTTTTTATGCAAAGAATTAGGTATATGTATGTCGTGAAAAGTACTTTTAATCAAATTTCATATTTATTCAATTGTGAAATCTCACCAATTTTATAAATCGCAGTACTTTCACACCAAATAATACATAAACATGGCTAAATTTTAGCCGGACAATGCCTGCTAAACCAGGGCCCTTTAATGAACTGGGGCGACTTCATGTATGCCTCAATAGCCGGAAGCTTCTCAAAGCTGATCATGTAAGCTGTCAAGTTTTCATGCGCCTGGACAACGCTTGGACGGAATTTGGTCAACATGTAGAGGATTTCGTACGTAGGAAAATCAATGTAGGAGGGCTGTAAAATGAATACAAAATCTGTACTATTTTTCAGAAATTATGATAAACTTTTATCCATGCATAATTTCCTAACCTCATTTCCCATCAGGAATTTCTTGTCGCCCAAAATTTTCGATAGAATCACCAACTTTGTCGGCACCACGGACCCGAACGTGTACGAATGTTCTTCTTTTTTGTCTTCGCCGGAATACGCGGCGGTGGCGGAGTACGTCATAATATCCGCTAAAATGCCTTCAATCATGTCCATCTCAGCCAACTTGGCAAGATTCGACGGGATCATGGACGGATTATATTTTCGGACGACATACTTGAGGATGGCGTTCGACTCGGTGATTTTGACGTCGTCGTCAATCCAGTATGGGAGCTGAAAAAGAGTGAGTTTCGGCTTAATTGGTGTAAATAAGTATTTGGTGTCGATAATATTTAATGATAACTGACTCACATTTGGAGCAATAAGGCCCAGCTTGGTTTTATCGGATGCCCAAGTATTGTCCCCACCGGTTTGTTCATTGTCTTCCTTGTACGTTAAGTCGTCGTAGTCAACCCCCATGTACGCGAGGGCAAAGCGGATCTTCTGTGCCAACTGTAAAAAAAAATGTGCCATGAAAAAGTGATTTATAAAATTCATGAAATGCATATTCTTTGTATAATTGTGCGAGCAGGATAAAATTGATAAGTGGAAATAAATTGTTGCATGATTTTAAAATTTAAATTAGACGCAAAACGTTTTTTGCCCAATGAATTGGAACAAATATTAGCATCAATAATTAAACAATTGACAAAATTTCTGGTTGTTAACCGGACTCGTTTTTACATTCTCTTCAGCTCTATATGGTTTGAACTAATTATTTTATGGTTAGTTTAACGAATTCCAACAAAAGCAAAATATCATGCACAATATTTCCCTCTTTCCTGAAGTAAAATAACTTCATAGTTGCAAAAGCAGTATTAAATTTTATGGTAAAATATGCATGTGAATCATGCATTTTACTTACACCACGAATGTCCCAATACGCCAATTTCGGCTTTCCCATTTTAATTTAACTTAAGTTTAAATTAAACAGAATATTTAACCAAAAAAATATGGTCTGAATCCGACAACTATTAGGACAAAGCTAATACTAAAGTGCACGTGCAAGATCCTCTTATACATATGTATAACATTACTAACGTTTTTCCTCCGAGTCGATAAGTACGAATTTATGTAGGTGCATATGTACATACACACACATAAGTAAGCATGACAAAGACAAATATCATGAACCGGTATAATGAACCAAAGCTGTGCAGGACGGAATGCTACTTATCTATTCCGAAAACGTTAAAATCTCATATTTATTGGTACATAAATACATGCACGAATACATATAAAGATCTAGTCATCCAGCTCAACTACCTAATTCATATAAGAGCCACACACCATCAGTTATAGCAAGTAATCTTCAATTGAACAAATAACAATAATTGACGCCAACAGCATCTACTAGTATATCGTACTATGAAATGTATGCCTGCATACATATTTATTTATATGCATCTAAATACTCAACGTTTCGTATATAGTGAAATGCACATCGTGGTGCCACGACCAACCTTTTGCATGACCTTGTAGTGAATTGAGTTTGTTTATCTCTCTTTACTGAAGAGACCTTGGCATTGACAGACACCGCACCGCTTGATGAGTTTGACTTGCATTATTCATCGTGTTTATTCCTTTTTTGCCGGTTTTGGTCTCATTGTTAGAAGTCCAATGTCAAGGACAATGTCAACTGTGCATTTGTATTTGAAATTAATGAAATATTGATCAAACATGACTCATATTTCGCAATAATGGATGATTTTATTTTCCAATAAAATATTTATTTTGATTTTATAATCTCTTCAAGAAAATATTGCATGATTTTTTTAAAATCTGCCAATCTACACTTGGGCAAGAGACGTCCTCCCAAAAAACGGTGAACTGATGAAGGTCGGGGAGCTGATGTATGTCGCGATTTCTGGAATTTTCTCAAGGTTGGAGACAAATGCTTGCAAATTTTTTGGGACAAGGTCAGGACGATACTTGGTCAACATGGAGAATTGTTCGAAGAGAACAAAGTCCAAGTAGCACATCTATAAAAGTTGAAGTTGTTTATAAATATGAGAAAATATTTTGTAAATATTTTATTTGCAAAAATTTATGTAAATACATACCTCATTTCCCAACAAGAATTTCTTGTCTCCTAAACATTTCGAGAGAATTTCCACCTTTTTGGGAGTCTCAGATTCAAATCGTTCCTTCTCCTTGTCCTGTGGCAAAATATTTGCATGGATTAATTTGCACAGTAAATAAATATTAACAAATTGTACCCACCGTTCCTGAATACGCCGCAGCGAAAATGTACGAATACGTGTCCGCAATGACGCCCTCGGTCTGCTCAACTTTCGACAATTGGACCAAGTCCGTCGGCATAAGGGCTGGCTTATACTTGCGGACGACATACTTCAAAATGGCCAAGGACTCGGTCAGCTTGACCTTATCGTCGAACCAGTAGGGCAGCTAGAAAAGAATGAAATCATAATTTTATTGCAAAAAATTTGCAAAATTATGCGAACTTTTAAAAACTCACATTGGGAGCATCCATTCCCAACTTGGGTTTCTGATGAGCCCAAGTCTTCTCGCCACCGGCTTCCTCGTTATTTTCGATGTAGACGACGTGCTCGTAATCCACACCCATGTAGGCGAGGGCGAAACGGGTGGCGTGACCCAACTGGGGATGATAATGACAAAATTATGCACATGCAAAAAAAGACGCTAATTTTTTGCAGATTGAAAGACTCACCCCTCTCAAGTCCCAGTAACCGAATTGTGGCTTTCCCATTTTCGCAAAGTTGTTTTATTTGGTTTGGAAGAAAACAGAGCAGCTGCCGGTTTGGAGTGGAAATCAATACTGACCAGGTTTTGGTGCACTCTCCGAGTTTTATGGAGCAGAGCTCGGCACATCATTTAGTGAGGAAGCATGCTTGTTAAGTATGTAAGCATGGTCTAGAAAATTCTGCACATGCTTTTGCTTGACAACAGGGGCGACAGACTGACAACATAACACTCGAAATGATAATTACATAATTGACGTCACGGATAACCAACTATGTAATAATTATGAGGTTAAAAGAAACGTTTTGCAGGGATGTTAACCTTTTTTAAGTGCATTTTGTTGCAGACGGGACGCAAATTTATGCAACAAAGTTATTCATGTGTCTGTGTGGTCTAGAAATTGAGGTGTCGGCTTGAATTTGGGGGTGCTGGCATGATAAAGTAAATTGAATAGCGATAATATAATAATTGACTCGTGATGATTGAATTTGATATTTATGTAACTGAAAACGTTTAACATTTGTCAGTTTTTTACAAGGCATTTTATTTCATGAAAAATTTGTATTTTATTATTTTGTTTTATTTAGGGATTTTTTTATTTAGTTTAATAATAATCTGAACATGAAGCCAAAATTTCTGCTGCGGATGTCCCCACGATGCTTCTGCTTGTCGAAAATGCTGCAAATTTGGAAACTGATTTCTGAGATGGGTCTTCATTTCTACCCTGCTAATGTTAATCTCGTAACGGCTGGATTAATAATAAATAGTAAATACATAGGTATCATTGGCACCTCTGTTGAGCATAAAGAAGCCGAAACTTTCACCCACCAACTTTCCCAATTGTAAAGATTTCAGTTGTTTCATCCTATGTTGAGAAAAGTCGGAAAAACGTACCTGAAAAATTATCGTCTGGACTATGAAATTTATTCTTATCCTCAGAGCACTTGGAAATTTATAAAAACTTGGAAACCAAGACTTCCTTACTTTGGCATGCGGACTAGATTTGGCATTAAAAATTATCACAAAATTTTTCTCGTAAATACAAAGTTTATTAAGAATGCATCGACAAAGCTGTATTTACAGATAGGTATGATTCAAGTGTTTATCTCTCAGGTTTCTATTCGAGTGTGGTCGTCAAATTTTGCATATGTATGCAGTGTATCGAATTTTTAAAACAATTTGGTATGCATTTCTCACAGGAAGTAAAATAAGATAGTCCATCCAGTCCATACATTAACGTTGACTTAGGTGACTCATCCCCTGTGACGTCACAGGTCTAAAAATCTGCACATTTTTACTCATTTCTCGGCTCTGGGAATGTATTTTTAAATTCGATCTGGTCATTTTGTGGACCAGATTGAGATCAGTACCAATTTATTAAAAATATGCACTCTAGATTTTGAAAAGTTTTGAAGGAGGAGACCCAATTTTTCTGAAGGCATTCACTCCTTTTGGGTCTCTTTCTACAAAACTTTTCAAAATCTAGAGTGCATATTTTTAATAAATTGGTACTGATCTGATCTACAAAATGACCAGATCGAATTTTAAAATATGTACATTCCCAGAGCCGAGATATGAGTAAAAATGTACAAATTTTTAGACCTGTGACGTCACAGGCGATGAGTCACCTAAGTCAACGTTAAATACGCTAATAATTCTGACTTTCCATGCCAAGGTTTCCCATTTATATTCATACCTACTCTTGTCATTCATTTATAATAGACATGAATACGACATCATTTTAGGTTAAGTTATAATTTATGTAACGTTGAACGTGGAGATTCTATGCTACATAAATTATGGACTTCCTCAGAACAAATAAAAAATATGTGCCAAAACCGCAACAACTTCAGGACACGGTACATAAATAAATACATATCTCGGTTATTTACTTACTAAGCATATCAGCAAAATGACGATAACGGAGTAATCCAGCTTCCTTGATAACCCTTCTGGACCATTGATTTTATTCAGTCATCTGGTTACATTATGTGTTTACGAGTCTACAATTTTATAATTTTCGAATATGGTTCGAATTTGTAGGAGATTAACAAGACCATTGTCCGTCCTTATTATAGCATCAATTGTGATCGCACTCTATTCGCAAATTCCAAAAGTAAAAATAGAAGTTTCGACTAAATTGCCCTCACGTGATTACTTCTCGGCCTGGAAAACCATTGCAAGTCGTAAGCACAACTTGACATTGGATGATGTAAAAATTCAGCCCGTAATTCGTAAGCGTTTTAAAAAATTCTGTCAATTTTTTAAATGTTTTCTTTGACTTACAAAAATTTTCTTTTAGAAAAAATTGCTAAAAATACGCATTCCACAAAAACGCGACCACCACTTATTCTAATCTGGACCAAGTATTTTGGTGGAGAACCATTAACAAACTTGGAAGGATTTTCCAATCGCATTTCTAGTTGCGAATATCTTTGCGAATATACTGGAAACAGAGATGAACACTTTCAATCCGCGGAAGCTGTCCTATTTCATAGCGGATCTATGGACAAGTATCTATAATCAATAATTTTTTAATCTTTCCACCATTAATTGTGGAAATTTGCAAAAAAAAATTATTGTGCAATAAATCTTTGCAGAAATGATACCACAATTCTTATCAGTCTGACCCGGCCTCAGGGCCAGGTGTGGATTTACAACAATCAAGAATCTCCCGCAAATATGGAAACCTTCACGAAATTAGAAATCCTTCCCCATTTCCGGAACTTGTTCAACTGGACGATGACGATGCGCAAAGATTCCGATATTTATCATCCATATGGAAAAATTGTGAAAACAGAACCCATGGCAACTTCAATTTGGAATGAAAATCTTGCCAAAAGACGTGACATCATAAGGAACAAGTCCAAGTTCGCGGTATGGGTGACTTCCCACTGTATAACTAACAGCCGCCGAGAAAAGCTCGTTAGAGAACTGGCTCGTTATATTCCCATCGATATCGTTGGCGCCTGTGGAACCTGGATGCGAAACTATTGCATTAGAAAAGGAACAGATTATGACACATGTTTCACCAAGTTTGCCGCAAACTACAAGTTTTATCTGAGTTTCGAAAATTCACTTTGTCAAGATTATGTCACAGAAAAGTTTTACAATGCGGTGAAGCATGACATTGTTCCGGTAGTTTATTCGGGCGGGGATATGAAATCATTGGCGCCAAGGGGATCATATATTGATGTCCGTGACTTTAACGGGTCCCGCCATCTTGCCGAGTATTTAATCGAGTTGGACAAGAAGGAGGAAGAATATGAAAAATATTTTGAATTCAAGAGAAATCACGAGATAATCGATAAGGATGAAGAATCTTGGTGTCGTCTTTGTGAGAAAGTGTGGCTTCAAAGGGGTCAAAGTGTGGTGCAGTGGTATCCTGATATGGCTCAGTGGTATGAAAATGAGTTTGAAAATGGGGAAAGAACTGGTGCTAAGAGTTGTGTGGATAAGAGCGAAATTGTTTTTAAGACTGCTATGGAACTAGCGTGGGAAAGGTTTTGGGACTCGATTGGTTTATAAGTAGTTTATGGAAATTCGTTTAATGAGAAAATTCATTCACATGGACATAGGTGGCCGAGTTAGCGTCTAACTCGCAATGTCAGTTAATTAATCAAAATGTGTTAAAAACTGTACAAATTGTTACAAACTCGTTTTGTTGATTATTAGCTCACCCTGCGTAGCATGAGAGCTATTGAATTCCTCTTGTCCGTCCGTCTGTCTGTCTGTCCGTCTGTTAACGAGTTTTTTGCATCAATTGATGCTATTTAAAAATCCCCTTGACCATTATTAAGTTAGGCGCACCATTGGTATTGAACAAACCGAATCGAATTTTTTAATAAATTAATAGCACCGTTGATATCTAACAATCGGTAACACAAAATGATGCGAAATAATTGGGAGAAGGGATTCAAAACGCACCAATAGTGCAAAATATCCGGGAGAAATGGTCATACAATTTTGACAAAGTTTTCAAAATTATGTATCCAGGATGGTCGCTAATGCTGCAGTAATGGTGCAACGGCTAGCCGTTTTTGTTGCACCATGGGTGCAAGAATATATACGAGTTATGATCTATTTTGCCGGCTTATTCCGCACGTTCGGTGCAAAGTTCTGTCTAATCATCATGACAGGGTGAGCTACTTCTAACGTTACTACGGTTTATTTTGTCCGTGTTTCGTGCATTCTCAATAATTGTTACAGGAAAAATCATTCTCAGGTTGAAAAGGTAGCTAACGTGTTCGAATGACAGGTTGAGTATACGAATCATAAACCACAACTACATAGGTATGTACATCAAAAACACGCATGGTCATATTGATATTTACATATTTTATTTACAAAACATGTTCTAAACTAAAATCACGAAATGTATGTATGCGGGTTTTCACGTCACCTTCGTAACTGTCGCAAATAGCGTAAATTTACGATATCTAAATACGAAAATTCCATGCTTACGAAGCTTCGTAAATATACGCAAGGTTGATGCATCTTTTTCGTTCGTAAAAAATTTTGTAACAATAAAAAATCAAGACGTTTCGAACACCATAGTTACCGATGATATTAGGCAAGGAAAAATTAAAGGCAATTTTTACGAAATATTATTTACGACGGGTCTTTCACGCCAACCCGTCGTAAATGACGCAAATTTACTAAACATTTTTTACGAATCCACAGTTACGAAGGTCGTGAAGACCCTCTATATATTTTAATATACCAATATGAGCAAAATGTTTATAAATTTTAGAGGTATAAGTGTTTTCTTAGAGAAATTCTATCTATTTATGCAAATACTATTTAACTACCAATATTTTAAAATATTCCATTAATTTTTCTACATTAATTTTCGAAAATTGCTCGTTTAATCGGGTTTAACTATCGACAGATTACGAAATTTGTGCATCATACAACTACCAAACAATGAAACGATCGATATTTATATTTATTTATGATATCTATTTACAAATAAAATTTCAAAAACGGCATTACATTTGCACATCCTTCTACATAAAACTACATACACATATACATACTAATAAATATGCAAATATACCAGACAAGTACTGATGTTTATTATTATTCGCTATAAAGAATTTTGTATTCGCAATGTACATATGTGTATACATTATCTGTATTACATCTACAAAAGCTATTTAAAATAATAAAATAGCTTGTTAAAAAATAAAATAACTTGTTTTACGACCGCGTTCTAAATATTCAAAATACAGAGACAGGAAAGTATGAACAAACTCAACCTCAAATTGCAGCGGAACGGCTTGGGGTTTTGTTCCAAATTAGATAGGTATGTAAATATAGCAGGTGGCCTTTGATGCCATGTTTTCCGAATTTCAGGTATGAACTATAAAAAACAATTTTTCCAGTATTTATAGAGTAAGAGGGTGATATTTTCTAAACTTAATAATTCAGATAATATAATTAGGAATTCCAATCCCGGACGATTTTTTAAATCCCGGGAATCGGGAATCCCGGTTTTAGCCGTGACAAATCCCGGGAAATCCCGGGATTTTTTCCCGAAATTCAAATCTTACCATATAACTTGAAATTAGTCAATTTTGGTGGAAAAAAAGGTACATGGCTATAAAAAGTACCTGGCCTGAGCATATTTGAGTAAGAATTATAGGACTCGACAAAGACATCCAACGAGTATTTCAAAAGTGAAATTAAACTATTTTATTATGTTCACCTTATAAAAAGAAAAAAAATTGTGACGCAAAAAGTATGGCGAAATGTTCGTCGATTGGATTTACCCCAATTTTTGATATGTTGCAGATCTTTGGTAGTAGATTAATAGTTCAATTACTCTAAACGTCGAAATCGACATGCGTGACCTTTTTCCGGGGGTCGAAAGGTCGCGATGTCAAAGGTCGCCGACCTCAATAAATGGGATATCGTTGGAAAGGTCTTGACGAGAGGATTATATATACTTTGTGGGGTCTGGGATGACCCTATGCAAGTCTAGAGGGCAAAGAACGAAAATATGCAGTTGTCCAGAATTTAACATAGCAGTGGATAGGGAGCTAACATGGAAGCCCGAATGGGAAAAACTCAAAAATATTCTCCTGGCTCTAGCTTTGCAGGGGGTGGTCCCAGACCCCACAAAGTATAAATTTTCGGAATCCTCTCGTCAAGACCTTTCCAACGATATCCCATTTATTAAGGTCGGCGACCTTTGACATCGCGACCTTTCGACCCCCGGAAAAAGGTCACGCATGTCGATTTCGACGTTTAGGGTAATTGAACTATTAATCTCCTACCAAAGATCTGCAACATATCAAAAATTGGGGTAAATCCAATCGACGAACATTTCGCCATACTTTTTGCGTCACAACTAAAAACCAATTTTTCGAAATTAAAATTTTTGGCTTTAAAGTTGGAATTTCGACTCAATTCGAAGAACGCACCAAGGTATTGATCCAAAGAGTGTAGGAGAAAAATTTTGTGCAATTCCATCAACCCGTTCCTGAAATAAGTTGTTCCCTATGCCATCACTTTAAAATCCCAAAAGTCTCATAACTCCCCCAGGGAAAATTTTGGCGCCTAAAATATTTTGCGATTTTTTTTCTTTTTATAAGGTGAACATAATAAAATAGTTTAATTTCACTTTTGAAATACTCGTTGGATGTCTTTGTCGAGTCCTATAATTCTTACTCATTTATAATACTTATTTACATACCTAATGATGTGTTTTAGAGATTTGTGCATGCATAAGTATTATAAAGTATGCTACTTTCTGGCCTATACAAAATGCATATAGGATAGCAATACAAATTAGCGATTATAGTGTTTTGCCTGCCATAGTAAATGTACAATTTCGATGTATTGTGATAGCTCAAAGAAAAAGTTTGATAATTTCATTCCAGAAAACATAAATAATTAATCAAGGATTCGCTAGCATGTTAACCAGAAATGCACAAACTTACGTTCGTCAGTATTATTTGGCCTAAATTGTGAACCATTATTCACAAACTACAATTGGACATGGGATTTGGCAATTTAAAAATTTCAAGCTCAAATATACGAACTACCTTCAAAAAGCCTTTCATTCAGCCTTAAATTCATCGACTAAAATTCGAAATCACTTCTAACGTGTTAGTATTTTTTGGCATAACTGATTTCAGATTCCATAATTATACCGAAAATAAAGTGTTCTTGTTGCCTCAAGTTAAAATCTGACATCGAAGTTAGAAAATTTTAAGTTCCATCTTGTATTAAAAATTTTGCTTACGAATTAAATACAAAATTTAGATCAATGTGCGAAAAATATGGCTATCAATATTGTTTCAAATTTAAATTTTCGAGTTCAGGATCAATTTTGACTGGTTATGCTCATCGAAACTTTTTCTTACCAATCATATAACCGAAAATTATATAAAACTACTATTAAAATTGTAAATTATAAGCAATTTCACTTCTGATTGACAAATTGAAAAATCCCGAAATCCCGGGATTTCAGTTCTTCAAATCCCGGGATTTCGGGATCCCGTTTCCCGGGAATTCCCGGGAATAAAATCCCGAAAAATCCCGGGACTGGAACCCCTAAATATAATAACTGAAAGGGTCGAGGACAATACGATATAATGTTTGATTAGTTGTGTATGCAATAAAATAATTTATAAATCACCTAAAACCGTGTGCATCGGCATACGGAGGTCAGCCATCTCTCATAAACCACTTAGGGAATACGCAACTTTAAAAAAAGCTCTCTTATCATCATCATTAAAATCTACATGTATGTACACTCGGCAGAAAAAGAAATACAAAATTAATTACTTTAAATGAATAAATTTAAAAAAAAAGTATGTAAAGGACGGGGCTTAAAATATTAAAACAAGAATCATTCAAAGATGTCATGATATCGGTTAATATTTACCAACCTTTGCTTAACCTTGGGCCCAACTATTATATAGAAAAAAACAAGGTGACAAGGTTCGTAAAATTCGTAGGCCTTATAACGTGATTTTTGATGACAAAATCTTACGACGCTTACAATCTCATATCCGTCGTACATAATTTATCTTACGATACAACTAATTGTAAGGATATGAAGGAACAATGAACCCTGGATATGATTTTTTTATTTTAAAAAATTTATTGACAAAGAATGTCTTAAAAATCAAAATCTTAGAAATAAAGTTCGATATTGAATGGCAAAAATATCTGAATGTATGAAAGTGTAACAAGTATCAAAATCCAATCTAAAATTGAATTTTTGGTGAAGGTTTCATCATGTAAAATCAGGCATAGTTCGATATTGAATGTGTTCATTTTTTTAAAGCTCAGCCTCAGTAGTTTCCACGAATGCTGCACATTCGCTATGCTAAACCTATGTATGCTCATCTAAGCACTACTCTCACCTATTTGCATAAAAATAGTAAGTTAACAATAAATCAGTGGAGAAGCAGAATTTCGACTAAATTCTAAAATAAGTAACTATATACCCACAGTGATTGGGTCAGTATATTTAAAAAATACGTAATTTGAAACATAATGACGTGTAAATCTAGACGATCAAGGGTTTTTATCGGCGTAGTCATTCTTGTCACATTTTACTATACCTTCGCATATTTTGGATACTATGGAAAACGCCACTGTCTAACTTTTTGGAATGAAGAGGTCACACCCCACATGTTTTCCCCGTGGCGTTTGACTTGTAACCAGGCTGAGGAAAAGTCCAGGTCAATATACCGTTTCACACACTTTTCTACAATCTTCATTTGTAATTTCACAAATTGCGAAAATTTTCAGATTGGAATCCTTTCTACTCCGGTACAGAAATGAATCGCGAGTTATGTATCACACGAAAAAGGATGTTAACAATGTACCAATATTATCAACAAGTTTGACAGAAAAAATCGACGCAATTCAGCGGATGGGGTGCGACCAGCCCAATTTTATGTGTGGACATAAAGATCGTAATTACCAATAATTTAATGGATAATTAAATGAAAAACTCAAAGCGAAATTAGTCATCACTTTGTACAGGCTGCGGATTGGCTTGTCAAATTCATCACAGAATTGGCTGTCTTCTTATTTCTTATGTGACAAATATGCCGTTAATTCACACCGTTGACCGTGACGAATGGTCGTACTCTAACAAATGGAGTGACGCATTTCTTCCAATGGGGTCAAATTGTACGCCAGGAAAAAATACGTACACGTGGGACTGGCTTCCAGATCCAAATTCTGGTAAAACATATTGATTAAATTGTTAATTTTTCATGAACGCATAATATCTTAAATCTCTGTGCATATGTATTTAGCGTCAAAATGTCACAACGTACTTCTGGACAATTTCGGAACAGAAATTCCTTACCCTCTCTCATGGGGAATACCCGTCACTCAAGAATTTCATAATTCAATTAACAGTCTCAAGCCAAAAATTCCCGATCCATTCGTCTGGATGATCGGACAGTTTGCTAAATACGCGATGAGATTAAACCAAACTATGGAACAGAAAATACAACTGTGGAAAAAAGAGGTTGGGTTTAACCCAGAAAATGCTACAATTATTGGGTAACATCCTCTCACGTTTGCTTTATGATGATATCTTAACTACGTATATACAAATTCTTTCACATTTTTCTAGTATGCAAATCAGACGGACCGACAAGACTGACGAAGGTTTAGATACATTTCACGAGCTAGACGAGTATTTTATTGAAGCAGAAGCATATTTTAAGAAAATTGAACTCTCTCAAAGTTCAGGGAGGGAATCGCTTCCAAGAATTGTGTACCTTTCCTCGGATAACACTACCGTTTTAGAGGATGCGAAGACTAGGTGAATTTCATACTATAAATATTCATCCAATTTGTCTAGCGATATTGCACAAAGTAAGATAAATTATTGGTTTTGTGCAAAAAAAATCATTTTCTTATAAAACTGTGTGTCTCAAGGTATCCCTCCTGGAAAATTATCGGTTTCCATTCTACTCTTTCGGAATCATTGACCAGTCGCAAACATGGTCTTTTCGAAATTGTGAGAGATATCGTGCTTCTTTCCGAATGTGATTACATAATTTGTGGACTATCGTCAAATGTAAGACATTTTTATTTTAATATGAACAACTTAGGAAAGTATCACGTGCGTTATTTATGATAAATTGTTTATCCATACAGGTTTGTCGACTCCTTTACGAAATTCAAACTTATAAAGATTTTATGTATGATTCTCCACACCTTAAATCTTTGGATGGTGATTACGACTATGCACTAAAAGGCTTACATACAATGTCCCGTGAAAATATGAAGATTTGGACAATTAGTGACAAATTTGCACAAAATTGTGTCTAAACTTTTATCAAGCAAGCTGGATTTTGGTACGTTTTTGATATTACTGTCATCTTTACAATTATTATTTAGTTTTATTTATTTATTAGTGTGCGTAACTTAATAAAAAGTACACAGTCCAGACCTGAGTCATAAATGAATAATTCCTGAACCATAAATATAGGTGAACCGAGGAGCTTCGACAGAAATTAATTATTCTCTTGAGTTACATAAATCTGCATTAAGTCCTTAAATCATTTCTCACACTTAAGTAATATAATGACCACAGGTCAGTCATGAATCATCTCAAAAATACAAATACATATCTTATTCACACTTCCAAAAAAATGGCATCAGTCATCCAGAAATTTTTTTAACCATAAAGCTTCACCAAAATTGAGATAGGTACAGGACAACAATAGTCACTTGCTATATATTCATTAAACCGCATTGATAAGATAATTCCCACTAGTGGAAATAAATGGCAATAACTCGTATAACACGTAACCATGATAAGATAAGGTTATTCGGTGTCGCTCGTCATACAACAGCGGTACAAATAAATATTTTCTACAAATGAAGCACATTTCGTATACTAAACCGTCAATCACTATTCCTTCCACATAATTAAATATTCAGTTTTAGCTAAAAACACACCAAGTTCATTCCAAAATTTGTCTAATCGACGCAATCATAATTTTCATTAAGAACTGGTAAATATTTTACCTACTTAAACCGCAAGTAAAGTGGTGTCAAGTATTACATATGTACATATGTACATACGTATGTAAATATAACGTGGTATTCAATAATAATCGAGTTTGTTTAACTATCCACCACGACTGAAATAAATTAATAGTAAAGATGGTACTGTTAACCGACATGCAGTTAAAAATCCTCTTTTTGTGTGCCTTTATCGTGACAATATGTTATATTTCTTCACACATTGGTCAGTACGGAGAGACGCGATTGTGTCGAAGTTTCTGGATTGAAGACGCCACACCCCACACGATTCGCCAGTGGAGTGAAAATTGCAACATTACTGAGGAAATGTTGAGGTATGCACACTTATTTATAGTAATTAAATGTTTCTTTTATTGTTCTACCCTTAAAATGTGCATTCGTAGATTACAAGCGTTCCTACAAAGGTCACAAGTTAAAATGGAATCTCAATTTGATACGAGTTTTATCCATGATCCGGAAAACGAGGTTGGCATGGAAAACATGCTATCGACACTTTTAGCCGATCAAATCGAAGCGATTCAACGGAAGGGATGTGAACAGCCCAATTTTACGTGCGGACATCAAAACGGTTGGAATTATACAGCTAAAACGTGCAGACATGAACAAGTCATCACAGTTTAATACATTTGCATATTTAGATTGTGGATTAGGTTGCCAACTGCATCATAGAATTGCATGCCTTTTAATTTCATACGTAACAAAAATGCCCTTAATTCACACCGTGGACCGTGACGATTGGGCCTACAGCAATAAATGGAGTGAAGTTTTTCTCCCTTTGGGGTCAAATTGTACCCCCAGCACAAATACGTTCACTTGGAGATGGGATCGACGCAAGAAATATGAAGGTTAATACTTATTCTATCTAGAAAACTAAACCAATCAATAATATTTAATGAGGAATAAATTACTTAATTTATTGGTTTCACTCATAAAATTTCCTAAAATTTATGCTCACATGATTTTATGTACATATTTCAGTGTCCAAATGCCACAATGTTCTGTTCGACCATTTCCACACAGAAATTCCATATCCTCTCTCATTTGGAATCCCTGTGGATCCATCGCTTTACGGCTTATTTCAAAACATCACAAGTCGTATTCAGGACCCATTTTTATGGATGATGGGTCAGTTCACAAAAAATGCTATGAAATTGAATCACACTTTCGAGAATCAAATTAAACAATGGAAGAAAGAAATTGGATTCGATACCGAGACTGGAACAATAGTTGGGTATAGCTCAATTTTGTTTCATTATGTTATGATCACTATCGGGGGTTGTGGAATGCGCCGTTATTTCGTCTGTAGCAACGTGTTAGATGACGCCATGTCCTGCAGCCCCTGTCACCTGTCCCTTCATCATTTGAAATGAGTATAAAATTTGTACACATACATATGTACATATTTAGAATGCAGATAAGACGAACCGATAAAATCAACGAAGCACCGGAATCTGTCCACGAGGTTGCCGAATATATGGCCCAAGCAGAAGAATATTTTCAAAAAATTGAGTCAAACAACGCTTTTGAACAACCTTCAATTCCACGAATAGTTTACATTTCATCCGATAATACATCGGCGATAGATAAGGCGAGATCTTTGTAAGTTTCACAAATTTTCGGTCGGATTTAAATCCGGGGAGGGTTCGGTCCGGATTCATATAAGCGTAATCCGGGGACTGGGCCGGACCAAAATTTCGGTCTCTGTCAGGATTACTAATCCAACCAACCCGAACCGACACCCGGCGGAACACTGGCGATCCGGTCTAAATCTGTGGACCGTTGCGATCACCATGTACTCGTATCAGTCGTATCTATTCTGTAATAAAGTCTTGCATCCTCAGATATCCCAACTGGAAAGTGCTTGGATTTCACTCCTCCTTCTCAGAGTCAATTGACAACAGGAAGTTTGGCCTTTTCGAAATTGCCAGAGATATTTTGCTCCTTGCTGAATGCGAGTATGTTGTATGTGGATTATCTTCAAATGTAAGTAACCCTGGGGAAATTTGTAGGCAAATCAATTGGCAAAAATAATAAACTTATCGCGTTTTTATACAGCTTTGCCGACTAATTTATGAGATGCAAACGTACAAAAAATTTCATAAGAATCCACCCCACCTAAAATCGTTGGACGGAGAATATAGCTATCAATTACTTGGCGACCATTCAATAGCTCGAAAGTTTAGAACTCTTTGGGAAATTGGTGACGACGAAGCTCTGTCTTGTAATTTACTTTAGTAAACATATGGAATTATTTATACGAATAAAATTATGTCCTATTATTGTAATCTCTTATGGAAGATTGTTCTTCTTTAAACACATTAGACTTTAAGCTCCCAAAACCCATGATCGATTTTCCAGTTTTTTATTATTATTAAAGCCGTGTTCTTTGCTCTTGTAGGAGTGGTTTGCTTATGTAGGAGAGAATAGTGGAATTTGGTGGTTGCAAAAGAGAGCAAGGATAGGAAGCAGGGCGGTTAGCCTAGTGGTAAGGTGTTCTCCCGGCATGAGAAAGACACGAGGTTCGATTCCTCGTACCACACTTCCTTCTTATTGTTGCTCTCAACGCGTATGCAATCCTCCGAAAATCCCACACTTGAAAGACCAGATTTACTATGGTTGTATTTTAAAGATTTTTGATAAGTGCATTCAGTAAACGTAATATTTAATTATACATATACATTATGTATATGTATAATACATATTCTATTTTTTACGTTAAACAAATATGACAATTTTTTGTTACTTCGTCTTAAGAGTTTGTGCATATTTATGCTATTTATGTATATATGTACATATAATATATGTATGTATGTTGCGTGGAACCAAGGCTGTTAAATTTCCGGATATTACATTGAGCATGTACAAATTACTTTATACCTATAATAATTTACCTTGATATTGTGCATTACATATTCAGAAGGTACTTAACGACATACTCAGTAACCTCATACAAATATGTCCCATATTGTTGTGTGCTACAGAAGCACATAACTTCTCAATTTTTACCGATAAGTTGTACCTGTAATATTCCCACAGTGTAGCTGCTGGATTTCTGCCCTACCCTCTAAACAGTATGGCTTACTATTAATAAGCTGATTATCTTGATTAAAATAATCAATGACATGTGATATGAAGCTCTCTGTTAACTATCACATTTTTAAATTCGAGTGGACTTTTCCAATTGCAAGTTCATTGTGAAGGAAATATTCAATTTGCATACATACATATACATATGTAAAAGTAAGTAAAAAATAATTAATCTGATATGTTAACATATGTGTATTCGTCTATGTATACATATGCTGTACTGATGCATATATTTATTTATTTATCTACATATGTATGTATAATCTCTGTGCGTACATGGATTTTATGAAATTTCCCCTGAAATTTTATGTGCATTATCCTCCTCCACGTGCCTATGCAAATAGAAAACTTTTCCCTAATAAGGGAGTTACTTATCGCAATTCATTCTAGCTTTGGTACTATCAAAATAAATGCACAAATTTAGCATAAATTTACTCAAATTGTGTAAAAAAATAAAAACTGCATTAATATCTAACCTATCTGAAATTTGTCATGGATTTTTCTTCCATTATTACAACACTAACGATATTATTAGCATCTTATAACCAAAATTCAGATATGAAAATAAATAATATAGGATTAATTGACAAATCGAGCTACGACTTTATAATAGGTAACGGAGAAAATAATATCTTGCTAAAAAATATTAAACCATTATAAAAAGTAGATTTAATCATTTTTTACGAAGTGGGGGCAGGCTAAGCAGGATCAGTTCTTGCGAATCGTTTATCAGCAAATGAAGCCCTAAATGGTGAAATTTAAGTCAATTTATAACTTGTGGTTTAGTTACATATGTAACTCTGCGTCTTACATATTCATTCAGTCCTTCTCCTCGAGGCCGGAGGTGATCCCACATTTCTGCACGATATCCCTCTCCTGACAACGTATAATTTACAACACCCCGAAACAAACTGGATATTTAATTCCGTGCGGTCGAAACATTTCTGCCTGTCATGCGTCAATAATGTAAAAATATGTACACGGTTTAAAAAATTTCATAAAAACATTAGTCCCACGTTTTGTTTGAAATTACAGTCTGTAACGATTCCCCGTGGGAAATTATTGGGCGGTTCGAGCAGCTTAAATCTCATGATATACGTGCGAGGAAACCATAACGATTTCGACAACTGGGCCTCTATGATGGACGATGTGGGATGGTCGTATGAAAACGTGTTGCCATACTTTACAAAATCAGAGGATTATGAAGGAATTGAGCATGCGACCAAATTTCACGGTACGAGTGGTCCGCTCACGGTAGCGGCGCAAACGTATCATCCAACCCTGAAGGAGTGGCTAGCCGCCGGGAAAGAAATGGGTTATCATAATTCTGACCCGAATATTAACCAAACTTCAAGTACATAAATAAATTTTTTTAAATTGTATTTTTTTTGTAGAAAATTTGTTAATTATTTCAACTATTAATTGAGTAGCCTTTTATCCAGCGGATGTGAACGTAAAGAATGGGCAGAGATGGAGTACTTACCACGCATTTATTAGGCCAATATTAACCCGCCAAAATTTAAAAATAATTCGTTACGCGCATGTAGAAAAGGTTTTATATTTTTGCAATCAGTTGGAAAATAGGTCTTTAATCAAATACATTTTCAGGTGAACTTTGACTCGACGAGGAAGGCTGTAGGTGTAACGTATTTCTGGAATGGGCGAACCTACACAGCTTCAGCAAGAAAAGAGGTCATTTTGTCGGCCGGTGCAATCGGTAGTCCGCAAATATTAATGCTGTCCGGTATCGGACGTTCCAAACACTTGAAGTCACTCGGGGTAAGTGATATCCGATCATTCAGGACTTGGGAGCATTGAATTTGTTAATAATTTTCAACATTTGTGATGCAGATTACTAGATTAATTTCAGATCTAGCGGTTGGTGACAATCTTCAAGACCACGTAATGTCGTATGCAGGACCGTTCATTTTCAATGAATCCGTGTCCTTCATGGTCGATCGGGATTTAGGCGTTGGGGCTGCTTTGGAATATTTCTTGTTGAAAACGGGTAAGTTAGTTTACATGAAAACTGAATAATGTTGGTCCCCCTACTTTTGAGTTGTGGGTTATCTTTGAGAATAAAATTTCATGACACTCGATTAAATAGGACCTTTTTCATTCAATAATGGCGCCGGAATGGGGCTATTTAGCACATCTGATCCACTAAGGGTCGACTGGCCAAATATTGGCGCTTTTCATGTACCTTGCGGAGTTTATAATGCTTATGCAGATGACCACGACGCCCTTTTCAGCATTAAGAAAGGAACAATGGCGAAATACATGGAAGGGTTTGTCGGCAGAGATGCAAACTTTGTAGGATTCAATTTAGCCCGTCCCCGAAGCACGGGAACTGTTCGTCTCGCTACCAAAAATCCATTTGATAAGCCAGTCATTGATTTGAACTATTACGAACACCATGACGATATTCGTGAAATGGTGAAAGGTGCATTTTTTGTCTGAGACAACCAAGAAAATAGCTCATTTAGGATAGATTTAATATTTCCTTAAGGGCTCAAGACCATTGTCAAGCTATATGAAGAAACAGATTCATTCAAGAAATTCAATGCTTCCCTGATACCAAATCATTTTCCGGGATGTGAAAATTTCACATTGAGGACGGACGAGTACTATGAATGTTTCGTGCGACACTTTACAGGTAAATAATTAGGTATGTTATGCTTGCGTTCCATTTAACGTGCGAAATATTTATAAAATTGGACATTTTCTACAAACCAACTTGTCCCTTACATATGTAAGTTGTGTTTGGTTAAAATAATCAATTGCATGCACATATTTCTAGTCACTAGCTGGCACCAATGCTGTACCGCCAAAATGGGCAGACAAAACGACCCTACGGCCGTACTTGATTCTCGGTTAAGGTATTGGAAATTGATTGATGTACATAATTTTTATTTTGTATTATATTTGTTGCCTGAGCCATGAATTGAAGAATAATCTTGTCATTTGTCGTTCTATATAATAACCTTCTTTAAATTTTCACCGCCGATAGTTTCAACTATGACGTTGATACAGTGTATTGCGTCAAGTTAAGCAATACGCTGCATAGAATGATAAAAATTGATCTTCAGAGGACAAATATTCAGGCAGACGGGGCTCCTTAAGCAATTAAAAAAAACTTGCATGTAAACATATAATAAGAACGAATTTATAGGACGTCACGATTGGTCGAACAAAATTTATCTACCAATACTTATGTATGATTGTATGGCTCGGACAAAATCGCATTATACGCTTATGGTCCATAAGAGTACAATCCATAAGTTGTGGACTTCATTTAACACCGAGGTCATGTATTTATGTATGTATAATAATTATGTATCTAGGGTTCGTGGTGTTCATGGATTGAGAGTTGTGGATGCTTCCGTCATGCCAAAAATCACTAATGCCAACCTGAACGCACCTGTAATTATGATTGGCGAAAAGGCTGCAGACATGATATTGGAAGACTGGAAATTAATAAATTGATTAATCGGTTTATGTGTATTTACAATAGTTCTTGCAAGTATGTGCAGCATAAAATCAGACATAATCCTTTAACTATAGTTGATACATATTTGCACCAATTTGATGATCATACTTTACTGGGAAATTTTAGTGCACAGTTTTTAAACTGAAACTAACATACTTAAATTCGCATATTTACATTCTCTTCTGGTGTGGATTATGTATGCCTACACTTAACGATTAATTAATTTGTGTAAAATTTTTTCATTGGAAAGTTCAAGTCACTGTCAGGAAATGTGGTCCAATTTTTGACGGGGAACATATAAACATAATGCATTTTTTTTACATATGCATATTCTTAAAATCAGTTTAAAATCATTTTAATCATTTTAATAAAATAATATATCAAACTTTATTCGTATCTATCTTAACTATGTATACAAAGCTGTTTCGCTCATAAAAAAGATATACATTAAAAATATAAATAACGTAGATAATGATTATGTAAAAGCCTTAGCGGAAATTCTAAGTACAAATCTGACAGAAATATAATTTAGCGATAATTTCGACTCTCCTCCAAAACATCGATCTCTCCCTCCAACAGTATTTTTTGGACTTTTGCTTGAAGTCTGGTTCCTTTTAATCTGTCCAGACCAGAGATGTAGCGTAACTTGTGGGCCACAAGTTTTCCAAATGTATCAAATTCGTCCTCTGCTTCCTTATCCAGGTCTAGCTTCCGTTTCTAGAAATTTTTCAAAACAAAATTATTTAAATTATGAATACATTCGCCAACTTCTCATAAGCCTGCAAATTTAACTTGCAAAAATTTAGCAATTTACGAAATTTCGTAGCACTTTTTGCCGAAAACCCATGGAATTTGTGTTTGAAAATTAATTCGGCTAATAGGCATTTTTTATTACGGAAATTGTAGCAAATGGGCAAAATACGATGTTGTAAAATTATTTCTGAATAAATATACCTTTGCCAAGAATTGCGAAGTATCTCTTCGACCACCGTTCAAGGATCCAAGTCCTTAAGGAAAATAAAACGTACAAATTAAGCCCCTAAAATTTATTTCAAATTGGAGGAGAGAAAATTATTGCATGCAAACCTGGCCCACCATCCATGGGATCTGTCAATTGGGAATCTGAAATCCCACTCCCCAAAATTATAGCACCTCCATGTAACAGCATTCTTTCGAATTCCACATCCGACGTGGTTATGGTGAGATTTTCTCTCCGACTATGGCTCAGAGGTTCTCCGCCGGCTTGCAGGAACAGGTCGTACGTAAACTCTGGTTCAGGTTGAATGTCTCCGTCCCCCTTGAAGTAGATCTGCAGGAAACATGCAAATTTGCAATTTCGCCAAATTTTAGAATTTGTAGTTTGTAGTTACCTTAATTTTCACGATGAATCCGGCATATCCAACGTCTCTGATGCGAAACGGGGGTGACACCACAGCTAAATACATATGCATAAATTTTAGGAAAAGTCACTTAATTAATAAGTCAAATATAAATAAGTAATTAATAAATTATTAATGCACCCACTTCTCAACGGATTTTCATAATTGTCATGCAACTTGAATGATACACGGTCAATATATTCTCCCAAATTTGCGTCGGATCCAGACCCCACATATATTTCCCAATCATGCGTGGACCCGTTGGGGGTCGGGGTTTCAAGGACGGTGGCCTTATGACCGAGAACAAGATTGACGAGGAGTCGCTGTGAATATTTTTATTGACATAAAACAAACTAAATGTTGAACTTTTTTAATTTTAAAATTGTATGCATATAGATTTTGTGTCAGTATTTCTTACCATTTTAAAAGAGAAATATATGTTATGCTTAAAAGTTATGTGGGTTTTATTAAATTTTGTATCTGCACAAGTAGATTATTTAAAAACAGGTGGATTGGATCACTCTATTCATTCCTTACGTACTGGTTTAAGTAGTAGACTGGAATGAAGTAAGAGAAAATATGAACGTATGTATAGATGTTAATGCTTACGATGAATAACGTATTACAGAAGAACAGCATTGTCAGGTTGGAACTTGACGTTGTTTTTTTTTTGTCTCGACATGAATCATCATCTTTTACAATGTAATGTGGCCTTTGTAATGGTTCAGATGGTGCAAACGAATCTATTGGTGTCGTTTTTTCCTTTGCGACAAGAGTTATGAACTTATTCATCACATTCTCTGAATGAGCTGCATCATATGTACGTGCATAGGTTAAATTTGCAGTCATATCGGGATTTAGGTGCAAATCGACGCCTTGTCTTTATAATTTCTATTGCAGATTTAAGCCACCAATATGCACATTTAATTAAAGATTCTGCGTCACATCAGCAAATTTTTAAGGAGGGCATCATATCCAAATGTGCATACATACATAATGTATGTACATATTATGTACATATGTACTGATATGTATGTAAGTGTTTCCCATATACTTGCATATGTACATATTTTCATATCAGTATGTATTTATATGTATGTATAAGCATATGGAAAACACTGTCACAATGTCATCAGCTATACAGCTTGTGACGAATATTCATGACATTGTTCGTATATCAAATTCTAAAAATTACAATGTTAATTTGGAGTTCTGATGGCTACAACGCAGGATGAAAGGCACCTATGCCGGTGAATTCGGGTGGTGGATGTAGGTATGTATGTATGTACAATATATGCACATGACATACATAAGTATGTACATATTATTTTTTATTAATCAGAACCCTGTAATTACAATTAATAACAAATTTAAACTCACCATCTAAATACGTCAAATGAATATGACGTTTATTTAAAGTTTTTTAAAAAAGAAATATTGCTAAATAAATACATATGTAAATATGTATGCACATTATGTACAGATGTACAATAAGTACTTTGTTCATAAAGAAGAACCAAATTCAGAACGATAACAGTAAGGACATAGTATAATCCAGCATTTTAGCTAGCAGGGTCCTTCGTACCCTCTTACTCATATAACCGAACGCACCAATCTCAATCTTCAAGGTCTGACAACTGCTCAATTTTCGCCCCCAATATCTCGAACACACCGCAACTTTCCACAATCGTATAAATTTCTCCGACTTTGAATTCACCTTGACCCAAACTGGAAACAAGAAGACGACCAATCCAATCAATACCAAGGCAATCATGGCGCACACTACAGTGAATAAAATTGGCAGTTCTGGCCCAAATTTTACCACAATGCATACCATTTCAACCACCGTTGCACACGCTAATCCTACCGCGATCGGGAGATAGTAGTAATAAAATTGGTTAATTCCTGTAGTCACGATGCACAATTGACGATATTTTGACAAATATTTTTCCAACTGGGCTTGGTTCTTGGCCAGTTGAGAAAACGTGAACGAAACAGCTCCCCAAGTTGTTCGAGTCGTCATTGGGTTTAAAACTCGTATGAGGATGATGAAGACATACGAGGAGATGATTATCGAGCCGAAATTCATCAGAAATGTGTGTATGCATAATAACGACAATAGTACAGATCGGAATAGACGTTTCAAAATTGGATGAAAAAGGGTCACATTTCTAAACCAAAAATATGTCGGGTCCAACTTGTTGATGAGCATTGGGGTTAAAAATATGATGAAAGAGCTTGTCGTCGCAGCAGCAATTAAACCGTGTAAATGGAGCCCGACAGGGTGTAGTTTGTTTCCTACAATAATATGTAAATAATATGGGAGAGAATTAATTCAACAATTAATTTTTTTCGATTTTGATGAAGATAAAATCAATGGGGATATTCATTACAAGTTCGCATGTTCGCATCAAACAGAATTTTGAGCAACAAATTGCAGAAAAACTACTTATGCAGTACATACATAAGTACTAGCCTTGGAGATGCACAAGTTCGAAATTTTTTGCAAACTTTTAAACGTCGTTTTTTTGCTAACGTAGTTAACGATGCTTCGCAATGAGTACCCCCAATAACTTTTAAAGTTTATCGCACTAGTTTGCTCACGATTCTTATCATTGATAACGACATCCATCTTGGTCATGCTGCGCAGGACGAAACAAAGTTGGCCTGAATTAAAGATATAAGTGACACTCATGATGACCGCGACCGTGAAACACAAGATGCTCGCATTCATGACTAGTGCGGCAGGGATTTTGAGATCGGGATCTTTGACGGGTGACATTAATTGTATTAAAAAGAAGGCGAATATGTCCAAATTTGCCAGGGCGAGGAGGAGCGTCAGTGTGTACGACTTGACCAAATATTTCCTGGGGGTCACTGTCGCTATGGAGCTCACCCGATTCCACGTTATGAATTGAGGATACAACCGTTCTGAAATTGTGGCGAAACGTTGCAATGCGTCGAATGGGGTGTGCGATGGGATAGAAATTTGTGGAAGAAATTTCAATAGTCTTTCCATCAAAACTGTCTTGGAATTATGTATGCAATTATGTGTGTATGCAGTCACATATTTAGTTCAGCTTACTGTTCCCCTTAGCACTAATTTAAAACCCTTGACCCAAATAAATGGTGGACTAATTAGTATATATATATGTGCTCAATTTTTGCACTGGGTAAAACTCTATTGTGTACCTAGGTATCTATGTACATATGTAGCAAACAGGAGAATACGCTGATTAATATTGACATTTTTTAGGGCCGTTATAATGCAGAATCATTACACATATACCCGTTTTTTGCCACAAATGGTATACATAAATACATATAAATAACTTCGTTCTCTCCAATTTAATGTGTAATAGTAAGTGATAGGATTTTTTTCTGCCCTATGACACTACATTTGCGTACGCCAAATAAGTAGATATTTATAGTAGTTTGGAGTTATAAAAGTAATTATCTACATACGTATAGTGTCCACTTTATTTTATTTCCTATTTAATACAAATGTATGGTTAAGTATGTTTAGATTTTTATGAACGACACATTGCATGAGTTGTGTCTAATAGGCTAAAAATGTATACCTCATTTTTAACTGGATTAACGATACATAAATAATCTCTAAAGAAAATGGTTGGTTTCGCTAATATGGCTTTGATATATTTACATAAGCATGTGGTAGCTAAGGAGAAGGACGGTACAATTAATTCATATATTGCAATATACTTTTTCTGTGACTAGTCAGACTAACAAAGTTTAATTATGGGTTAAGTTCTCCCCAATTTATGTCTCTTTTCGATAATCCAAGTCCTGATGGTTTTTGACTGTTCGTCCGCATCAAAACTTTCATCCTCTTTCTCATCCAACAGGTCCAGTCCGTTCTTGTTATTTTGAACGGCGCGAGAACAATCGCGCCATGAAAATGCGCCCTTCACGGCCATAACGCCAGTCCCAAGTATGACAAGAACACAGGCAACCTTCCAATGGTCTTGGGTAGCATCGGCCCAAACATAATTTGACTCCCCCCACAATTGCGGCGACAAAATTGAGGGGAATAATTTTGTATTGTAGCCATAGATGCGCGTTTGAGCTAGACACTGACACTTTGTCCACTGACACTCGGACAAAATCAGTGGCACTGACACTGTGTCCACCGACACTCGTCCACAGTGGCTGACACTGACACTGTGTCCACCGACACTCGGCCACAATAGGTGACACTGACACTTTATCCACCGACACTCAGCCACAGTGGCTGACACTGACACTGTGGACGACACCCAGTGTCTGACACCCATGTTATATGGACACTGTGTCCTATGACACTCGGACACAATCAGTGGCACTGACACTGTGTCCACCGACACTCGGCCACAGCGAGTGGCACTGACACTGTGTCCACCGACACTCTGCCACAGTGGCTGACACTGACACTGTGTCCACTGACACTCTGCCACAGTGGCTGACACTGACACTTGTCCACCGACACTCGGCCATAATGAGTGACACTGACACTGTGGACGGCACCGAGTGTCCGCCACTGAGTGTCCGCGCATCTATGATTGTAGCGCGCTTCTGTCATTCTCCAAGGTGGTAATATTTTGCTCAATTTGATTTCGCGATACACCTGTAAAATTGAATTGTGAAAGTCATAGGGAAAAGAATTCGCATATTTTATGTAGGCAGACCCAGGCATTTTTTAATTTTTTGTACATATAAGCCCTCTGCCCCCAATTTTGTAAAATTAGAAGCACGAATTTGCGCAAAGTTCATATACAACAATTTTTACAAAATTTCAGTATTTTTCGGCCAATTACAAAAACGATTTAGATGGGTAAAGTTTTACGAAGTTGAACATAATATATTTAGAAAAACAGAATTTGCATGCGCATGTCGGTTTCGAAAAGTTTTTGGTTTTCCAAAGATTAAATGTTGAAGTAATTAAGTACTTAGAATATACCGTAGATACTCTATTTATAGCCGGGGCTAAAATCCAAAACGGAGGGTCCCGGACCCGGCTAAAATTAGAGACCGGCTATAATTAGAGACCCGGCTAAATTTTGTTCAGCCCAAAATTGTAGATGTTACAATATCGCATATAATTCATGTTGACTCAATTTGAGTTTTCTTATTTAGCAAGATATGACATCAGTAGCCCATTTCTTTAAATCTAATTTTTTCACGAGGTTTAGCAGGTTTTGTTTTTTAATTTTCTGTCATGATTATATCCATTATTAACTTGAAATTAACAGGTAAAAATTAGTAGTTCAAATTATTCATTGATTAGCATAATGTGCAACATTTTTTCTTAAATGGGCTATCCACCGGGACACAGCAGACAAAACCGGTCATAATTAGAGACCCGGTCATAATTAGAGACCCGGCTATAATTTTGAAATCTTGGTCTCTAGACCCGGCTATATTTGGAGACCGGCTATAATTAGAATAGGGCTATAAATAGAGGTTTTACGGTATGTACATACACATATTCGGTTATCAATTCCTTTAAAAAATATTTATAAAGACTTTACCCATATCTTTCTGCGTTTTGTTCAACAGTCTTGCCAAATCCATTAACTCTTGTGCCAACACTTTCAGCATATCGTCAGCCTGAGTATTACTCAAGTTTGTGGCAGTGTTAAAATCTTCCTGAAGTCGGACCAGTTTTTCTATCGAGGCCTGTACCAGAGTAAAGTTATGCAGGGTATTTTCTCGAGTTTTGTTCAAAATTGCATCTGAAGAGTTAAGATTTTCCCAGATTTCGGAAAGTTGAAAAAACATTTCAATTAATTTTAGCAAAAGATCTGTCGTCGTGTTTTTAACGTCTTCGTTGGCCTTTTGTTCCTTCATTTTCTGAATTTCTTCCAATAACTCGCGACGAATTTGTTCATTGTCGGTTATGCTGTTCTTTTTTTCTGAAATTTTTAATTAACTTGTAATATTTTTTAGGAACTAGAAAAAGCTTAATTATTTACTTTTCCAAATTTTCTTCCAAGTTTCACTCCAAGCATCGCCGTTTTCTCTAAGAAATTTTGAAACTTTGTGCCCAATAAGTTTGGGGTGTATGTCTGGATTATTTATAATCACGGTGATCTTGTCGATTCGATCCTGATCGGAAATTTCTCTCCCTGTCGAAGTTGGAGACACAATTTCTTTGTAAAGGTTGGTAAATGTTGCGTTTCCGGTGTCCTCGCTGTCACCCTGTCAATTAAATAAGTGAGCCTCTGACTTACAGTTTATTGAAAAGGATTAAGGAATGGGACTACTAGAATTAATAAGTATGTAATTGGGAGTACCCCATCTTGCATAAATCGTTCCCAAAAGTCCATCTTTCTGCTCCCAAAGCCTGCCGACATTCAGTTTACGACCTTATAACATAAGATTTACATGTTATTTTCTCAAATATGTACGATCACAATCAATTCAAAATTTAAGTACTCGAAAGCATAAAACAATCAAGAAGAAACTTGTACAGATTTCTGTAAGAATCCGAAAATTCAAAGATGAATTGAGGGAAACTAAATTCGCTACGAAATTATTGTTGTTTTAGGCCTTTTAAGATGGCCTTATAGATTTACCAAGATGTCTGTCTGTCCGTCCGTCTGTGCGTCCGTCTGTGCGCACGATAACTCTCTTTAAACAAAAGCTATCGACTTGAAATTTTGCACACTTCATCTTCGGGTCAAAAGTAAGGATGAGTTCGGAGATGGGCATGATCGGCCAAGTAGTTGGCCGGTGGGGGTCATTACTATCCAAATGCGTTGCCCTTAACTACCAAGAACCTTTAGAGCAGGTTAAATTATTTAAGTGCAAGTAAAATATTTGTAGCTTGAAAAATATCTATAGTAATAATTTTCAGTAATTTTAGTATGAAGATTGCGACTGACCTCAAAGCGTTTAAATTGGAATGGAGTTTCAGAAATTTTAAACCTGGGAGACCCGATAGGGTGACCCGACGGATTTCTAAAATTTGTAGTACGTAGTTGAAATTTGGAACAAAGGTTGCTAGTGGATTGTAACAGAAAAAACTGAATTTAGGTTGGAACAATTTTAATCTTGATGGACCCTATGGGGTGACCCATACTGATTTTTCAAAATCGTCATATCGAAGTGAAATTTGGGAGAGAGGTGATCCATATCTATTTTTAGAAATTGCGTTAAAAACATGAAATCCGGCACGGTAATACTTACAATTAGTGGCTTCTCATCAAAGAACTTGAAATTAAAAGTTAGCTAACAAGGGATACTTTCGAGGTGATAATCGTGTCCAGGGTACCACTCATTGGTCTAAATGTTTTTTGATCGAGTGTTTCTCACGGGTTCGGGTTCTTACTTCGGGTTTCGGGTTCGGATCGGGTTTGGGTCCTGCTTCGGATACGAAATTTCAGAACCCGAAACTTTCGGGTTCGGGTTCGGGTCCGAGAAATGTGAGCCCAAAATTTCGGGTTCGGGTCGGGTTCGGGTTCCGACTAAGAACCCGAAACCCGAACCAACAAGAACTTTTTGCCACAACGAATACGAAAACATTAAAAAAGAAAATAAAGTGTTAGCCACACTTGCTACGACGGTTATGCTGCAGTAATTCATTAAATAATTCAAATTTTTAATTGTCGTAACTTCTTTTCACAAGTGTCTTCAATTAGTGTTATGGTTTGAATATTGAAATAAAATATATTTTTTTATCAAAAATTTGCTAAATAGTTAGCTTGAGCTTACTTTAATATTGGAAACTTGAAACTGAAAATCATTTTCAGTTTTCAACTGATTTAAAAATTTCTGAATGTCACGGAAAGCCATTATCCATGGTCGATTTTTTGAGATTGCATTATTATGGTCGAGGAATTAAGATTCACATTTTAAAATGCGTTATGTACTTATGCAGAAATGTGCTTAATTATAATTCCTCGGTCATATTTACAGAAGTATTGTTTGTTTGAAACCTTTAGGCTAAAAAGCTAGTCACCCCTTAAAGTTAAAATATATTCGGTTTTTCGGGTTCGGGTTTCGGATTTGATCCGCCAGTTCGGGTTCGGATCCTTGCAAACGGGTTTCGGGTTCTTCGGGTTCGGGTTGCCCTCAAGTTTCGGATCAGTAGTATCGGGTTCGGGTTTCGGATTTGCAAGAACCCGACCCGTGAGAAACACTAATACCCATCTTCGAACTCGGTCGTTGCCCAGATGCATGTCTGTATCAAATTTGGTAAAAATCAGCCTACTCCTTCGAGAGTTATGGAAAGACAGACAGACGGACAGGTCGATTACATAAGCCCTAGTTCGGGCTAAAAATTATATGCCAATCGTTCATTAGAGTCTGGCTTTTATGTAATAATGCCGTCTTAAAAGGCCCCGCGAAGTTGCTTGGAGTAGGTTTTTAATCTTGCCTTTGGCAGCATACGCAATGGAAAATTTACCTGGATCCGGACTGTGAGCTGCCCAGTGCTAAACTAAAATCCGAAAACTTTCATAAAGCTTTTATTGGATTGGTTTGATGGATTTGAGTGGATCTCATGAAACCTCATATTGCATTCGGTAGTGAATTTACTGGCGATCGTTGCATTTGTCAAAATCTCATGTTTGTTCTGAACGATAAATACGTATGATTTTTATTCCTTTCCACGGTCACTCCCATAAAGGACAATTGGTGACAAGCATATGTGATTCTTAAAAATTTTGTATTGTGTAAATAATTATCTAACAATGGAGGTCTCCCAACGTATGCTCACAGACTTGGACCAAACTAGCATCAATCGATGACAAATATAAGTAGTTTGAAATTTGCAAATGGAACTATCTGCCAATTCTCAAGTTTAGCGGAGATATTTGCATAAAAAGAGGAGAAAACGCACCCCCAAGACTGGCAAATTTTTCATTTTCCAAATTTGCTGTGCATTTTTTCTGCTTTGAATGCAAATATCTTCGACAAACCTGCTCATTGGCAGATAGTTCCATTTGCAAATTTCATGCTAATTATATTTGTGATCGATTGACGTTAGTTTGGTCCAAATTTGTGAGCATACGTTGGGAGACCTCCATTGTAAGTGTATGGTTAAGGTTGGTTCTCAACGATATACGATATACGATATGTATGTATATATACATACGTACTGACACACGAACGCAATACAATTTTGCATTAAAAGTTGGGTAAGCTCATGAGGAGATACATATTTATGTGTGTACATATGTATGACAAGCCTTTATTTATCCAATTTATTAAATGTTTAAACACTTAGACATTTACTCATGAAATGAGTTTTTGAGAGAGTTTCAAAACAATATAAATGCATGCATAGATTTTATATTATTCTTGTTGCAATGTAATGAAGATCAAAACATATAATGTACGAGTGTAGATTATACAAATATGCTGAAAGGAGAGTATAAGATCTAGATAGGTATGTATTGTTATATAATTACTAAATATATACACTACACATACTTATATAGTAACGTATGTATGTACATATACGCAATGCATAGTTGAACCCATTAAAGGCAAATTGTGGTCGTTAATTAGCAAAATTTGTCTGGATGGAATTGATGTACTTGGACGGGTTGCATGAGCTTATCTCTATGCACACATTTTACACTTTCCCAACACTCGATTTTCGTCCGTTATTGAAGTGAGATTTAGTATAATACATTCCCTGTCACTCTGGGATATATAAATATCGCCTAGTTTATGAGTTTGGGTTGCTTTCATGAACACGCAAGATGAAATTTCTAACGTTTATTTATACTTCTGAGTTTGCAAATTAGCAAAACTTACGGATTTTGGATTCAACTTGACTTGCTTTATATATTGTGCAACAATATTTTATTATTCATTACGAAACAAATCTCAACTTGTATTATATACATATGTTATCGAATTGATAAGAATACAAAATCTGAAATCTGTCTCGAAACCTTGTTTATTTATTTACAAATCATCCTTCCACTTTTTGGCGAAAATGAACTCCTTCAGCAAGTCCCTGACTGCTTCCCATAGTTTGAAGGCGTGTTGATGACCTGTGTCCCCACCGCCGTGGCGACTCATTTCCCCTTCCCGCCATTGACACACTTTCTTTGCCAAGTGGAAGAGGCGGGCGATGTCGACCTCTTCCAACTTGTCGGCGCTGGCCATGAGGGCGTTGCACACCCAGGAAATCGTGGCAGAGTACCCTTGACCTTTCACCCCGGGCATGGACTTATGCAACTCGGTCCAGTTAACCTGACCTAGGAATTTAATGAGGTCAGAAAAGCATAATTATGGAGTAAACAAAATTTGGGGGTATTCACGTCAGATTTTTGAAACCGGAACAAAAAAGGGTTTTTGTTCTGGTTTAAATTGCATAATTACAAATGTAGAATTAGGACGTCAAAACCGGAAAAAATTCATAAAATCACTGAAATTTTTAAAATTTTTACGTTGTCCCGATTTCCTGGCGGCGTCAATAGCCTTCTTAAACTGGGCATGTAAATCCGTCCCATTAATTTTGTCATAGACTTGGAAAAGTTCGTACAAAAATTCTGTTTCGTCCGTCTCCTTTCCGTCCCTTTTCAAATTGGCGAGAGCATCGACAAGCCCGACAAAAGCCGTTGGAATTATCAACACCGCGTTCGTAATTGTGTGGGCAGGCCGAAGTTGGCGACTCTCTGTGCTTCCCATGCTTTTAAAAGACAAAGAGGCAGGATTAATCGAAATATTAAGTATATAGTTTATGCAGAGAATGAAAGTAAATATTAGTATGATAAGGCGACATATTTTAATTTGTTACAAAATAATTCTTACTTTGTCGTTGCAGATGATAAGAATAGCTATGTTTAATGCTTTATTTGACTTAATTGTGCTTATCGTGATTGTGTATTTAGCAAATACAAGGATGAGATTGACCGAGAAGTGCGAAGCGACTTGAGTTTTATGTCATTTGCTCATGGTGATTCATGAAAATCTGAAATTTTCTCATGAGCAAGAACAGACTTGAGCAAAGTAGGAATAAAGAACTTGTGTATCTAGCAAACAAACCCGTCCTCAGGATCAGTTTCATAAGTTCTCATTCTGAATGTTTCTGTATGTAGAAGCCAACAAGATACATAATATGTACACTTGTAAGCAAGCATCTCGATATTACTTATTTTAATTGGTCTATTCATAGTCAATAGCCATTAACCTCATCTCCTTTTTTACACATGGTCTCAAGTAATAACGCCGAAATAAGTACTTGATTTCATGTAACAAATATCTATGTATGTAGTCAATCACTTGGCCAATTACCAATTATATGCATGGTATCAGGTACATAACCATGGGTAATACGAAAACCCACCCCTGGATAGATATCAAATAAGTACTTCATATAAAGCAGTTTGAAAATATTCTTCCCACAGCTTATTGTTATGGCTTTCAGACTTTATCCAGTCTTTGAATGAAATTTTGATTTTCGATTGCCATTGAAATAAATAATAATAAAAATTTGTAGCAAATGCATACATACATAGGAATAAAAAAACTTACAGTGTGCAGTGTTTATTCAGCCTTAGTCAGACTAAAATTAGCAATTAACTATTAATGCTACATTTCCCTAGTAATGCCTATTTATTAACAAATTAAACTTGATCCAAAATTAGCATGCTGCTTTAAATATTTATGTACATATGTATTTAACACGTAAATTCTCAAATTATTATTTTTTCAAAATATTCAACTGAAAACGTCTGAATGTTGATTCTAAATTAATCTATTTTTTTAAAAATGTTTTAATAATTACGAAATGCATTAAAAGTGTATACAAGTTGAAGAAAAATGCAACATTACGTCATTTTCATGTATAAAACATTCCACACTAAATACATTTTATAAATAAGCGACAAAGTGAATTATTTTAAATGTGCTAAACCGTGGAGATGGTACAATTACAATTACATCTTAAATAAATGGTTTAGTTATGTAGTTACATATTTATGCACTTATTAAATGCAAAAGGAAAAATAATTAATACAATCCACTCGATCCATAATAGAGTGGGTAAGTCGCTGGATGTGAGAATTGTGGATTGACTGGACTAACGTCCAGTCGACTATCATGTCCGTGGTATCGATAATCGGTACTAGATGAAGCAGGAGAGGTCTTCTTCCGCTTATGTCGAATTTCACTGCCTGGTTCTCTCGGCCTTCTCTTCTCTCCTTGATGTACCATTTTGATATGCTGTTCACAAAATAATTTTCAAGTTAAAATCCAACAAATTTGCCGTAAAAATAGTGTTTCGAATTGTAACCCTTCTTTTTCTACCTGTCTCAAGTTATGATTCTGCTTGAATTCATGGCCACACTGTTCACACTTGAACTGCTTCCCTATCTTGGTATGAACCAGGTCGACATGTTGTCGTAAACTCTTCTCCGTCCTGACCTGTTTTCCACAGATTTGACAAGTGAAAGGTTTCGCATCGCCGAGCTCGTGCAGTTTCATATGCGCTCGCAAATCTCTGTTACGCTTAAAACTTTTTCCGCAGTTCGAGCAGAGCAGAGGGGTCACCGGTTTGTGGCGAAACTGGACATGACCCAGCAGTCCGGACCTGGATTGGAGGAGTAAAAATTGCATTCATTACATTACAAACGGCTGTTAAAATATTATGGTAACAAAAAATAAAAAAAATAACTACCGGGATGAAAAGTCCTGACCACATAATTCACACAAGTGTCTTATCCGTGGAGAGATGTGCGTGGCCAGATGAGTGGCTAGGTTGACGACGATTTTTCCACAAGTGGGACAAGGTTGATTAGGGTCGCGTTTAGTCCTGACCTTATTTACCTCCGGTTTCGCCATATTTTTGCGAAATATAGCCTCCCTCAATCCCTTTATGTCGTCTTCTATACCAATCTCCTCTTCCATCTTGCATAAGTCGGCAAGATTAAGCTTGACTTGGGAGGAGGGGTGTCTGTCCAAATGGTGCTGGACAAGGTTTTCCTTACTGGCGAAAATTTGCCCACATTCGTTTTCCCAACAGCAGTACAATTTTTGTCCCGCAGTGGTATGAAGTGTCAGGTGGCGGCGCATGGAGCGCTTATAGGCGAAAATTTTACCACAAAATGGACAACTACATTTTTCTTGGGAGGAGTGCGAACGAACATGTTCTTTGAGTTGTTTTTCCGTAGGATATACTTTGCTGCACGTGTCGCAACAGAATTGAGCGTCTGTTGTGTCCGATCGAACCATGTGGATACGTTCTTGGTGGCGTCGCATGTGCCACGAAGATCGGAAAGTGCTAGAACAGACGGTACATTTCGTGCGAAGTCTGAGTTTGTAGTGGGCATTGGTTCTGTGTTTTTGGAGGAGAGACAAGGTCGGAAATTTTTCAGGACAATCCGTCTCCAAGCAGGAATATGGGTTTTCGACACCGTGGGAAATGACGTGGTCATGGAGGAGAAGTTTTGCAAAGGGCTGGGAACATATGGGACATTTGTGAAGCTTCATTGAAGTCGAGTTAGGCTTATGTGACTCCTTGTGGATGCGGAAGAGATCTTTGTGGGAAAAGGTGAGGTCACATTTCTTGCAGGTGTGGATCTTGACTTTGGAACGGCGGCGAGTGCCACGCAGATGGGCGGAGATGTAGTGGCGACGGTACGACTTCCTTTTAGTGTAGGTGCGAAGACAAGATGGAAACGGGCAGACCATTGTGCCTTCCACTGTGCCGGCAGTTGGGTCAGGGACCGGGTCTTCTTTTTTCACTTTGGGGGAAGAATTTGATGGTGCATTGGGATTATCTGAGGGTAGGCAGATATGTAAAGGTTAAGAAATTCAACTTATAAATTAAATAACAAACATAAATTACGTAACGCAAAAGTCCCGATTTTCTAGACCCCCTCCCCCCTTTAACATATGTAACATAGGCACGATATCATTGGAGCCTTAGACCCCCCTCCCCCCTCTCGTGTTACGTAAATTTATGGACGGTCCTTTGTAGTAAACTATTAATTTAATTACCTCCATCGCCATCGCCACCGCCTTCGCCTTCGCCATCACTGAGTTCAGAAATGGATTGGACTTCTTCCCAATCGCTAGACTGTTCATCCTCACAGTCAAAGTCTTCCTCAGAATCGAAAGTGACGAGATTTGTGGACTCACGCTCGCGAGATTTTGATCGCCGTGGTCGTAATTTGTAGTCACGCTGGTCACTCAAGTCTAAAATAGTTTATTAAAATTTCATTGTAGAGAGATAATTGATAAGTGCGCCCAAATATTACACATTTTACCCTCGTCATCAGTGTCCTCATCATCAGATATCGATTCGATATCTGAAATTAAAATAATAAAACACTTATGATTTACACAAAATTTAAGATCCTTATCCAACAATGTACCATCGTTATCCATCCCGGTATCCGAGTCACCATCATTTCCACACACGAAGGGGTCATCTTCCCCTCCCGAGTCTGCCTCTTCTTTGATAAGCACGTCCAAAATTGATGCCCCGTCATAATTAAGTGTTGTCGCTTCCTTCCCTTGCGACACGTCTAGTTTAACTCTGGGTCCAAGTGCGCTAAACAATTTTCCGGTGTCATTTAAAAGACCGACAAATTGGGTGAAAGATAAGTGCAACTTTTGCAACGAGTCTGCACAATCGTGACACAATTGGGGGTCAAAATATGACCCAACTTGGAATACAAACAGTTCTCGTAGAACGGATTGAATGGAAACTTTGACCCCTTGGTCGGGATGGATTTCAATTTCGCCTAACAAGTCGTCGTGATGTTTTGCTGAAATGATGGTTATTTCCGTAATGCGAGATTCCTCTGGGGAGAATGGGGCACAACATGACGAACACGAACTGATGATTTCTGCCATGTTTTAAATTGGGGTGTAATTGTTTTTTGAAATTAGCAAATTACAAATTAAATTAAATAATTTTCACATTTTTGTTAAATTCAGCTGAATTTTAAGCTCGTGCTCAACCCTTTGTGATGACGCTTTCCTGGGGTAAAGTAACATTGGGTGAGACTTTGCTTTGTTCTCGTTTCAAATTTTGCATGGATTTTTGACGCTTATGCATATGCTTGTGCTTATGAAAAAATATAATTCAGTCTGATTTCAAATTAACATGGGTAGAAGTTTCATATGCATTATTTTTTATGAAAATAGTATAAAAATGCATGCAATAGTTAGCCGTGTACTTACATGCTTACATTAAATATGTGTGATGTGGATATATGTCATTGGTTAAACATGCTTAAATTTTACATGACTTACATACATATGTACAGATCTGTAAATGATTGAAATAAAAAAATACTTGCACTATATTGATTGACATTTATAATTCAGTGTGGATTGAGACATTTTTTGAAGGCTTTCTTGAAAGAAATGCATTTGGGGAGGTTACAGCAAGGATGACGTGAATAAGCCTTTTGTTATTTTCACTTGAAATGTACATATTTATGTACATATGTACATATGCTATTTATGCCAATGATTTTATAAAACTGCATAAATAGTGACCCACTGGGCTAGATCGCAAATTTATACCGTAGTAAATACACAGTAAATATAAACTAGGTTTGATTTTTTACAATCGGAAATTTCTGGAAATCATGTACTTGAGACACTGCATCTAACTGTACTTTAATTTAATTACATGCATAGCGTCGTTTCTTGACATTTTCTTTACGCATTTATGAATTAAAATGAATACCAATTTTGATAAACACGTCTCGTCAGACCTATTGTTAGACAAACTGACAAAAATTAATGCATAATCACGAATAACTTCATTTGCCAATAATTTAAACGGTGTCCGGGCACTGCATACCCCACACATCGTTCCCCCATATTACATTTCCCACGTCGCATTCCCCCACAATTAATATCCTCACATGTCATACCAAGCACACCTCATTCCCCCACGCATAATTCCCTCACTTATCATACCCAGCACATTTCATTCTCCTCAGTTCATGCCTCCAGTTCATGTTGACAAATACCCTCACAGCTCATATGCTACCCAATTCATATGTCCATTCTCACTACCATCTGTAATACTTTTTATAGTGAGCTTTGAAATCAAGAAAAAATTTTGCAATTGGCATTAAAATTTTTAAACAAATTTTGGAATATATAGGGTTCCTCATATTTTAAAACCTATCCATATCCTAGCTTTGCTCAGCCCCAACCAGGATTGATTAGACCCATGTTTGTCAGAATGTTATACTATTTTTCACTAATTCTTGCAATAACTAACGTCACTTTGTAGTATTACGTGGCACCAAATACCGCGAGCAGTGGACGCTGTTCGTATAAAAATTTCGAAATTCTACCCTCCTAAGTCATTTTTCGACTCCACACGGAATTTTAGCTGAATTTATAAAATCTTAGAAATCGGTATGGGTACCCCTCTGGTTACTTTTTGTTCATCTCTGACTTCATATAATTCATGAGAAGCCATTAAGTATCACCGTTCTTAATTTCAGCTTTTTGAGACAAGCTATGAAAATCGGTATGGGTAACCCCAACGAATATGCAAATTTTACCAATTTCACTTCATATTCCTTATAGCTTTGAAATGAAGAAAAAATTGTACAACTGGCATTATAATTTATAAATTTTTAAATTTACAAATTTGGGAGTAAGGTTGCTCATATTTTTAAAAAATTGTTGATAAATGAGGACCACATTTGACTGACTATACTATGTTGTTAAATACAGATTTCATTAATGTTGAGAAGTAAAATAGCACACCTATTTATCCATTTCATTTCCCATTTACCTATGTATATACATGACCTGGAGGCATGAACTGAGGAGAATGAAATGTGCTGGGTATGATAAGTGAGGGAACGATGCGTGGGGGAATGCGGGAGGTGTGCCTGGTATGACATGTGAAGATATTAATTGTGGGGGAATGCGATGTGGGAAATGTAATGTGGGGGAACGATGTGTGGGGTATGTAGTGCCCTACAACCATTTAAACCCCAGTGTTCTCCCCAATTTCATTAATCTCATCCGTCATCACTAAAATGGATCTCCATTCAACTTTCCTCCTCTCCGTAATTTTAACGCTCTTAATTTTGAAAACTTCGCAAGAAAATGTCCCCCAATTCTTCCCCCACCACCAGCACCACCACTATCACGTCAACAACTATATCCTCACCAAGACGTGGAATGGCGTCGAAAACTTACCCGACGGCGAAGAAATCTACGTCTCCTTCTGGATCGAAAAACAGTGTGACGAAAATAGTTTTCTCCGCATAGTTACGAACGCTCCGTTCTACAACGACCCCCCAATCCCAACCAATTCGACGCTGTCCCCTCTCTGGGGGCTTTGGGAGTACGAAGTCGTCGAACTCTACTTTTACGGGAGGGATGAAAACTACATGGAAATCCAACTAGGGCCAGGCGGACACTACTTAATTTTAAAATTACACGGTTATCGAAACATAACTGAGACCCACTTACCTCTGGAAGAAGACAATTTCCAGGTGGAATTTATGACGACGCCGGAAAATCAAAATCTTACCAGATGGATTGGGAACGTTGCAATTCCGGGGGAATATATCCCTTGCGACGTTTATCGTCATAATGCATTTGCCATTCATAAATCTGGATCAGAAAGGAGATACGTTGCCCTATATCCGGTGAAAGAGGGGGAGATTGAAGAGCCGGATTTCCACTATTTGCGACCCTTTAAAGGCTTTCGGTTTGACGAGGAAATAAATACGAGGTGTAAATCTGGGCGAAAAGTTAGGTCTGGAAGTGGTGTAAATAAGGCGAATTGTATGGTGTTGTTGTTTATGTTTTTTGTACTTATTTGAACGTGGCGTTGTCATTATTTCTGATTGATGGAACATTTTTTGTTGCGTAGATGCATGTTAAGGATCTACGCAATGATCAATGCATAATTAAATTAATGTGTAGTAATTATTTTGGTAATACCTTACATAGGTAAATACACATACACATCTATGTAAATAAGTACATATTTCGAGTATATTTATATATAGAGAATTATGATTAGGTTTTGTTATTTAGTAAATATGAATTAATTTTACTTACAGACGTACGAACGTACGAACAATCAATCGAAGATGTCAATAAAACATTCTGTTAATTTATTTACATGTTAATTTATTCAGTAGTTGATGATATCGATTTATTCTACCTTCTCATAAAATAAACAAGACGTTGAAAATAAGTTCCCACACTAACAATAAGCTGCCACGCTAAGATACTCTCCAAATTTGTGCACATGACATGATAATTTCATGAGGCGATGATGACCCTTGAGGGTTTTTGCGCCATAGGCAAATTTCGAATTTTTGCCACTTGTTGCAAATAATTTTTCACGGCAAAAGCAAATATCAATAACTTCGTTAGGCTTTATATGCAGATGAAGATGTATGTACCCGCAGGTGGCAGTAACGGACACTATTTTCAATTGAGTGTATGTATGTATGTACATATGATTTCGATGCAAAGCGATTAAAGAAATCATTAAGGTCATTTTACACAACCTTGCTATTACTACTTATTTAGTAAGATTGGCCCAGTTTAATAAATTAAATTCAGTGTCCCTAAAAAACACAAGCCAGATATCAAGTCAGATATCAAGATATCAAGTCAACAAAAATTTCTCGATAACAACATGTTTTTTTTGTAAATGTACACTGCGCAATTTTTATTATGAGTCACAATTCTTAATATTTGCACAAATTTTCACACATTAACAGTCATCAAACCATCATCTTTGTGTTGGTCGGAATATTGCTTGTGTTAATATACATATCTCCGTTACATGCTAATTATTAGATAGCTATACAACGTTAAGATTTACACTGTAATGCATGACGGACATGATGATGTACATAGTTTGTATGACTTATACCCTTTTCTTGCAACTAATCTGTGTCACCGGTCTTGAGCAAGATCAAGGTGAATCTCATATAAATAAACTCCGAAGGCATTCTGATCAGACTAAAATCTCAACTCAAGTGAAGATCAAGTGTGTAAAAAAGAGATACATTTATATATCATTTATAAATAATGAACAAACTAAAATCACCCCGAGTAAAGTTAGCCATCCAGTTGGTAACGTTACTGCATTTTCACTGTGAAGTTTTCGCTATAAGATCAAATGTTTCTGAGCTTACGGTGGAAAAATCTGACAGAAAACCTGAGACTGATTTCATATCGCAAGGAAACGAGTTAGGTCAAGTTACGAAAGAAAGCACAGTCAACAAAATCTTTAACGTGGGCAAGTTATCCGTAAATAGCTTAAAAACTTTACAAACTAGTGGAAATTATGAAACTTTACGTACATCGGACATCCACAGTGAAGTGACAAAAGGTACGTACGCCTGAAAATTGTTTTCTCGCATTTTTAGGCTAGTTTAAATAAAATTGTTATTCTTATTTTACCCAAAAATAGAAAATTCAACAAACCAGTTGAATTTCAAAGCTAGAATAAGGACTGGGAAATTTTTTCCGTTTTTCTTCAACTTAAATCCATTCTTTCCTCGGTATTATCAAGACAATTATCGGCCTATACGTTATCAGCCGTGTCCGTACAAATGGGTAAGGCAGGAGAGATATTGGGCATCTGGAAGCTGGCATCCAGCCAAGTGGGTGTGGCGTCAAGGAAACTGTGCTCAGAATCAATACCTCGGATTCGATGCAGACAGAAAGAGCACTTCACAAAATAAGAACGAGAAGAAAATAGTCAACGGGGATAAAAAAGAAAAGAAGAAGAAATTTAGAGGGGGTTATCACCGCAGGGGACATTTTGGGCCAGGGTAACATGATTAGTTAAGATTTGTATGATTATTTAACAACAGATTGTGTATATTTTTTTTTTTACATATTTATGTATGTATGTAAGATTTTGTGTACGCAGGACGTGACCGGTGTTTTTTTATTTTGTGTATATTTATTTTTATCAGTAAAGAGTTAATAAAAAAATGTGATTCATTTTTAGCCATTTATTGGGTTAAAATAATGAAACCGAGAGTCAATGCTTTCTATGCTTATTTATATACTGTTAACAGTTGTCGTATCGCAATTATTTTGCGAACTTAATAAATATGTATACAGAAAATGCATGCAATTGCACAACTAACCATGCAGCATATGTACACAATATAACATACATACATACGTTTTTTTACGAATCGGATAGAAATACATTCATAAATATTTGTACATGTAAGAAATAATGTAAAAATTTAATACGATTTATCCGCATTCAACATTGGCATTTATACTTACTTATTCTACTCAATTTTTAATGCCCCAAAGATAATATTGTAAGTACTGCTAGGTTGTAAAATTCCTAATATTTCCCACTTGCAGCAATCTCTCCCAAAAAGAGTACCAACCCGAGAGCCAATCCCACCCCGAAAGTTACGAAAAGTCCAGTCAAGTGCTTCAGTCTCAAGACCTTAACACCCTTCTTTCCATCCAGGGAACTTGTCCCCTTATCAAAGTCAAGACTCTCTTCTATTGTTGCTTTCAGAGCTGGTGACCAAATCAAATTGACAAACGCCTTTGTCCACGTTTCGTACAATATTTTCCTTGACCTGGTTAAAATTCCGGAGGAATATAATTGACTAAACGTATACCTCGCCTCTGATGCACCCGGGCGGTCGTGTAAAATCCAAACTTTATTCCCCGCTAGGACATCTAGCGACTTGACGATACTATTCTCGCTAGAAGCGAAAAGGCGGGAAAAGTATTCTTCATACAGTTGGATGTACTCTATCGACGCGACAAACGCGGATTCTTTTGTAGTTAGTGTTTTAAATAAATTTAGATAACCTTCCCTTTTCAGAATTTGAACAGTGTTTAGTGGGTTGTGATTTTTCTCGAATTTTTTCCTCGTTTCCATAAAAATGGCGGCGTATTCAGATTCTGGGGAGAGGATTGACCTTTAATGTAAACAATAAAGTAAGGTTTAAAGTACATATATTTTAAAGTAGTGGAGACTTAACCTGTGTGTTTTTTCGTGCGTCAGGCTGCGATACGTGGGAGAGTTGATAAGTTGAAAGAAATTGATTGGTGGGGAGGTGTACGAAGGGGCGAAGAGATGCTGGTAGACATTCCCACGATAAAGTTCGGTTAGCAAGAGGCAGTATGAGATCCACCCGAAGAACACTAAATTAAGAGGGGTTTTGTGGCGTTGACTAATTTTTGGGAGGATAACATGTTGCCCGAGAAGTGGTCGAGTAACTACAAAGATCCAGGTACACACAGAGATTCGCGGTTTTGTTTCGAACGATACGAAAAGATAGGAAAACATGCAAATTCCTAACATTATAAAAATGGTGATCAAATAGCACTTGTAACCGATCGGATTAACTAAAAGATTTTTGAAACTGTCTGGTTTCAGATGATTGTAAGTTATGAAGGTGATTTCAAATCGGTCGTTGGTATAGAATCGTTGTCTATACTGATGTTTGGGGTAACTCGATACTTCTGAGAAGTGATAGTCACTCGTGGAAAAGTGAAAATCAAGGTTAGCTTGCGTGGGGTGACAAGGACAGCTAACAAATGTTGCATTCACTTTGTCCGAGAAGTGAAGCATGGCCAAGATGTGGGGGAAGATGAAACGTTTATAAGCTCGGTGACCATACTGTGATTTAACTCTCACGTGCGTGTTTGGCTGATTAACCTGCTCGACGTTCCAAGCGTTTAACTGGTAGCCATGGAAGTTGGTTATCCGATCTCGTTCGAAACTCTTGAATTTTCTGAAACGTTTCCAGACACCGGTGTAAAATTCGGGTGAGCAGATTCGACACAGAAATAATGATATTTTCTGTCGCAAATGAACTTCTATGACGAACCGGAGGTTTCCGTAGGTAGATGGATCAGATGGAAATCCTGCGGCGGCATTTGACTTGGTGGGGTTTACGTTGATCGAGATGATGATATCCTCCATCACGTTTATTGTAATCTGCGTAGTCAGGTTCGCAATAGTTTCAGCTAGCCATGTCAAAGACGAGTACACGATAAAATGTGGTTGCCGTTTCTGGGGAAGATAAAATTTTATGGAAGCTACGAATTTTCGCCTAGAGGGAAAATGGGGATAAATGGGGACATGATTGCGAGAAAGGTAAAATAGCACTTCTTCAACATGGGCACCCTGCTCCCAAGAGATTTTGTAGGCCTCGATATCGATGATTTCGCTTAAGAAACTTGAATGCTCGGCATTATCAGGAAAAACCGAGTGTAAAATCTCACTGATGACAACCTCACTTTGGAGAATGATCAATATGACTGTGAACATTTCGGGTTTGACGTATGCAAATACAACGGAGGATTATATGTATGTTTCAATTGAGAGAGAGAATAGTGTTCTGTATAATACAAACCCTCGTCTGATTACTACATGCATTTACTAAATAAACATGATGATAATTGTTTGAACTCTTTGTAACCTTTGCAAATTTTGTTTTTGAATGAAATGTACGCATATATACTTATCTCCATATCTGTGTATTTGTATGTGGTTACAATCTCAAAAATATGCGTTTGTTTGAGTGCAAATTCTGAGTAAGTAATAATAGTTTTCTTTATACATTTCCTACATATAAAAGTTTACATGTAATTTAATTTTATGCATGGCAGATAGTAATGTTCGAAATTGTACAATTTTTTAGGTGAAGAACTTTGAGGAATTTTTGTTTAAAAATTTTGTTAATATACATACGAATACGATTGCATTTTATGATACACATGTAACAAAATTTTACATTTGCATGTTTGTTTCCTACGAGTAAATAATTGGAGTGAAATTAATGAAATTATCTAATCAAGGGAAGGTAGAAAATTAAAAGTTGAAAACAGGAGAATCAGCTCCCTAACAAGTATATTACTAATTGGGAAAATATATCCAATTATTAAAAAAAACATAATTACATCAATTCTAAGTTTTTGTATATTTGAACAATTACTTAAGTAATAATTTAGTCCAATTCTTCCAATTCTTCTCGAACAAAATGGAAACTAAACTTCTGATCTTGATTGCATTTCCGATACACCGGTTTGAACTTTTCTTCGTGCATCGCCATACAATTATTCGACCTCGGGTCCTTCAGTTGATAAAGGTTGTTATCAAATGGCTCAAAAATCCAGGTTTCACAATCCTGCGAACTGCACGACGCGAGGCCAATCACGGTATTCGTTTGTCCCCGAGAAAGACATTTGTCATCCCGTTTCAGGGAACGAATGACCTTTCCGCCGTCGGGGACATCTTCAATGTTCCAGATTTCGCGACGACTTTCGCTACAAGGCTGAAATTCCAGTTTTGCATGATGACCGTCTGCTAAGCAATCGTTGCTGGGGTGGCTTTTAATTTGATACAGACCTTCGGGCAGGGTTGAGTTTGTGGTGCTGACTTGTTGCACAAATTGTGCGGTCGAAAGAATGAGGGAGATGATTGAGATGGAATAACAATATTTTCTTATCATTGAAGTGAAATTCAGAAAATAATAAATTATTGAATTTGGGTTGGAAAATTTATAAACTGTGCTTCTTTGTAGACTTCAGTCTTTTATTCTCTTTGTGCGAATTGGTAGGAAATTGTGTCCAATTGTAAGATGCAGATTTATTTAGACGCGTAGCAAGTTCCATTAAATATCTGGAACCTTTATTGCCCTCCCTTTTTGTCTAAAGTATAGAAATGAATTGTTCTACAGTACAATGGCGGTTTTATGGCGTCCGGCTATTAACATCAAATGAAAGAATAATTTTTCTAGTTTGGGTTGTACTTACTTAATTCGTGACTATGGAAGTATTGCAAGTTAATAATGTATTGATTTTTTAAGTAGACATGATAAAAATTATACTACTACAAATGGGAAAAATTGTCACTATGCAGAAAATTATGACCCATAAATTAAGTTATTTCCATTCATATATACGCAAATATATATGCTTCACGTGAAGGTTACTTGTTTGCAAGAATCTACAAATTTTCAGAATAACATTAGAAATAATTCATGGATTTACTTTTCTGGCACTCTTTATTTCAATACTTTTATCTTTAACACGATAATGCATATCTAATTTACTCTTTTCGTCGTAATAAACAATTGTTGACAGCAATCTTTACTCAATCAAAATAATCTAATTCACTGCAATGCATCAACCTCACCCTCAACGCACCCAATAAGCTCGCCAATCCCCCAAACACCTTAATCAGCAACATAATCACGAAGCAAATCAACGCAACTAAAGCCCTCAGTAGACCAACCCCGCATTCAAAAATTCCCACCAAAAATGCTACACTCAACCCACCCGCCAAGACACAAAGTAATGTCTTAACATCCCCCAAATTCAGCGACCTAAGTAAATCCGGTTCATCCGACTTTCCTTCTAAATAACGCGTCGCCGCGATGGGAGCGACAAATTTGAAGTAATTTTCCTGCAGCTGTTTCCATCTGATGTAAACCCCACATTCGAAGTTTTGTCGAATCGCGTCGACCAAAAAGTGCAATTTCGTCGCGCCTGGGGTCACCGATAGATATCGCATCTCTTGCAAGACGACTTCGTTGTCCGTATGCAAATTACGGACATACTTGGCCGTGTGGTACAGCTCGTGGCGGGATGAGATGTAAAAATTTTTCTTGTCGGAATACATCAGCATGGCGTATCTGAAAAAAAATTGCGAAAATTTGCATATTAAAATAATTTAGCAACATTTATTTTAGTTTGTACCTGTTCCACTCATCGCTCTCCGCTAATTTGAAAAAACCGCCAGGATTCTCAATTATCATGTCTCCCACGCCATTATTCAGCCAGAGTTTTACACCGTTAAGCACGTATCCATTAACGAGTAGATCCTTATTAACCGCCGTGTCTCGCGCAATTGCAGCATAAAACTTTGTCGTCGAGTTCAATTCGGCAAACGTTTTTGGCGTCCAGGAATAAATCGGATGCAGATATCCAGCCAAAATCATGCCGGAATACGCCGAAAGTAGCAAAAACATGAACACTCGAACATAAA